TTCTACCCCGTGCACTCTTGTTTGCCAAGAGCTTACATAATTACCCACCGCAGTTTGAACATATTTTCTTGTCTTATGCAAAGAAGAAAACCCAAATTAGTTGAGAAAAAAGCGACCACGTTATTCAAACTTGTAAACAATAGGCACGCCACCTGTTCAAAATGGAAGAGGAGAAGGTATTTTGTCAAAGTCCTTTCATTCATTAAAAGCACACTCGCTCTATGTGTTTTCCTCAGCTGGAAATTTATTCATCATTATAACAAAGAATTTAGCTAAAATTGATGGCCATTGTTGAAATCTTTCGTTTTTATACAGATGTCCTTCCTCGTAACTAAGACGCGTAGTTGTCGTTATCTTATTTTTCAGCGTTAGTTTGTCGCTTAGCAATACTCAGTTTACACTGAGGCAGACGAAATGCGCTAATTTAAAAGCCGTAATTGCACGGCCGAATTTTCTAGAATGAGAAAATCGAATTGGGAGCCAGAATGATTTGATAAAAGTGTCAATAATTATTGAACTGGGATAGCTCACCTCTATAAGCGTACTTCTATCGAAGAATCAGCCGCATCAGCAAAACGAAAAGGAAAGACGCTCTTGAGTAGAATTGCTGACTGAATGGCAGTTACAAATGGTTTCCATGAGTCGTCGGTTTTATTTATATATTAGTTCTTGAGAACAACTCAGGCACTTAAACGGCTATTCATGAAATATTTTATTTCAAATTCATTTTAGTGGCCAATATGAAAAATATGGTCAGTTCCCTTGACAACGAAAATAAGCAATTTGATATTAAAAAGGAGTTCAGTGAGATTTCAAACGCTAATAAATAACTGCATTTCGATCGATTCAACGAAAAAGCCTATTGAAAAGATTAATCACTGCTCTTAAAACGAAAACATGGAGAACTCTGAATGGTCTCCTATCTTTTCACTGAAGCCGTTAAAGATAGTATTCTGGTCGTAATCAGTCAGAGACTTTTTTTTTATTTGCATGGAAACTTAAACGTTTCGGTACATTTGAAAATGTAAATGTTCTCTTCAACCGCGCAAACACTTGAGTCTCATTTTCACATCCGTTTCCGCATGTTATCATCTGTTAGCATTCATGTGCACCCATCCAAAGCTTTCGCCAACGTCATAAACTTTTAATGAAGTTTTGTTTAATAATTATACAATGAGTTTGTGGGTAAACCAAGAAATTTCATGATGAAAACCCCAAGGCACATTTACAATTTGCAACTAAAATAGCCCAGTCTCACCATGTACGAAAGTGTAAACATGCAGTGAACGATGTCTCCATTTGTTCTTAGTCTCAGTAGAACGGATTTAACGGCTAGAACCTTTTAAAGTCAATTATAAAGATATGAAACTGATGCAGTGCTAACTTTTGAGTGTGTGGGTGAAATCCTATGGTTTAACCATTTAAATAAATCCTTTTCGTCGCAACTTTAGCGTCACAATTATTCGATCTTCAGCAACATGCATAGGACATGATAGAAAATGAAACAGAGTTCGGCATTACTTGAAGTTTGCTTAGTTATGCTTTAGTATTAAAAAGTTTAACTGTGCGGACGTGCTTTTAATCTTCTCGTTACAAGTACTTCACTGAAGATGTTAATAAGTGGCTCAATTCAATTTATGTAAATAAATTAAAAAGACTCATTTTTCACCATCTTTTGCGAAAACTAAACTTCTTGTCAACCATAACACCATCAACGAAATTCTGTATTTATAAATCATAGGGTATAATCAGTGTTGATACAATATTACATCTTAAATTATAGAAAAACTAAATGATGTTCATCTACTACCCCGTTAAATCGGATTGGTTTAGTTTTAAAATTATTACGAAAAAAATAAAATAAAGTAGCCGAGTTAACTGTACAGCTAGGATGATACATCGTATAACTTTTCCTTGTACGTGGTTGATGAGAGGGGACAAATAACTCCCAATTTAATCTGCTCCAACTGGTATTTACCATTGCTTTTAATTTTTGTGACCAAAAACTCATTTTTTTTTACGTCGCAGACAGTCTAAATCCCAATTATAGACAGGCAGACGGATTATATCGAGTTCTCTATCTAGGTCTTGAGCGACAAAGTCTTGCTGCGACTCAGGCTAACTAAAAACTTATATAATTGCAAAAAAAAGTTGTTGTTTTTCTCGGGGCGAAACGAATGTTGTGGGCTGTTCTGCACCATCGGAGCGGTAAGAGGAAGTGGTAAGCAAGACGTGCTTGCACGTGCGGCAAAATTTAACCAGCGTGGTTTTTCTCATGTTTGTGAAAGAGGAAGAAACAACTCACGCAGTCAAACCGTTAAACGCGTTAAGCATTACCCACAAGTCCACAGAATGAAAATTTGTTTTGAAACTTTCCTTAACCAATGAATGATGTAGAGCACACGCCAAAGTGAAAATGACTGGCGTACTGATTCAAAGATTCAAGGATTCAAAGTAGCCCGTTTCAGGCGCTCAAATGGCGGTCACGGGAGGAAAAAACGGAACAAAAAACAGTAGAAACTATGTAAACGTACGGGACAGGCTAATATCGTTGGATCAACCGTCATCCGTCAAACCGCCAAGAATTTAATCCTCAACCGGTTTTATTGTCATCCCTCAATAGAGCAGCAGGGCTCTTAAGGTTTGAGGCTTTGTTTTGCCATTACAGATCATGTTTTCCTCGTCACGGAAAACGTAAGTCTCAAGTTTTCCGCATCATATACACGAGCAAGTTTTCCTTGTCCAGCCAAACCCCATCACTTAGAATCCAGATCGCCCGCGGCCATGTTCTCTCTCCCTTCCCCGATGGGGGAGTGTTAGCTAACCCGTTCTAGTCTGTGGTGGACTGAAATGAGGAACTGGTGACAGTCTATGCTTAGAACGGTTGATGTCATTGAACGAGAACAGGGGTCAATTTAGTAGAACTTTTACAAGAGTAATTTAAAAGTGTAGCCATTGTTTTAGAGTCTGAAAACAAAAGCTACACTTGTAAATTTTTTATTAAATTGGCCCCAGGGCTTGCTTCCAGGCTAGTATTTAATGTAAAAGAGTCTGTGTGACACAGGTAAAGATCGAATGAAGTTATGATACGAATGAATAAATAAAAAAAAGAAAAAAAAGCGTTCTGACTGGTTGAAACGATTAACAATAATCCGGGAATTTTTCTAAAAAAAACTTCGATCGCGGCTCATCTGTGATTACAATATACAGCTATTTGCGGGTTCCTTTATGATCAAAGGTGCTTAAACCGATGTCGGTAGGTAGCACGGAAATCTTGCTGGAATAATTGGGAAGAAATATTCACATGGGTGAAGTTACAGTAAGATAATGTTGGTTTCCCAGGGGAGTTACTTTCAGATACTTTAGTTCTGTTTTGAGTTTGAGGTTGTTTTAATATAATTTGATTTAAAAAGGTATCCGCCAGCATTCTGTTTATGAATTATTGTGCGGTATTCGATTACCTTACTGAACGACGTGTGTTTGACGATGATATCGCTAATCCGATACTAGCTGTGGTCAGTTTTCCAAAGGCGGTCAAGGTATGAATGCTAGAAAATCCTCGTGTTGGGTAAATTCGCTGTTTACTGGCGATTAAGGTCTCATGAGATCACTTAAAGGAAAACCCTGTGTACAAGCTATACCTACGCTCCTGTCCATGGTCTGCATGGTTCTTAAAGAACAGCGTCTTTTTTTCGATCGTCCTAAAATCTACCCATATCGCAAATATAAATTTAAGCCAAAAAGGCTGAAGGATTTTGACGACTTAAGTTTCTTATCAGGATAAAAAAACTATTATCCAACTTTGACCCAACTTGATTTTTGGGTGGAAGCCAGCCATATCTTCGAATTCAGTCTCGACGTGACCTGAGGACCAGCGGCGAGTGCAATTTTCCTTGTTTGGCATTCCCGGTCCAGTCAACCTAAATTTCTGTAAATGTCGGTCCATCGTCATTTACATACATACGAAGAAAAATAAACAAATATTCATTTACGTTAGTACAGAGTAATAGCTGAAAATTTTTAACGTGATTTTGCAAAAGAAGGAAACCGGGAAAGGCGAGCAATCCTCTGGAAGCTATGAAAACTGATAGGCAAAGCAGAACTATGGGAATCCACGTGCAAAATTAAAAAATTGTAAAATATAGATTCTGGAAGAATTTTTCTTACTTTTGCGTCTTACTGCTGATAGAAAACCTTTTATACAGAAAGTTTCTCATTGTCTAGTTAAAACCTGACGAAAACTAAAGACCGACTTTTCAATATGCCACCGCCATAATGAAAACGAAAAGGCCTCGAGGGAAGAGAGGTCTTCCGTTTGCCTCCCCCAACCCTCCCCCAGTTACTGTTTTCAAATGCTCTTAGGAATATGCAGTCCTCCCAGGAGCATTTGAAGCAAAATTTTATGGAAATTTTATGGAGGCGGGGGGGATCAGAATGTATCCAGTATGGGCAACTCGAAAATACAAAATGGGAAAAGGAAAGTGCAGGGGAACGCTGGAAAGGTCAACAGAGGCTTGGAGGCAATGTCCTCTTCACGTTTACTCTGTTTAAAGTTTTTAAAAATAACTAATTCCCTTGTATGTTACCAGTGGCCTAAGGTGTCTTCTCCACCTCATTATCCCTCAACTAACCTACACCACTCATTGTTTGTATGTTTGACTCTCCATAAGATGGACATCTCTGTAAGGCGGACACCTTTAGAACCTGTACTGTGTCCATCTTATCATCTTATAGAGAGTCAAATGAAGAGAGTAAAGAAGGGCAAGAACCAACTCTTTAGGTGTTGGCCGTTCTACCGAACGGTCACGGTCTTATAGAGGTGCCCGTTAAGAGAGCCATCGACCGTATTTGCAATCACCATCAACGATTGCTGTGGGTACCCTGTGGTATTACAGAGATAGAGTCAAATACAGTTAATGAAAGTAATAATACTTTACGGTCTTCTCGCTTTGAGCGCTTCAGTTACGAAAACATTTGATATTGCCTTCCTTTCAGCTAGGCGTAACGAGTTGCACTTTTGCTTCAATATTGACATAGGAACGATTTTCGGTTGACTCTGTCCGCTTGTAATAGTCTCTCTGTAGTTCATTCAACAAACATCGATACGGAAACATGCGGAAAGAAGTATGTTGCGCAGTCGTTGGTGGCGTTTCTGTTGTGATCATCATCTTTATTGCGGCAATGGTGGGAACTTCCCTGCGGAAGTTGGATACCGATGAAGGTACGTTGAGAATAATACAATACTGTAGTTGCATATGAAAGCCTCTGGGAAAAGAATAACATACAGTCAGCTCTCTCTTAGACGTATATCTTTGGGATTGGCACTAAACGGGTTGTCCGTCTTTTAGAGAGTCAAATAAAGGGAGTAAAGAAAGGCAAGAACCAACTCTAGGTGTCCGTTTTACAGAGGTGTCCGTCTTATAGAGATTCAAATAAAGGGAGTTACGAAAGGCAGGGACCAACTCTAGGCGTCCGTTAAACCGAAGTGTCTGTCAAATAGAGGTGTCCATCAATATAGAGTCGACTGTTTACATCAGTAGTACTCGGTTTCATGCAGTTCATCTCCATTAAGTAACTAAAACACTGCAAGGATGGAATATGTTTTTCTATTTTGATTACGGAAGTGGAGAAAAGTTCCAAAGATATGTGCTCTGAGCAGAGTTATCTCTTATTACAGTACCTAAGCAAAAAGCTACTGCATTAAACTCTACTCGCAATTATGAAAGAAATTATGAATAAATAAAACCAGATTTAACAAATGAAAACTTCTTCAGATGATCGTGAAACATGCAAATCTATGTGCATATAGAACAGATGCGTAATGGCCAGTTTAAGAATAATATAATCACAGTATATTGTATAGTGTTTTACATACTAAGCAATGGTGAACATTCACACAAATCGTCTCAATTGCAGATATTCTTTAAGTCTAGAAGTTTTTTGCAAGGAAAGCTAAAAGAGAACTGTCACTTTTGAGTTAGGAATCGTAAGGCGAATGCATGATTTACACGGCTGAGTTGCTGAAATAGTGACAAATGAATGCTGATTGACAGAAGTGGTCACTAAATTGGCCAAATATGCGGAAATCAAGCGATGTAAGTTTTGTTGGGATTTTACGACATGATAAGGAGGAACAGAGTGAACGGGTGTTTGCGAGTCTTTGATTCTCATCCTCGCCTTTATTTTCTTTTTTCGGTTGTTTCGTCTCGAGCTTTTATAACTTCGCGGAAAGTATTTTCCTTTCGTAAATGAAGAGGGATGATTTCAGTCGAGCAAAACTATGGCAACAACACTGGCCAATCACAAAAAAAAACACAGATAATTAAATGAACCAATCAGAGCTCGAAGCAAATACTTGAAAGGTTCCCAAGCGCGGGAAAATTTGATTTCACTTCTGATTGGTTACAAAAGTGGCAAAGGGTAAAATGCAACCCATTACACACCCAAAAAATCATTAAACATATAAATTTTGGAAGTTATGTTGGTCTTTTTGGTTCTATTTAGTGGGAATAGCTTATGACATCCATCAAAAGAAGCTGGCGACCAATGTGCAGCGAGAAGGTCTTCACGCCGGCTCACCAGGTTACAAATTTATTATCTTCCCGAGCGTGTTCCAGAGCATTGAATACGAGGATCTTGAGTGTCTTAACCGAGAAGGCATTGAAATCAAGCTTAAAGTACAACTTCAATATCGAGCGAAAGTCAAAAACCTGAGAGAGATTATCCTGCAGTTTAAAGACAAGGAGAATTACCTGGAAGTTCTCAAGTAAGGGGCAAAAATTAAGGCTTAGAAATGAGAGATTCCGTTTCATCAGTAGTTCTGAAAAGACCCAAAAGTTAGAATTACCTTGTACAGCATAATAAACAGTACCACAGGAAAGTAATGCTCAGTAGCTTTCATCTGAATGGTCACACCATAGGATTTCATTCACAGACTCAACTGCAGTTAGAACCACCTTGTACAGCATAATAAACAGTACCACAGGAAAGTAATGCTCAATAGCTTTCATTTGAATGGTCACACCATAGGATTTCATCCACAGACTCAAAAGTAAGAACCACCTTATGCAGCATAATAAACTACCACAGGAAAGTACTGCTCAATAGCTTTCATTTGAATGGTCTTACCATAGGATTTCATCCACAGACTCAAAAGTTAGAACCACCTTGTACAGCATAATAAACAGAACCACAGCAAAGTACTGCTCGGTAGCTTTCATTTGAATGGTCACACCATAGGATTTCATCCACAGACTCAAAAGTTAGAACCACCTTGTACAGTATAATAAACAGAACCACAGCAAAGTACTGCTCGGTAGCTTTAATTTGACGGTAACACTATAGGATTTCATTCACAGACTCAGAAGTTAGAGTCAATTTGTACTACATAAGATACACACCACAGGAAAGTACTGCTCAGTAGCATTCTTGAAACGGTTTTGTACATTTTAATTTTTCAGAAGCGTCGGTGAATCAGCGATTCATGATGCCTGCAGCGTGTTTAACACAACTCAGCTACAGTCTCAACGCGCCTCTTTCCAGGATCTTGTCCGCAAAACCCTGGGTCGGAGATTTGAAACACTCTGGGCAGACGTGGAAGATTTACAGGTGCTGTGCTGTCTCGTACCTCGGCGCTTCTTAGCAATTTCGACGGGAAACTTCAAAAACCGCAAACGCACAAGGGAAGGGTTTCGATGACGGCCCTTGCGCCGCCACTACCCCAGAAAAGTCCCAAGAAGCGCCCGGGCAAGAGGCAGGGTGCTATGATAAAAAAATCTTTGTACAACTGTAAAAATTAATTTCAAACATCCCAAACTGATCCTAGGGTTATTCGTTGTCCCACTGCTTATTTTCTATATTTGCGGGTTGATAAAGGAATGGGTCGCATAAGCAACGTTGCAGTGAGGATATACAGAATCTCTTGGCAAATGGTAATCGTATCTTAACTCAAAAGCCAAACAGCTAGGCAAAAAGGAAAGGAATTTAGGATTTGGAAAGGCAACGTCAATAAATGAATAACGCGAGAAAATAAATACAGGTCTAGATATTAGCAGTCAACGACTGAAGATCAGTTTGTTCTAGAAAAACGATTTTTGAAGTGCTAATGTATTTAGCACAAAATTGCGAAATGACCACACTACAGTATTTTCACATTTCTTACTGGAGAGATCGCCAGTTTTATGTCCTTATCGGAGGCCACGCCAAAGTTAATTTCTTAGTATGGAGATCGAACCCGTGACCTCTCGCTTCGCTTGGCAAGCCCTCTACCGGTTAAGCTAGCCCTGTTTGCTGTAAAAGGGGCGAGGTTAGTAGTATGTTGATGATAAAAAATGTAACTGACCATGGTCAAATGTTTTATGAATAGAGCGCCTCCTAGCTTCGCCCCTTTTAGGTGGAGGATGGTGATATCACACGTCCTAATGATTTTTCATGTCTTAGGTAAGAAATATCATGAGACCAGAATCATACGAAAAGGTGATTAGGAACAAAGAGGCCGCCAAAGAAAACATCAAAGTTGCTGAAAGTCAGCGCCCGCGACAAGTGGTTGAAGCGAACACGGAAAAGGAGGAAGCCCGCGCGCAGGCAAAGATCACAATCCAACGGGCAGAGTCTGAGGCGAGGGTTTCTTTGTCAAAAGCCCGAGCTGAAGCCGACAGTATCCGAGCGGCCTACGAAGCCGAGACGAATGCATTTTTAAAACTCAAGCAGGAGAGTTTGAATAGTACTGAAGGGTTGTTGTCTTATCTGGGTGTAAGGGTCATTTCTGAGAATAACAATACTGTTAATGTTGCTTTAGACGCTCCAGCTAGGACTAAGTTTACTTACAATTAACGTCATTAATTAACGAGTTCCCGTCGCAGCAATGAAGGGAGAGTATCAAGCAAATTTTCTTTAGATTTCGTTTACACCGGGCTAGAATTATGAAGATAGTGAATCTCATTTTTAAGTTTTAAAACTTGCTTTAGTTTCGTAGAAGGGTAGTTGTCATCGTATACAAGTAATAGCTGTAAGAGTTGTTGCTTTTTGATTGAAAAAAATAAAGCTTTTTCTTGGAACAAATGACATTTCTTGCCAACCAAACGTACCTTATTATAGGAAATTAACGCTCCATAAAATTAACGCGAAAAATTAATTTAAGTAGCGTTAATTTCCGCGATGTTAATTAAGTGCAGCGTTAATTTCCGCGCTCTTAATTTCCAGTATTTTAACCACAATTTTGAAACCTGTCCAGACATTCTTGACACCTGAAAAACATTAACTACAAGCTCTTTCTTTCTATTTTTTCATCTTTCACAAAAGCTAAGGCGAAGGTTTACAATATTTCGAGTTTATCTTCATCGTTGTCGCTGTCAGAAGTGATGTCAGCTCAGTTTTGTACAGTTTTGAATTTTTTTGCATCCAGTGTTGAAATAAATTTGTCCCAGTTTTCACCACCAACTGTCTCTTAATCGCGTTAATTTCCTTCATTATGAAATTCTACCTCCTCTTTCGCGTTAATTTTGTTTATTCGAAAGTCGTTTTCCATTAAATTAGCGTTAATTTAAGTCGTGTTAATTTCCAATACCTTAATTTCATTGAGGTATAAGGTATGCAAATGACCGCTGCGTTGCATCAGCCCCCTCAGGCAACTCCTCTTAGGACGTTTCTTGAGACAGTTCGAGACGTCTCGAACTGTCCCGCGAGTATGCTCTATTTTGAGATTTAGAGACCAAAGTTTGCCTCTGAAAGATTAAGGTAAAAAACTTTAGATGGTCTCACCGATTTGCGCTCAAAGGAAAACTTTGGTAGCAAAAATAGTGACCTTGAAGGACATCTTTGTTATTTGCAATGTATACTAAGTAAACTTTCAGGTGGACTGAGACTACGGTTATTAAGTTTCCCATTGTGGCTTGAGTTCACAGCGTTATGAAACTCCCTTTTACATTTCACAAGAACATATCTGATATTCAGATATCCACGTTTTCATTTCATAGTATGTTAGGCAATTAAACATGGCAGAATAAAAATGAAAACGGATGACGTCTCTCTCAAAGTTTTGTTGCGCTGTTCCTCACCGACATTAATCGTCATCACCGCAGCTGATACTGAAATTGGCGTGATAATAACGCTTGTATTTGGCTCTAGATAGCGACTCATCTGAAATTTTCAATAGGCAACACTCTGCCGGCATTGCAAACGAGTTAAGAAGTTTTATTGTATTTTTATCGGTGTGTTAGACTCTAAAACAAAACAGTTGAACCTCGGGCTTCATACGCCACCAAAGGATCAGATATATTAACAGTTCGAACTTCAAATCTGTAGGTCATGGTTCAAGCCTTGCCATCGCATTGTCTACTTAAACAAAAACTTTGCTCTACTTTGTTGAAATGAAAACCGGCGAGATATTCCTAGAACCCTATGGTGGACTAACATCCCGATCCATAGGGAAGTAGAGATACTTCTACGTGTTTCATACAACAGAAACTGTGTTAATCTAGGGCCGTCAGGTCGGCGTTTATCATTGCCGTAAAGGAACAGGACCAAGCCAGTGTGTACCCTTTCCAAATGCGTCTCTATTTATATCTATGGTGTTGAAGTGAATGAATTTTGGTCCATTGGCAACGAAGTAAACTGAAGGGAAAAGTGTCCGTGTCAGATATCCGTGAAGGTGTCCACGCGTACAGAAAGGTTCGACTGTAGTTCAAAACACTGAATTACTAAAAAATGCAATCGTTATTTCGTAGATGACGATTATCGTGAAATAAAAGGCCATCAGAAATGAAACAGTTTTTTGTTTACTCTGCACTAATAATGTATGTGCCAAAAGCAATTTGAAATTTCCCAAACACCCCCGCATAGCACCAAAGGGTACCGTTTCATTAACCCTTGTGTTCTAATTCAAATATTTTAACAAACGTTATGGGATCAATCCTGTCGCGTCCCTTCGAAATCCTTTCGTTCCGGCCAAAACGAAAGATGTAGGCTCTCGCAGTTAAATGTATATAAAATATAAGTATCTTTAACTGAAATTGGAACGGCAAACACTTCTTCTACGCCTAATGCCTTTTATTCTAGGTAAGCTGAGCTTATGCCTTCTCTTAAGATAAAAACACTGACCGCGCAGGGTGGCTATTTAGTTCTGTGATACTCGTCGCCTTTCCTGGTTCACAAAAATAATCTGGGCACCCGTCAAGAAGTTTAAGTTTCAAGTACATTAGCGAAAAGGATAAAAGCTAACACATATATCAATGTAAAAATCCTTTCAGTCAAGGTCGACCTTTTATGAGGTACAACAAATCACTGAAGTTAATTTTTTTTTCAGATAAATTAAACCTATTTCGACTCTGCTCTAGTGAGTTTGAAAGGGTGGCTAGGTCGGCGACCTCGAACGATCTGTTAAAAAGTGACGGAAGTGAAGTGATTCCACTTTTTTGATGACGAATCAATAGTTGTGTTTCATTCCAGAATGTCACGATTGCTTTTTGCAATTTTATTCACATCAGCGTTCCACCAGTGTCACCTTGGCTACTTTCGCTCAAATGTTATGTATAAACGGGAGCTTGGGAACCTGGCAGCTTCGTGCAACGACGGATCGAGACCTGTGTATTACTTAGGGCATCAGAATCCCACAAAGTGGATGATCTTCTTGGAAAGTGGATCGTACTGCTTGACGAAACGTCAGTGCATTGAAAGATTTGGTAGCAAGATCACACACGCTTTAATGACATCAAAGCATTTCCCAGACTCAATAACAGGCCGAGATTTGCTGTCGACCGATATAAATACCAACCATTTGTACTACGACTTTTCTCGTGTTTTGATTCCTTATTGTAGCAGTGATTCCTGGCTAGGCACGCAAACAAGATTTAACGTATCCAGCTCAAAAGACTCAAACAGTACAAACGAATTCATTTTTGGTGGGAAAATCATTTTTCAAAGCGTGATTCTGGAGTTATTAGGTCATCATTTCAATCGCGCCCGCGAGGTTGTCTTTGTTGGAAGTAGTGCTGGAGCTATTGGCGTATTAAACCATGTAAAATGGTTAAAAAATATCCTCCTCTCCATGAACGCAAACACAAAGTTGTCTGCAATCTTTGACAGTGGATGGTTCATAAATTTTCAAGAAAGCATCGCGTCAAGAATGACAAAGGAATTCTACAGCGTTGGACAACCTTTGTCTCGCGCATGCGCTGATTTTTCATTCGGATTCCCATGTTGCCTGTCAGCACCGTGTATGATTGCACAGGGATACTACCCTACAGACATACCAACTTTCTTTATTCATAGTATGTTTGACATCTATATCGTCGGAGAAGCTGTTCTTCGGTTTACTGACAGAGTCTTTATGGCAGAGAATGGAGCATCTGATCTTTTAACCATGGTTGAAATGTACGGAGGGGCGATGAACCAGTCACTACTTGTTACTTACTCATCAAACATTAGCTTTTTCGTCCCGGCTTGTTTTCAACATTCCTTTTTTAGTATGTCGAGCTTGAGAGAAAAAGGAGGCTTGTTACAATACAACCGACTGTTCACTCAAGGAAATGCTGTATTCAGGTATGTATCACTACAACAGAAAAAGTCCAAAAAGTGCTCTTTCAACACTGCGTGACCTTTGCTTTTCAAAAGGCCATTAGCCTGCGTAGCAGGCGCTTGGAAGAAGTGGGCACAAGAAAAAACGGGCGCAAGAGAAGGAGACTCCCTCACCCCTTGCGTGTCTCCCTCGCGCGCGCCCGTTCTCTCTTTCGCCCGCTACTTCCAAGCGCCTGCTACGCAGGCTAAAAGGCCATTTGCACGATTACGTCATTTTACTACCACGACCAGGATCTTCCTTCAGGTTTTTGCTTTCCTGCTCAAATTAGGCCGTTTGCTGTGAAAACTTCATGTGTCGTTGTGAAAACAATAGTATTTGGACGTCATCATTATTACGAAAATTGAAGGCCTGGGAAATCTCCATAATTGACTAAAAGTTCGTGCAAGCATTCCCGAGCAAATTTTATGAATTAGGTTACCTTTTGGTGTTGATAAAGAATATTGCTTTCTGGGCACCCTCAAAGGTTTTTATTCATCTCTTTTCATTTTGTAATTTCACTGTAGAACTTTCAAAAGACCCGGGATGTGGTTATCCTTGGCAATCCGTCGCGGGGATGAGAATGTGCGTCTGATTTCTACTCTCCTTAAGTGGGCCAAGTCACCTAACAGAACTTTACGGGTGACTGATAGTTGTCTTGGACCGATGTGTAATCCGACGTGTCCCGAAGTATTCGCTTTCGTAGACTCCGCTGTTCAATGGAGCGATTTCCTCAACGGAGTGGTCCTTTTTATGAGTTTGGTAATGACTGTGTTAAGTGTTATCCTCAAGATAGTCTTTGTGGTTAAGTTTGCTCTGCTGAAAAGAGTTCAGGAAAGATGTCTTAAACAACATGAATCAGTAAAGGTAAATATTCGGGGATCTGCGCTGAGTGTCTTTAACGTAAATAAATGTGACATCAGCCTGCGCACACATTCTGAACCAATGATTACGTGACTTGCTGAATAACATCATCATCACTCCACTATGATCGTCAACCCAAGAGAGTTTATCTTGTCTTAATCAACATTGTTACTACGACATTAACGTCATCATCATCATCATCATTGGCAGCATTATCGTTATCGTTATCACTATCATTATCATCATCAACATCGACGTCACCATCATTATCACCATCATCATCGACAGCATTATCATATTACTATCATCATCATTATCACCATCATCATCAGCAGCAGGATCTTAATTCGCCATTTTCATCGTCATCATTATCATTTTCATTACTAACATAATAACATGATTATAATCGCTATAATTGAGCGTTTGTAATTATTTCTTTCTCTACTTAGGGCTTTGTTGGCGAACCAGCAATTCCCATCAACCTCGTTTACTCATCACCAGACGTTTCTACTCATTATCGATGCTTACTTGATGCTAAAAAGACTTACCGAAACATCGAGCAACCAAGAAAGGCCCATGAAGACAAAGCCCATGGATACATTGCTAAAGCTTATGACGCAATATTTTATGGAACTGTGCAGTATTTACGTGCAGCATTTGGAAAAAATATTCAACGTCCTGATGATGAAAACTGTCATGAAAGACAGTTCAATTCGAACAACATTCCGAGACGTAAAGAAAGTGCGGTCCTATTAGATGACGGTTTTAAAGGGCCGGACGAAGGTGAAACTGAAACGGAAAGTATGGGAGTAAAAACAAGCAGAAATTTTCATACCCAAAGTATTCATAACGTAGCATTGAGGTTCAATCAGGGTGAGTTTGTTGGCCTTGTTGGAAACCAAGGAGCAGGAAAAACAACTTTATTGGGGCTTCTGAGCGGACGACTATTGTGTGAATGCAAACAGGTAAAAGGCACAATGAGATGAGGGGTGTAGTTGGGATTTTTCAATGGGAAGGTTGTGTGTGTGTGTGTGTGGGGGGGGGGGGGGGTCACTATGTGTCACACCCATCGTTCTTACCATGTTGTAGAAGAAATTGCTTTCAAACTGTCTTTACTGATTTCGGACAACCTATAGACCTCAAGTTAGTGACCTTAATAACAGGAATATGTAAAAGCGGGAATCTATTTATGTTAATTTTGTGTGGTTTATTTTGGCCTAGAATTTCGGATTATTGGTGTGTCCGTTATTACAAGGTGTCCACAAGGCCAGAGATGACAAAAGTCACAGCGGAACAGTTGTCACAAAAGTTGTTTTAAAAAAATTGCCTAAAAAGCGAACGGTTGCTGAATACTAACTGTTGAGTTGTGGCCGAAGAGTAACGCCAAAGGCATCTGCTTCAAAAGCAAAAATTTACCGAATAGATGGCGGCTGTTTGTTGAGCATTTTCACTAATCATCCTTTTTTCCTTTTGATTCTTAAGGAACACTTGTTTATCAACTACGAGGAGATAGCTAAAGTCGGTGATAGATACAGAAATAAAACTGTCCAATTGTCGGAGTTTACTGTGCCTTATTATGGAAGACTTAGGTTGAGACAGTACCTCACACATGTTGCCCTGATGCGGATGGCTGGAAATGACAGCATGGTGGTGAAACGAGTAGAGCAAGTAATCTATGAGGTGCGTATCAAAGACTGACAAGAAATGATATAGTTATTTTGAAATTCACAATAATAGCGAATATTCGGCACGTTGACGTCATCAATGTCCCAACTCTGGGCAGTAACTGGCTCTTAAAACGAAAATTTCTTTTATCGCAGTTTCAGTGCTTGGCACATTTGTATAAAAAAACATTATGTTCAAAATTTTCAGTGACAAAATTTTAGCAATCTCGTTCTTTTGTTTATTTTTTGCAGATTTTTTCCTCTGTTCGTTATCTTATGTCCAGTCAAGTGTGAAAAAACCTATTCTTGAAATTAAAAGTTGAGCGTCGACGAGTCTTCCTGATCCATTCTGATTTAGGCTTAAAATTTTCACGAAGTCTTCCTTTTACCCATACAATATTTCTAAAGGTATTGTCGAAACTGTGCTTCAATATTCATTATCTTTTAGACAAAACTTACCACAATGGCGGAAGAAACAATGGATGGGTCATTCAAAAAGAGGTTTACTGAACTGCAGGTCTGTTTTTGCGGTTCTTTCTTTGTAATAAAAATCAAATTTCTTTCGAACAAGAATTGTTTCCTCCTGTAATTCTGAATTAAAAGACTTACTTTGATTGCAGACACGTCGTATCTGTTTAGCAACGCATCTAGTCACCAGACCTCTTGCCATTTTTATAGATGAACCAGTGGCAGGTACGTCATATAAAAGCGGACGGGAGGGACCTAAGTAACATTCCAGATGCAAGTTACTCGTCAATTACTAGAGCGAGTTCTCGCCTAACCAGTGAGCGTTCCAAAGATCTGGTGTTTTGACCAACATTTCTTTATCTTGCCTGTTGATGAATATAATGGTTCTACTAAATCTTTTCAGGTCTAAACGCTGTGTCGTCTTTGGAAATGCTTAATACTCTAAGAAGACTCAGTGATAATGGACACTTGGTGATAATAACATTGAAATCTCTTCCACCAGAAACAGCTGGGCTGTTCAACCAAATAGTTTTATTATCTGATCACCAGGTGGGTGAAAAATGAAAAGGAATTTGTACCTAAAGCGTCGTTTTCAGTGGCTTGTCAGAGAACTAAAACCAATTGAATTTTATTTTACCAATCAGAGCGTCGCACACTTAAATTGAACCAATCATAGCTCGACACGTGGCTCGACACCGGCGGAAGAAAAGTCGAGCAAAAAAAGTTAACTCTCGCCTCTGATTGGTCGAGAAAGTGGCGCGCAATTTTTTTGCCCAATCATTGATCTTAGAACGTAACAAAAGCGCTTCAGTATAGACAAATAGTGGAATTTGGGCAATTTCATTGGGTACGTCTTAAGTATAACTTATGTTGTCTACTTTAGGTGATTTTCAGTGGGAATCCGTCAAGTCTCTCAGAACATTACAGCCTTTTGACGGATGAAAAAACTGAGGACATAAAGGGATTAGAAGGCGAGTTTCTATCGTAGAGATTTATTATACTCGGAATTGTGTTTTTTTTTTTGCGAATGCTTTGTTTTTTGCCGGTTTGTATGTTTGAATAATCGAGTAAGACAAGAAGATGTCTTATGGCTCGTAGACGTCGTGCACGATTACTCGCAATGCCGGTTGATGGGCCATTTCCGAGTTACTCCAAGCCTCTGTTTCAAGGCGAGGCTAAGTGCGAAGCTATTGATATAAAAATGTTTCATTTTCATGCAAATCTTTCGTGGGGCCTGAGCCAGAGTTGGATCGGACATGCACAGTTTATTAGACCTACCACTCGTGTAACTGTTGTGCTAGTTTAGTAAAGTGATTCGAACGCTAGCAATGTTATTTGTGTTACACAAATAACACTCATTTCCACAGGACAGGTTTTGCAATTAGCCTCGCCTTGAATTTTTGAAATTCGAAAATGGCCTTTTGTATCGTGCGTCTACGCCTGACATTTTTGCATCATTACAGTAGTAGAGATATTCGTCGTCTCTGGCGTCAACCTCGTTCTTAGGTTCTCTCTTCTTCCCGTCCCCATGGCACCCTGGGAACGAGGAGGCGTATAAAGATAAGACGCACTTAACGTCGCTTTTAACAGCAGGACGTTTAGTGCGTCTGGGTGTCTACTTCTGTTTGGAGAAGAAGAAAATGTCCCTCCTAATAAACTATATTCTCTTGGACAATCAAAGAGAGAACTTTCAAAGGTCAAAAGAGATGGATAAAGTCTTTTCTCAGCCTCTCGGCTCTCAGTTGTGCTTTTCCTAAAGGCATGGCATACGGGACTGTTCGTGAATTATACACATTTACCCACTAGCAGCCCAGTTGTGAGTTACCAGTATTCACCAGCTGACGTTAGCATTTTTACAATATTCTTCAGAAATTGTATTAGAAATTCTTCAAAATAAAAAGATGACAGAGGCCATGATGACGGAAAAACATGTCGAAACTAGTGCCGAAGAAATCACCCAACCCAGCAAGATGGATAAAAATGTGCTGCTATCAAGGTCACAAAACTGGTATGTGAACGTTGGCTTTGTGAAAAATGCGCTGAGGTACAACCTAGGCTTAGTCTCCAGCCATGGGCATGGGTGTCTCGATACACCCACAGTCCTCCCCACCCGGTCGCATCGAGACACCCACGCCTTTAGCCTGTGAGAGCAGACGTCTACTCTCGTAGGCTACCCACGCCTTGACTAATCGCCACTCTAGTTTATTTCATGTACTCATAACAGATTGTCTTTCTTTACAGCACCGAAAACAGTGGGACCTTTACGAGGTTGTTTGTAATAGACACCAGAGAATCGTTGTCACATACACTAGGAAAAAGCATGTACTTACCAATCATGTTCACCATAGTTGGTTTGACTGCCGGGACTGTTTACTGGCAGGAGGAAAGGCCTGTGTTTATTATAACTGCGTACTGTGGTGCCTCTATCCCCAGTCTCCTCTTGCTCGGCTCTCTCCTTGAGAAACAAATTAACAGAAGTCTGGAGGTAAGTGAAACAACCCTTGCCTAGTTCCTGTACGTCGTCTTCCTAGGCCTTCTGGGTCAACGCAAATCGGTGACGTATCCAAGACAAACAAACCATGTGACCGGAAACGCATAGGCCGTGTGGAAAATGAGGCTTAGAGACTAGGTTAAAACAACCCGACAGTAAACCGCTGCTTAGTCTTGAAACTCTTTCCTCGGTTCTTTAATACATTGGGTTTTGAAAAATCACTGATCAGTCCGAATTTTCTATCTAAGAGAAGAGAAATAATGACACTGCTTGATCAAACAACAAACATAATTAAACCTTTAACATAATATTTTGGCCAGTCAAAGAAGCTTTTGTTAGGTCATCTTTTGCCTAATTTGTCTAGGGGGGGGGGAGGGGGGGGGATTTGTCTGATATTTACCACTTTAGAAACAAAGAGGCTAGGCCGAGTTAACTTTCGCAAAGAATTCCTGGACTGTTACTACGGACCGGGGGAAACAACTGGCCAATAGCTGACCAGCCCGTGCTCAGTATCGATCCCAAAAACAATTGCGCCACGCATTTGGGCTCCAATCCCCTACTTGTTTTTAAATGGGGGTGGGGACGAATTCCATGTTGGTAGCCGATAATCCTGTTCCCATATCTCCCACGGTCATTTGCAAACCTACAGACACACGCCAGTGAGATCTGGATTAGAGGCTAAGTAGCCAAAGGACGCTGAAAGGAGCTTGGCAACTGGTCAGTTGTATAAAAATTTGTCTTTGTAATGTCCACAGATTCTTCGACAGGATTCTTCAGAAAACGTTGGACATACCCTCGAACACGTGATTCAAACATTTACGACCACAACCGCCGCCTGCGTATTTCCAGTGGTTTTGTGCTCAGTTTTAACGTTCCTGATGGTATTGACGTCATATGATTGGTGGCGCTTTTTCCTGGTCACTGTCATTACACTAGTATTGAACCAAACGTGGATTGCAGTCTATATGATGATCATCTATGCGAATCCTAGCAACGCGTGTCACGCAACGCTTATGGTGGCCATTTTAGCAGGGTTTGCTAGTGGATTTGTCGTGACGCAAGAACAGATGCCTATAGGGTTAGTGAGTTCAGTGCTTAAACTGGTAATCTCTTCCCAGGGAAGGATTCCCCGGAGATGGAAAGAAAGGCCCTGGGAACGAGGTTGCCTTAACGGCCATAGACAATTTGTGTTTGTATTGTTTTTTGCAGATTCAATTTGCTGTTCTACATCAATCCCCAGTTGTACGGCTTCTCTGCTATTACTAAAGTCTTGTTACGGAATGTTCATCTAAAGTGCGAGTTTGAATCCGCTCTGAACTGTATCAGTAAGGACGGCAATGCTGTGTTGGCGAAATTCGAGTTTGATTCAGTGAATCCTTTTGAATATATGATGGTTAGTGGACCTTTTTTTATCGTGCAACAGGAAACCATGGCTGCCATGTTCAGTTTTGTCAAATCATGCTCGCTTACACTACTGTGGTGATACACGATTGACTGTGTTGCATGTCACGCCTAGTTACGTCATCTTTGGCATGTTGTACGTTTCCATCACAATATGTCACGCAACATTATTTTTGTTGTACGAGATATTTTGTTTTTGTTAACTCACAGTTATATTTTGTACATGGTATTCAAAAATCATAGTTGAAGATAATTATTGAAAAACCTCTGTTATATAGATTGGATTTGTTTCTTTTAGATTATGCTGTGCTTCACTTGGCTATGTCTACTTTTGTCCTGGTTTCTCTGTAACAGAAAAGTACCGCGATGGCGCCGCTCAGCCAACGAACCTTAAGCTGAAAGAACGTCCTCTCAAAGGAATTCTTCACCCCTCTACCTCTCTTTCAGCTAGGACCTCACCTCCGGTGGGGGCCGAGAAGGACTAGGTTCTTTTTCTCAGGTCCCAATGGCTACATTTCCACAGGGTCGGGAAGCCACTGAGTGGTTTACAATCCGGCATAGGCAGTAATAACAAAAATTGTAGCATTTTTATCTTTCCATTTGGCTGTGCCTCATATGTAATAAGGAAAGAGTCTGTCACAACAGCCATTACTCTGGTTGTATTTTTTTGCTGTTAAGCTGAAAAGCTGTTATTAAAAAGAAGTCTCAACCTTCAGATTTTAGAGTTTGACTGCTGCTGGAAGAACTGGGAGTTTTCACTGACTGAAAAGCATAATTTCCTTTCATAATCTCAGTTTGTCATCTGCACTCGGTCAATTTGCAAAAATCATGACAAATACAGCATCGATTTACACTCTGTTACATATATGTAAAGTAGATTGATACCTGGATATTAAGCATCTTCCTGTTGTTTTCTTCCGCAATAATTTCACGCACATGGGTAACCTCCTCAACAGACTAGACTTGCGGGGAAGAATGGTTGAACGAAAGTCTCCTCGGGCGCTTTCCATTTACGAAAAAAACCCGGAAATTTCGGTGGTAGCAAAAGTGGAATTTCCGATTGGTAAAAAGTTGTTCCATTTGGTCGTAAACCCCGGTACGTGGCCGGGTGCCCGACCGTGGACCTGGAACTGGTACAAACTACAAGAAACGTCAATGGAACACGACATTCCGTTCGGAAATTCCAGCCGGGGAAACGGGACCACCTTTTTAGATTTTCCACTTTTTCTGGGAATTTTCCAGTGGGACGAACCGACGAAACGTGTTCCATTTACCGCCGAACCGGAAATTCCGGAAATTTTGACTAAATGGAAAGCGCCCCTCATCTTATCTCTGCCCAGTCCTTTTTCACGCTTCGCTCATGTCCGAGTCCCAGACCCCTTCTCGAAACTCGCGGAATTACCAGGCCCAGATAGAAGGGTTTTATGTTCGCCCCTTTGGCATTCAAGATCACGGTTCTATTTGCGAAAATAATATACAGTAAAACTATTTAGTCGAGAAAATTCCAAAACTCAGAGCAAAAACTAATAGTTAAAGAAGCAACGTTCAGGGGCCTTTATGGTGAGCTAGGAGCTACCCTGGCTGTTTCTCTGGTGTTTCAAATGGCATTGGACACGAAGAGTACTAGTTACCGAAATTTTCAAGGATGGGCAATTTTAGGAGCCGGCTCCTGGCCATTTGGTGGTGCCATTTACAGTCATCTGCTGTTACACATTACAAAGAAGCATTTGTACACCTAAGATAACATAAAACAAATTAAAGAAAAGTAAGTGATAATTGATTTTTCCAAGACTTAGAAATAAATTTTGACGTCAAGGTGAAGATAATTATTAAAATAGCTTCAACTTCTAAATGCTGCGTTCTTTCGCGCCAAAAAAATGATCACAACACTCCCCTCCCTACCCCCGGTAATGCAACGTTGATTTCGCCCACAAAGACTTGTGGGAGTCTGCTCTTCTAAGTCCACGTCAACAGAGCAGCGGCCATCTTGAATGAGGACAGAGGCCTGTGATAGTTTTGTAGAAAATATCCAAGCGAATTTTATAACATGGGAGCTGGGCAATCTGCAGATATTCCTGGAGGTGGATCTGAAGGATACCATGTTCTCAGGGTAATTTCACGTCCGATCTACTTTGCACTGTTGTTTTATGCTGCTCTAGTTTAAAAGTTAATTTATCATGGTGAGCTTACGTTGCATTTTCAAAAGGTGAGCTTAGTGGTTTATTGGACGATTTCTTTCATGTGCTATGTTCTAGGTTCAAGAAAATTCACCTGGATACAAGGCTGGGTTAGAGCCTTTCTTTGATTTCATCATATCGATCGAAAATACGAGACTGGTAGGTTTCTAGTGTAGCAATTTATAGTGTTTATCTCAAGCTTATTTTAAAAGTTAAAAAAGATATTTTACTTTCTTTGTAGTATAAGTGAAATAGCCTGAAACTCTTGATAGTATAAAGAACAATTATTTAAGAGCTTTGTAAAAAATAATCGCTTGTGTCATTTCTTAAAAACAGATGTCTCTTTCTGAGTGCTTGAAGGAAACTTATAATTAGAGCACGTCATTCCATGCAATTGAATCAGCTGTGCTCATGACAGATAGTAGCAAATTTGCAACCACAGCGTCTGTTGTCACATTAATAAAACTCTTGTTGCAGAATGAAAAACGTAGTTATAATGATAATTATTGTAATAATTATATATGTAATTCTTATATTTTTTATTTTATTGTAAAAGTGTTCAAATAGAGAAAAATATTGTAGTAAGATTCGCAAGTTAGAAGGATAAATCATCTGAACGTAAATGTTTGTGTTACCACAAAATGCTGTGATTGGTTGCAAGCCATCATTGATGAACCTAAAATGTATATATAAAAAAAACAAGCATGTGATCGCAAACAAGATAAGTAATACTGGAGAGCTCCTCCTTATGTTTTTTTTCTCATTCTACATTCTACGTTTGGTGCACACACTCTTCATGTTATTATTTAATGTCGTCATTTTGGTCGTGCAATTAGTTAGTTTTTTCCTCTACATACCAATGATCCCCTAAAAGTAACAAAAGCTGTTTGTTTGATCTTGCTAGCTTGGCAATCAATATGTTTTTTGGAACTTCATCAAACAATATTAATTACTATTGTAATGCTTGGAAGGAAACAAACACAATAAATTTTGAAGCCGTAGTATTGGCTAGAATGAAAATATAGATGATAGTGCCAGAAATTAAACAAAATTATTATAAAGGAAAGTGTAAATACAGTTAAGAAATTTTTCCTTATATCTTGATACAACAAGCTTAAAGAAACACAAAAAAATCTAGGCATATTAAATATTTTGATTTTGAAGCTTTGTAGTGAGTTGTGAATTGAAAAATGTTTATTTCACTTTTTTAGGACCAAGATAATGAAACCTTGAAGGAAATCCTTAAATCTAATGCAGAGAAACCTGTAAAAATGCTTGTTTTCAGTAGCAAAACATGTAAAGTTAGAGGTAAGATCTTGGTTGTAAGAAAATTAATTTTGTAACTACATGATAAAAATTACACCTTGTTTCAAAATGCTGGCAATTTAGTTATTGTTACACCTTCATGGCAATTGGCCCTTAATGCCTGTTTGTAAGGTAAAGAGTGTTTTGAATTCCACTGTTGCAATTGAGGCAAACAGCATTCAAAAGAAAAGAAATGTTGCCGCCCTTTTGGAATAAGGTGCATGGCAGTGAAGTTTCTATATTTGTGTTGGATTTTTCTCCTCAAACTTACATGTGTTATTGAATTGTGTTTCTAGAGGTAAGCATCACACCAAGTAGTTTGTGGGGAGGACAAGGTCTCTTAGGTAAGACTTACTACAGTCACCTCTCTCCTAATGGACATCTCTATGAGACGGACACTTTGGTAAAACTGACACCTAGGGTTGGTCCGTGGTTTTCTTTATTCCCTTTATTTGACTGTCCATAAAATGGACAACACTCTCAGACGGACGCTTCATGCTGGCCCCAAGGGTGCTCATCTCAGAGAGAAATGACTGTACTGTATTTATTTATATTATTTATCATTCATATGGTTAGCACGCTTATAAATTGCAGTAATTTTTTCGTAGGGGTTACCATTAGATACATTCATCTGCCTTACGTTTGACGGTAGCTGACATATAGCCATCAGACTGCTCAATCAGTGAAGGAGAATTGTCAAACTTGATAAGCTTTCACCATTTTCTTTTCAAGTTTTAATGTTTAACAATCTCTGTTTTTTCTGTTCTTTTCACAGGTGTTAGCATTCGATTTTGCTCTTTTGAAGGAGCAAATGAAAATGTCTGGCATGTCTTGGTAAGTATGTATGCAGGTCTTCTGCAAGTCGTGTGACCATCATTGCAATTCTCTATTTTTAACACCCTTTCTTTTAAAGTACCAGTTTAAAACTTAAATTGAATATCATTAATATATCTCTTACAGGAAGTTCAACCAAACTCACCTGCCAACATTGCTGGATTAAGGTCCAACACTGATTATATTATTGGAGCTGATTCTGTTCTTCATGAAGTAAGGGTTACAATTCTCCTGTAGAAACTTGTTTTCAATGAGGTTCTTTGTTTGTTTCTTTGGAAGATCTCATGAAGGTTTCTCTGTTTTCATTTTGTAGTCTGAGGATTTATTTCAACTGATAGAAAGTCATGAAGGCAAAGTACTTAAGTTGTATGTTTACAATTCAGAAACAGATGGCTGTAGAGAGGTAAAGTTTTCGCTAGTCTGAAACAGTACCATAGAATGTGTAATTTGATTCATAGAGGGCTCTGAGCAAACTAATGCTTTTCTTTGAGACTGGCATAGTTTCAGTCAAATGATACATCTCAGAGGGAGTTATGGTGAAGAAAAAATACGAAAAATAAGCTAAGAAGGGTAATGAACATGTGTAAACCTTGTCACACAAGTCTCTTGTTGCTTTTTCTTTTAAAATTGTAAACATGTTCTTTGTTTGTAGATAACAATAACACCAAACAGAAACTGGGGAGGGGAAGGAAGGTAAGTTTTTGAATCCTGTTTATTTTAGCACACTGGAAACCTAATATTGTGGATCCCCTCCCTCTCTGGAAATTCCAGTTCATACTTGTGATCCCATTTCAACTTGGCACTGTGCACTCATCTGATTTTGAAATCACACATAGGAGTTTCCAGTTTAGCTTCATACTTTCCTTTTATAATTTTGACCTTTAAGACCCCCTCCCCCATACTCCATCAAATCTCTAATGATCCTTTGTATGGTGGGAATAAAATATTAATGTTTTCTCGGACCACAATATGCACGTAGCAAAGTGCCAGGACATAGAGAAAATGTGTTTCTTCTTTTGTGTTATGTTATGTTTGGTGTTATCCGGAATATTTTTACCATATAGTTCTGGGGCAACAAATAATACAGCTATACTGGGGGCAGGGGTAGATCTAGAGGGGAAGCGGGGGTGCAGAGCTAGGGGTGTACACCTACCCCCAACCCACCCACTTTGTAAAACAGGGTGGTCATGAGAATTACAGACATGATCACACAAGATTAATTTACTTGATGTTTTATTAATTTCTCCCCACTACTTCTGTAGGAAATCAATACGGGAACAAATGAGAATTCAGATTTTGATCTTAGGGTTTAAGGGTTAACTAAGATGAGCAAGAAGTGGGCCCTGCACAGCACATGACTCTTATTTATTTTACAAAATGGTATGACTTCATTTATGTTTGCGTTACATTTGTTTTATTTCAGCATGGGCTGTGGAATAGGCTATGGTTACCTTCACAGAATACCAATCAAAGATCCCTCTGAACTCCCTCCTCAACTCAAAGCTTCACCAGCTCCTGATGGATTTTCTGATGTAAGTTAGCCCAGATTCTGCTTCACAAAGTTTAGAGTTGTTTTTGAAAAATTAAAATAGTGATAATTTTGCTGATGAAAAGATTATTACCCTAAATGTTTCATCAGAAACACGTCAGAACTTTATTTATTTATTTATTTATTTATTTATTATTTCCACAATAAAGATTACACAAGCATTACATTATACAAAGATGTGGCGAGGGGACCTCAGAAAACCACAAGGCTTGTACGAGGAGGCCCCCTCGTTACAATAATATTAAGCAATAGAACTATAACAACACACAACAACGGACAGTACAAGACGCATTATCGATATAGTAGAAAATCAAAAACTTTCGTTTTAAACGATTGCAATGTAAAAATCGAAGTGACTGAGTTTGGTAAAGAATTCCAAATTTTAGGGCCTTGGAACAAAATAGAAAATTGTTTGGTGTTAGTTCGGCAGGCATGAGAACGAAATGCGAGGAACTTCTAGTATTATAATTATGAATATTGCTACTAGTAACAAAAAGGTTCGAAAAAAAGCGGTGGCAGTAATTGATGATAATATGAAAACATAAATTGTGCAGTATAGAATGAATTAATGTTGTATATGTCCAAAATCTTTAAACGGAAAAATAATGGTTCAGAGTTGTGCGCAAAAATCTGCATTTGTAATAATTGTACTGCTCGCTTTTGTAGAAGAAAAATTCTATTAAGGTTTGTTACATAAGTGGAGGACCAAACTGTGGTACAATATGTTAAATAAGGATAAATTAAGGTATAATAAAGAGACTTTTTTGTTGTTTCAGAAAGAAAGAAACGAGACCTAAACATGACGCCAATAGATTTTGAAATTTTCTTACATATATAAGTAATATGCGGCTTCCACGTTAGATGCTCGTCGATAAAAACCCCTAAAAATTTAACTACCTTTACTTGTTTTAATAAAACCTCATCATACAAGACAGGATTTATTGGGAAGCCGACTGGTTTTTGCCTTGCTGCAAAAATGATATAATTAGTTTTCGTTATGTTAACAGAGAGCTTATTTGCTTTCATAAAAAGATCAATTTGAGATAAATCATTATTTACGGCAGAAATAGCACAATTTAAATCGGGATTAGAATAAAACACACTAGTATCATCTGCAAAAAGCATAGTTTCAGCAAGACGAGTAGCACAAGGGAGGTCATTGATATACAAAACAAACAATAATGGTCCTAATATAGAACCTTGAGGGACTCCACAGCTCAGAGTCAGCCTAATAGAACAAGTCTCTTTGTACTGGACGAACTGCACGCGATTTGACAAATAGCTTTTCAACCAGCTAAGTGCTAGCCCATGAATCCCATAATGCTCAAGCTTAGACAAGAGTATTTGATGGTCTAAAGTATCAAATGCTTTTGATAAGTCTAAGAATATGCCAACTGTATATTCGCTTCTGTCAATAGCAGTTGCAATTTTATTAATAAGATGAATTAAAGACAGCGCTGTAGAATATTTTTACTAAATCCAAATTGGCAACAATATAAGATATCTAAACGATCTAAAAAATTTGTAATACGATTGTGCATAACTCTTTCAAAGAATTTAGAAAAATTAGAAAGAAGCGAAATTGGACGGTAGTTAGTGAAATACTGGGAATCACCAGCTTTAAATACGGAATCAGTTTAGCAATTTTCAGTTCATCAGGAAATACTCCTTTAATAAGAGACAAATTGATTACATTGGCCAAAGGCTGAGAAATGAGATCAAAGGTGCTTTTTATTATATCCATTGAAACGTTATCATATCCAGGCGACTTTCCAGATTTAAAAGAGTTGCATATTTGATTTAGTTCGAAATATTAGTTGGATTTAAGATAAGCGACTCATTAACAGAAACGCCAAGAAAACTACGAAAAGATACTTGTGTGTCTGGAATTTTCCTTGCTAAATTCGGACCTATGTTGGTGAAGAACTTACAAAAGCAGTTAGCTATTTCTTGTGGATCATTTAACAGTTTTCCATCAGAGAAAAAGGAATTTGGCAGAGCTGCTTTTCTGCTCGGTTTGTTGATTACATCATTGATTAGTTTCAAGTTTCTTTCAGGTTATTTTTTAGCCTTCTCAAATTTTGTATCATAGTACTTTCGTTTAGCAATTTTTATAAGATGATTCAGTTTGTTCCGATAGCGTTTGTATTTTAACTCAGTAGTTGAGTCCCTAGAATTAATGAACTGCTTATAGAGTTTATCTTTTTCCTGATAGAAACAAGCAGAGATTGCGTTATCCAAGGGGAGCGCATTACTTTCTTTGTTTTAAGTTTTATCGTTTTTAATGGAAAGCTTTCATTGTATAATCGAACATACTCACTCACAAAACTATTATAACATTCATTAGTATCGCTTTCATCGAAACGTAAATTCCAATTAACACGAGAAAGAGAGAGCCGAAAATTGCTCTTATTTCTTTCTGAAAAATCTCTTTTAGTGAGATATTTAGTTTGGCTATTTTTCGACGCTATTTCTGTCTCATCCACTTCATAAACAAAAACCGGTAGATGGTCAGAAATATCATTAATAACAATACCATTGAAATGTTTACACCTTACATTATTCGTGAATATATTATCAATAAGTGTGGCCGAATGAGCAGTGATCCGAGTCGGTCTATTGATTAGAGGAATGAACATATGGGAAAATAGACTATCAACAAATTCTTGAGTAGGGGCATGATCGGAATAATGAAACAGATCTATATTGTAGTCTCCACCCAAATAACAATATTTGTCATTTCTAGTTATTTTAGCAAGAATCTCATTAAATTTTTCCAAAAAGTCTCGAGTGTTATAATTAGGCGGACGATAAACAGTACCAACTATAATATTTTTCCCATTGGGAATGTTAATTTCAACAAAAAGAGTTTCGATCACTTCAGGTTCAGAATAATTACAATCGCGGCATAATTTGTATTCTAAATCGTCAAGTAAATAAAGACCTGCTCCACCGGCGGACTTGCTATCGCGGTGGTTCGAAATAAATTTATATCCAGGTATTTCCACCTGGTCCGACGTAAGCTCAGTTAGCCAGGTTTCCGATACGCATATGGCAGAAAATAGATTTTGCAAATGACTAAGCAGGGATTTAAATTTAACTTTGTTAGAAACATTTGTTGTATTTGTTAAGTTTACCCGCTACACAGCATCTTTATTTATTTAACCCTTTATTAGTCCCAATAGTGACCAAGATCAATTTTCTCCTAACAATATCTATACACTGTCAAGAGATACGTTATGAGAATAAATAAAATGATCACCCAAGAGAAAATTCCTTGATCTATTATCAAATTCTCTCAACTAATTCTGTAAGGGAATGTATGGAGATCATTTTGGAGAATATGTATGTTGATATTGGGGCTCAAAGGGTTAATGCATATTTGCAATGTATGCTGTTGTCATTAGGTTCCCCTTGTTGGTCCTACGACACCACCCACGTCGGTACCTCTTGTTGCTGTTTCAACATCAGCATCACCAAGCCAAACAGCAGGTCTTGAGTCGGGAATGGTGAATTTGAATCTTAACAATCCTGCAGCCCCCGGCCATGAATCCATTCAGTACTCTCCCTGCTGTGTCTCCAGCTACTACGACAACTGGAGCATATCCAGTGGGGGCTCCACTGGTGGCACCTGGTAGTACCTCGCCTTCAGTGCCTTCATTCTCGCCCCAAATACAAGGAACTCCTGTCATAGGAGGACTGCCGCAGCCCTTGATTCCATTAGCACCAGTCAATACATCTCAATCATCGCCTCCACAAGCGCCAGCACCAGCTGAAACCTCCTCTGTCACAATAACAGCAACTGCAGCTCCTCTTATGACTGATATCACTGCCGGAGCAAGCCCAACTCCGTTAATACCTGTGACAAGCACTTTACCTACGAGCGGTGACATTGCAACATCTTTTACACCATCACCGCCACCAAAGCAACCCATTGTTACATCATAGAACAGCATATAATATTTAAAATGATTTGACACTTACTGAATATATTAAAAAATAGTCCTATGAGTATTTGATGTCATAATGCCATGAAGGGTCAAAAGAGCACAGCCATTAGATTCTGGGACATAGTGCAGCCCTGCAGTTTATGGGGTTGTTGCATATACTTTGACAGACCAACCAATTTACTCTATGGAAGGTGTATTTCATTAGCCGTATTCACACTAGAGATGGATCATCTGTCTGAGACGGGTTATCCGTTGGATAATTCACGTCAGACAAATAATATGTCTAAATCTGAAAATGGAATGGTCTTAATTTTAGATGGACAATCCGCCTGACTTTATCTATCTGTTTTTCCACCAAATTGGTGGTGTTTGAAGATGGATTATCGGTCTCAGACGGATAATCCGTCTCTAGTGTGAAAACGGCCATTAGTATTTTTGTACTGTTTTATGTGAATCTTGTGCTGGTAAAGTCCTGAACAGAACCTTAAGGTGTAACTTGCAAATGTGTGACTACTTTAAATTATTTTGTGAAGGAAGTTGTTGTGTGAAAATGACTTTCTAATGCAAAGAAACCAATACAAGGCTTAAAATGATGCTGACTTGATTTCTGAGACAAAATTCTTTATTGTGTTTTTTCAAATGAAACCCCTTCAGGGTGAGTGTTGAGTGATATTATTCTAAATTGCTCCTCAAAAAATGATTTCGGGGAAATTACAATCAAGTGACCTGCAATTGCGGAAGTATTTCTAGTGAGGCCCAGTTTGGATAAATTCCGACAAGCAACATGGCCTTAAAACAGCGACATAGGACAGCAGAAATGATGACAAACGACACAAAGTTGGGCTGAAGCTACGACAGCAACAGAGAAAAACGCTGACATTGACATAGCTTCCTCCTCAATAATGCGAAACAGACAGGTTTCAGACGAGGGACATACATTACCCCGCTAAGAGGCAGAAAGAAGTGACAATCAGAAATACGTCTGTGTTTGCAGGCTAGAAATCTAGTAGAACAATGAAATATTTTGCAATGTGGGAGACAAGTTACTCTAAAGGTTTACAAATTAACAGTGGTCACACTTTTTTCTGTCACTCTAATAGATTATTACATACTTCTTATTTTGTTTTATTTCATGGAAGGGAAAGAGTCAGTTCTACCAGGTTATCACTCAAGATATTATTAAGATGTTAGCATGCCATTAAGGTTGTTCACCAGTTGTACAATAAGCTTGAGAATGATATTTTAATGACATGCTAAGTGCAGTGCAGGTATAGTAAAATACACTTCTGTAATACAAATAACGGTAGCAAGTGCAGAGTTGTCACATCTCCGTATATGTTTGCATAATGCTTCCCATAAAATTATCCTTCTCAAACTCATCAAGTATTACTTATTAGGAAGCTTATGCAAATCGTCTTTATGAGAGAAAATACACTTGGCATTTCAAACTTGGTAACGCCAACGCATTTTAACCCTTTCGCTGCCAGATTGTTTGATGGGGTTTTGTAAGGTGACTTTAACTTTTGACTCTATGGACGAAATCCTATGATGTGACCATTCAAATGAAAGCTCTCTGCCTGTACTTACACAAGATGCCATTTGTTTCTCAAAATTTTAGAAAATGAAATGTGGAACTTTGGTCGAAATTTGCCTTTGGCCACATTTGGCAGTGAAAGGGTTAAAGAGAAAGCTCCCAGGGGCGGATCTAGGGGGAGGGTGCAGGGGGTGCGCACCCCCCTCCCCCGAGATGACCTGCGGTTTTCTAATACAACTGGTATTCTGCCAAAAAAAAACTATGTGGTTTATCGGTGTTGAAGTAGAGCAAGAGACGAGTGCACCCCCTCCTAAAAGAAATCCTGGACCCGCCCATGGCTCCTCACTTTCGGTTGACGTTCGTCGCTTAAAGCGGTTTTGCTTAAGCTCCCCATTATTACTAACAAAAGAACAAAGGGAATCTGATCTTGAAGAGGGTTTGGATATGAATTTCTTCAAATATCTAAGTCACGTCCACTGAGGGCAGCGCAAAAAAAAAGAAAAAAACAGAAAAACAAACAAAACAACAACAACAACAACAAAAAAGTAAAACAAAGTAAAAAGATGTTTTATCATACTACCACAAGCCTTCCTTGGAATGGTAATAGTGATAAATATGCGTGGTGCGCATGCGTTCAAATTCTATTCCCAATCCGAACAACTGATCCACTAGTGCCCAGTCCTCACCGCCCCACGTGTTTTTCTGCACAGGGAATCCTCCTGCTCGGTCCCAGTCCGATTTGTACATTCCTATTATTCCGTAGCCGTAAACCTGCCACTCACCCGACAGGTCTTTAGGGTTAGCTCCACAATCCATTTGGACGATGATTGGTGTGTAGATCATGCGTCCTTCGATGCAGTGCTGCGAGTGAACAAAGAATGCATTATTGCAGGAGCTTATAACTGAGAGCCTTTATCTCCAATACAAGCCCTTGGAGTCAACCCTTTCCCGGGAGGATTTATAAATAGAATGGTTCCCAGGGGAGGCTTTGCACGTTGACAGTGAAAAGGACCAATGGCCAATGACTTAATAACCCTCTATATAAATCACGGTCCTAGTTTCATAAGGTCTTTTTCCGAAATGCGTTGATCTGAATAAAAACTTGTAGTTGTTTTGTCTGTCAGTGTAATGATTCCCTGCTATATTTTGTAACGCCGAGCCCACAGTCTTAGTCAAAATTGTTGGGACACTTTGCTGTCTCCTTGCCCTCCCAATGTTGGTGAGCAAGATTTGGTGAGTTAACTGTGATAACCAACATTGGGAGGACGAGGAGAGGGACCAGAAGTGGAAAAAGAGCGTTGGTTGGAAGTGCCCTAACTATTTCTGTCTGAGACTGCAGCTGTTGTTTTCTCACGAATAGTGATCTGTTATCATTAAGTTTAGTTTCATTATACCCAGATCCAAGCAGCTGTAAAATCTGAAAAACGGACGTATGGTTAAAAGGAAAACGGTCGCAGGACAGGCTCCTGATTTCGCCTTCAATTTCGTCCACGTTTATTTTTTACGGTGACATACGAGACTCGCGGAAATGCGACACTTTTCGCGGGAAACAAAACCGCTCTATTTATAAATCTACTCGAGAAAGGGTTGACTCAAGAAATCAGTGGAGATAGTCAGAGAAAATTCCTAGTCGCCGAGGGCGACTAGGAACGACGCTGACGATTCTCATGATTCACTTGCGGAGGTCAGTTACTGACATATGACAACAAACTTACCTTTCTAATACTGTTAATAAGAGGACTTGCTATATGCAAGTGAAGATCAACCATGAATATGATACTCTGTGGGTCTGATACCAGATTTATTGCCTCAGTAAATGACCTGGTCCGTGAGTATTCACCATCTTGCCTCAAAAACTTGTAATTTTGTAAAGAGCTCTGCTTTAATACTTTCTCCAAGTCGATGTCAGAGCTATTGTAATCGAATATTATCACGTGAAGATAAGGGTCTTCTGTTTCCCGCATAATCCTTTCCACGTTCCTTATAAAGTGATGAATCCATCTGCCAAGATTTTTAGCTGTAACAACAAGGTAAACCGGTGCTGTTTTGTTCCACTCAAGATCCTTTGGATAACAAAGCTTCTTTGTTCCATTAGGCATGAAAACGTATTCAGAGAGAAGGACCGTTTTGTTGTTTGAAAGATCCCTCAATTCCGCATCAATCAGATACCTACTTCCTTTTATGGTATCAGTCTTTCGTTCAACACCTCTCACTTTCTTGAAGACAAATTTCCTGGAGTGCAAACAAATCCTAACAGCTAGTAACCTACTTCAATACTATTGCAGACGACTCTCTCTTGACGGATTCCTCTATAAGACGGATGGACACGTAGGGTTGGTCCCTCCCTTTCTTTACCCCTTTTCTTTTACTGAGGGGAGGGGCAGAGGGGAAAATTCTTGTCACAAGTTCACAAACACCAATTTTGAGTTTCACAAAAAGTGTACTTGATCTCGGCCACGAGTTTGGGTGATCTCTGCGCGGCTATAAATTCCCTACGGAAGCCATCTGTACGTGGGTCTGAGCTCACTGAAGTGTGAAGTGACATCAAAAGACTCAAACGTGAAGTTAAATCATGCAGCCAGATGCTAGTTATTTAGATCGTTGGGCCAAATTTATGAGCTTATTTCTTTAACTCATCTTGATTGTAGGTGTACCGTATAGAGGATTTTGGCAGTTCATGTTTCACGGAGTGCATTTCAATCACGATTCACAGAACAGTTTTTCAGTTAGTTCAGTGGACACCAAAAATGGTCGAGCACGGCTTCACGAAAATAAGCTTACCCCCCTTTTACTTTCTATAAGATGGACATCACTCTCAAGGTGGATTTCCACTGTCAAGTAATTCTTACGAGCGTAAACGTAAAAGTTGAGCGAGGTTGCGCGTAGGCGACAGTAGAACTCCACCCACACACGGATACTTTATAGTGCCGTCCTTAAAGGTGTCCGTCTTAGCAAGAGTCGACTGTTTCTCTTAGAAAGGTTAACTACCCATCTTCTTTAAAAGAAGAACATTAGCAGAGATACCCTTAAGTCATAGGTCCGATAACAGACTGGAACTGAATTTTCTTGAGTCTATGTACAGACGCACCCTCCCCTCCCCCTCTACCCTTTTTTTTAGGGGAGGGGGCGTCTGTGGACATGGCTATGGGGTTGTGTGCCCTATGTAGTCAGTATAAAATGTAGTTTGCGTAATAAGTTTGGATGCGATACAACAAGCATGAGAAGCAGTGTTTCATCACCAGATGAAACACTGAGAACGACGCGAAGAGACGTATTTTTGACGAACTTCAAGGTGTTTCATCTCGTGACGAAACACCGCTTCTCATGCTTGATATATTACTTAACAAATATTCCCTACATCGTGGGTTTCGATCAAGTGACGACGACCCCAGTACCAACACCAGACCGGTCTCCACCCACAAAAACAAAAACGCAAACAAACAAACAACAACAGCCACAAAATTGCCATGGTCCTTTTGCGCGACTCTTTTCTCGTGGTTTCTAATACGCCCCTGTGCCCCCATGTTAAGAGAGAATTCACTTGGATTAATTGTCTTGAGAACAAGAAAAGTGTTTTTCATCAAAATTCTTATACCCACCCTGGTCTACTTTGCTCGAGCGACTTCATGAAGGTATCGACGATCTGAAACGCTTCTTTTTCATCCAGGGGAAATATCCAGTATTTCTGATCTTGAAGTTGTGGATGCTCAGGAAACGGGTAAATAAATGTATGTACAACATGATAAATTACTGCATGATATCTATCCACTTTGTGGTTGACAACATAGCTTGGGCTGTACTCACAATACGGCAACGTATCTTTAATTTCCTCGTGCGATAAATAGCTTATCTCTTCGTATACCTTAAAATAAGTCTCTTGATGTCGTCTAGAAGCGCAGGTTGGAGAATCTGGTATCAACTCGTCGTATAATTTTACATGTTTAAAATTGCTGACTTTGTGGTAATGAGATAGAAAGCTTCCGTTTATAATTTGAAAATCATAATGCTGTGGTGTTTTCCACAGAACTTGTAGTTGGTTTGTTTCTTCAGAGCAAATGGAAATCACTTCTATGTAATACTTTTTTCCGCCTATCAACTCAGCTTCGCCAACATCTTTCTGCTCTTGTGAGAAGTCGTCGTCGCTGTAAATTCTTCTTGTGCGTAGGTTGGTCTCGTCCTGACCAAGCCAGATTTCGGCCGAGCAAAACTTGACCTTGAAAAAATACAATCCAGATGTCCACGGAGTGACAAAGCCGAACAATCTCAAAGTCTTAACGTTTATTCCACTCTCGTCTGGATCAACCATTGTCCTGTTAAGCAATACCCTCGCGTCCGGCGCTTTCGGATACATAGGAAAATTACACAAAGCGTTTAAGTCTTTCGCGCATATTCCAATCCACACATGCAGGTTTAAATTTCCAGGCGCATTTTTCGACGCGGTTTTAGGCGTTGTTGTCAGATTAAAAACTAAACCAAATCTGGAATAACGAGAAAAACTGTAATACACGATGAACTGTGATAAAGCGAATAGTAAAATGGCGATCTTAAAGGCGAGCGAGCGTCTTCGATAAATTGAAACCAAGGATGAAACAAACACAAGAGTTCCCATATTCAATTAAGACTTCTTCGTTAATTTTTTTTTTGTAAGGCGATCAAAAGTTATTATATAATTTGCTTAGTTATAATTTGTTTAGTACGTTTACTTTTTGAGGCCACATTCTACAGAGAGCGAAACGGTTTCTATGGCGAATCATGTACCAGTGGCTAAATGGCTACTCGCGAAGAAATTTAAAGCGATTATTTTGTACCGCTATTCTTGGTTCAACTGTATTTAACAAATTTAACCTTTTAGCCTTTCCAAATTCAGTTTTGAGAGATCAAAAGCACCGAATGTACCTACTGTCTCGCTCTTAACAGACCACATATCGCAAAAGGCTCAAAACTTTCAAGGGTCTCGTTTTATATTTTCAGATTCAGCAACATTTACTAATTATATAAATATGTATGTATAAAAAATAAATAAAATAAAAATAAATAAATATATAAATATCAGAAACAGATTTAAGACAGTCTTGAAGTTTAATATGACGAAGTTCACCCTTTTTTACATAATTAGAAGGTTCAAAGTATTATTTACCAAATTGTGCTTTCATAGCGATGACAAAGACTAACTATTCAGGAACCTAAATATAGATACGACCAGAGAAAACTTGAATCTACACAGAAATCCTTGGAAATGCAACTTAATACCCTGCAACACCACTTTGTCGCATCTGTGTAGCTTTATTCTCTTGGGCCCAATATCCACATACAAATTCTACAGATTGAGCTCCATACAGAATACCTTACAGAATGAGTTGAGAGAATTTGCCAAAAGCTCAATGCACTTTCCCTTTCGTGATTATTTCATTCGTTTTTAAAACTTTTTCTCTTGATCATACAGGGATATCGCTAGGAGGAAATTGATCACTCATCGGTCAAAAAGACTCTTGAAGGAATGTTGTTTCACTTTAGCATGCTCAACACGTAGCTTTAGCGAAATACCCCCGGGGGTTAATATCTTAAATTGTTATATAGCTGGAAATTTTTTCCCAACAGCGCGCACTCTCATCTTCGAGGTCACATGACATCTAACAATGAAACTGTTTCCCGCCGAAACCTCTAAGCGGGGAACATTGCAAATAATTCTTAGACAGATGGTTTGGAGTCTTACATCCCGTGAGATTTGGTGGATTATAATATGGTATCTTTGCAAACTACTGTTTCCAGAAAATGTAACCATCCCCACAGCGTCAGCCTCTACAAAGAACACCGATCGTTCTTTTTCTCTTTTTACAACAATTCATGTAGCCAAAAGTCCCTGCAACAGGTTTACGGAGAAGAAAATATAATGCGAATGAGGCTGTCGCTTTAAATGTATTATAAAGTAGCCATATTTTGTTTTCCACAAATACTGTGATCACCATCTCACGTTGATGAGGCTGATATAGCCTGATGTGTGATCTCTTCGCCGGCCTCTACCAGTCTGCTCAAATAACATCGTCCACTGTTGACTGTTTTCAAGGTTTGTTCAATTTCTGCTTGACTGAAATGATGACAAGAAAATAATATATGGATTTAGCCAGGGCTTAAAGCGAAGCTCTCTTTAATATTTATAGTTTACTAAAACAAAATATAAAAACGAGTAGTGCTAAAGAAACGGTGAATTGTTAGTCTTTACACTAAGCTGTTAAGTAAGATTTAAGAGCTGCTAAGTTTTATTTAACCAAAGATACGTGTGTGAAGGACTAAGTAAATTCACAAGTTATATTACTTTGCATCTCATTAAAGTCGGAAAGTTGAAACGATTCAAGAAAATTTTCAAGTGACTTGAAAACCATCCTCAAAACTTTGCGAACTTGCGGTTTCTTGAGCTTTGAGAAACGCGAAGCATGTCAATCAATTCGAGTTAGCGGGAAGTCGAGGGTTCGAGCTACCGACGGTAAATTTATAGTAAATGTATGAAGGAAATCCAGGTGAAATCGATTTTGGTTCGAGTTAGTGCGAGGTTTGAGTTTAGCGAGGGTTCGAGTTGTCGGGAGTCAACTGTAAAAGTTAAGTTTAGTCGGACATTGGCCGATGAGAGATTGCTAATTGCTGCTTTTTGCAAGCTATAAAACAATCGTTGCCTTGGTCTTGAAAACAGGAAGAGCGCTTTAACGGCTGAGCATATTGACTGTGATCATACGAACCTGATATCACCCCACTGATGTGCCACCGTAAAAATAACTCCTTCAGGGTAGGACTCGAACTGCAGCTGTACATGAAGCACAAACCTGATCCTTGCCTCGAGACTGTTGAACAACACTGAAAATCTGCAAAGAGATACTTGTTAGAGCCACTAGTCTGGCGAGTTAGCTAATCACATAAGCAAGGATAAACAAAACTATAACCATTGCAATTGGGAGTTCTAACTTTTGAGTCTGTGGATAAAATCCTATAGTGTGACAATTCAAATGAAAGCTACTGAGCAGTACTTTCCTGTGGTACTGTTTATTATGCTGTACAGGGTGGTTCTAACTTTTGAGTCTGTGGATGAAATCCTATGGTGTGACCATCCAAATGAAAGCTACTGAGCAGTACTTTCCTGTGGTACTGTTTATTATGCAGTACAAGGTGGTTCTAACTTTTGAATCTACGGATAAAATCCTATGGTGTAACCATTCAAATGAAAGCTACTGAGCAGTACTTTCCTGTGGTACTGTTTATTATGCTATACAAGGTGGTTCTAACTTTTGAGTCTGTGGATAAAATTCTATGGTGTGACCATTCAAATGAAAGTTACTGAGCAGTATTTTCACATGGCGCTATTAGTTTTGCAGTATTTTACCAACTGAAATTTAGGTTTTTCATATAAATGTCATTTAGGCAAAGCTAAATTTGAGCTAATGCAGCCAGCTTCCCCATCCACAAGGCGATGACCTGTGGGGTGGCCTCCAAGGTTTTTGCAGGGTTTCAAGGTTCATTGCTATACAAGTCCAGTGTTATTAGCTGATCTTTGCGGATCAAAAGCACAGCTATCGCTTGCGAATCACCGCGAATTCTTGCACCCACTCCTCCCTCCTGTTATTGTGTTTGGTTAGTAAGGTAAGTACTTATTCAGGTAAGCTATTTCCAGTGAATTATTTCAGTGTGACGATGCCGGTAGGCGAGCGCTTGTTTCGGTGGTTCTCGAGTACCAGGGTTGCCATGGATACCTCCCTGCGACTTATGGCATCTGACACCCCGCTGACCTTTAAGGCACCAGTTCCGATGCTCATCTAGTTCTGATGAGTCTAATTGAATTTTGAACAGTACACGAGTAGTAACAGCAAAAGGGCTCCTGTGCAGTAAAATCCTACCTGTTTCCTTCCAAGGTCGTCAGATGCTTCAGACCAATCCTGAAGAGCTCGTCGCCAATACATTTAGAATCGTAGAGTATCCAGGACATGTGATACAACACCTAGCAATTACATACGGTCATTTAGATATATTAATCCACAACACTGTCTAAAAAACCTTGTATTATTATGTCAAGCTTTATTGGGCAAGATCAAATCGAAAAATAAAATATAAAAAAATAAAAATTGAAAATATACAAACATAAAGAATTAAAGAACAAAAGGGATAGATAAAGGAATGTTTATTCACTGTCCATCATATTGAGACGATCGTACCTCGGGTAAGCTGTTTCTCGTGGGACACATCTGTGTAAGTTTGGACTGATTTGTCCGCTGATTGATGGCTGCATGAACGCATCTCTGGTAGGAGTTAGTATGCTCTGTAAAGAATATAGAAATGCGCGGAAATCCTAATAAGGATAGGGATGATAATGATGATGACTGAAGGTGATGGTGACGATGATGATCACGAAGATACTGATGATGACGATGGCGATAACGATGATTATTTTATTTTACTATCATTTTGCCATTTAAATTAAATATGTAAACAAAATAATTATAAAAAAAGATGAGGCAAGGGAGCCCAGGGAAGCCAATGAATAAGGCTTATAAAAAGGACCACTTTTAAAAACATAACTTCATTAATGAATATAATACTGGCATCTGCAAGATAATTTAACTTACCTTATACAATTTCTCTACAACAGAGAAAATGTACCGATGATGATGATGATGTTAATAATAATAATGATGATGGCGATAATGATGATGATGGTGATGTTAATGATGAACATGACATAACAACTTAAAATGATTTTGGTAAAGGTGTAGAGCAGTGTTCAGCTATTGGACAAAAAAAGCGTGTATCGTTAAAAGATTCTACGTAATAAATCCTCAAAACTTAAGTGTGATTTATATCAGTAGAAATCTCAAACTTCATGCTCCTACATCGCTTACCTGAAAAATTTAGCTGCAGACTTTGCACTTCCTGATCAGGAATACGGCCTTCCACACCTAAAAGATGAAAATCTACAAATGTTGATAATGTTTGAAAAAAGTTGTGAGAACACATAACATATCTCCTCTATTGAGCCACTGCCATCTAACATTACAAGCCTAAGGTGCCAAAAATATAAATAAGCCCTTGCCCAGAAAGACTAATTCACACAAGCGACGCAAAAACAAACCTAACAAATGTTCATGGTTTGTACAACTCCAGGCAAACAAATTTCACGGATTTTTTTAAGAACAAATTACAGTATTCAAGGACTAAGAATTATTTAAATATTGACATTCTTTAAACCCCTTTGATCACCCTATTGGCTAAAACACGTCATGGAGTCATTTACGATTTTTACTTCTTCTGCCATCGTTCATCACATTTTTTTAAACTACTTTCTGCATCAAGACTTGACTGGGTATGAGTTGCAATTGTATCTGAGGTACAGAAATAGCATTTGAAACAAAGAAACAGAAACGAAGTATTGTTCATGCCCAAAAATGTTTTAACAACACCCGTGAGTTGTACAGGTTCTTACATCGAGGATGAGCCGAATTTCCCTTGGCAAAAAAATCGAATTTTACGGGAAAAGGTGTCTTGCTTAGACAAGGTTGTGAATTTCAAGGACTTTTCAAGACCCAATAAAGAAATCAAGTACTTTTTAAGGACCTAAACCGAATTCAAGGACTTTTCAAGACGACTAGTAAAATTCAAGACCTTTTCAAGATTGTACGAACCACGAAAACGCAAGTGTGAACTCGTCAGCCATTGCACTGGCGTTTGAATTTCACCCGTGTAAATCGAAACGACGCAGACGTAAGCACAAACGCAATGTGAAAATTGTTGGAAATTATGCATGATGCTCAAATGGGAGCTTGTGTCTCACTGTGCTTGCATCTGTGTTGTACGTGTGAATAACTCTTGTGCTTGTGTAGCTCATGTAAGCTAACTCTAATAGGGGTTACTTTGAATAAACAAAGTCGATGCTTCAATAAAGAATACGAGCACTCAATGCCCGACATACCAGACAGCGTGGCAGTCTACAAACACCTTGTAACCAAAAACGGGTCAGTTTTTCGTACACTTGTTGGAAATTGCACATTTCCATAAAAACAAGGAAATTTATTAAACCCCATTCTCCAGTCCAACTTATTACGAACGGAAGTTGTATTTGACTTTAAAAAAGCAAGAGTTAATTTATCCTTTCTATGGACTTACCAGATCCTTTAGGTTTGAAGAAAACCACCATGTCCACTGTTCCTTTAAAGAAGGTGAATTTAGCATGCTCCTGATCCCATTCATTCAGTTCCCATTCTTGACAGCTTTAATAAACATTTTTAGAAGAGAACACTTTAATAGAGAGCTTAAGATTCTAAGGGGCCGACCATTTAACTCTTGAGGAGGGGGGGGTTGGGGGGTGGGTGATTTTGAAAAAAAATTTCCTGCAAGCGCTTGTCCGAAGAAAAAAATTGCATGCAGCACAAATGTAATAGAAAGCTTATGGGAAAAAAAGGGCAACAAATATCCTGCCCACCAGATTGCTAGAAAAAAATTCTTGATGACCAGAAATCACCCACCCCTCCCCTCAAGAGTTAAATGATCGGCCCCTAAGACGTGGACGACAACAAGATTTTCTCAATACTAAGTTGTGCGCGCGCGCGAACCAGCGTCATTTTGGCGGGAAAATGTGACAGCCGTCGTCATTCTACTACGAATTTTAGCGAAAATGTCGTAGTAGCAAAAACAAGTTATCAAATGTTACGAATTTTATTATTAAGCGATCGGGCGAGGGCTTCACCTCCTTCAACGGAAATAAGCGAGCTAATTTTTGTGGTGAAAGAAAGCAAAATGAAGCTTTCCACAGTTTCTATTTTCAGGTAACAGGCGAGAAAACTTCAAATTAAATGTCGAACTCAGAGCTCTAAAGCTCTCTAATATCCAGCAAAGACGACAATAAAAGAAACTTCGTATCATAGAATCGAAAGCTTCGCTTTCAAAATAGTCCATGGTTTTGTATTAAGAAATATATCATCTGAAAAAGTATGCATATACCTCTCTAGCAAATTATATTCGTTTTGTAATCTTCTGCTTTTTGCATTATCTTCTGCCTTTGAGACCTCGAGCTAAAAACAAGAAAAGCCAACAAAATTACTGCGCTATTTGTCCTCCAACTTCAAAAGCAAATCGTTACAAATGAAAACGTTCATTCATAGCGTAACTAATTAATCACCTACCTGTTCTCGGCGTAACCTTATTTGTTCTTCCAGTTCGTGTAGTTTTTGTTTTTGCTGATGTACAATGTTCTCCAGCTCTTGTTTCTCCCTAATACGAAGCAACAAAGTACACAACAAATATTAAAGGTTAGGCACATTTTAGCACATGCTTCAATTGAATTATGGCTTTAACTGAACTACCGTTTCCTGTCGAGCCAAATTGGATGAAACGTCACCAAACTCTGATCCTACGCCTTCTTAATCATGATTTGTTCAGTCCATATGCTTTACAGAAATAATAATAAAACATTCTTTACAGCAACTGGTTTGCTCTCACCTCTGAAAATTATCTCTTGTACCTTCCAGCTCTAGGATTTCTGCAATGATTACAAAAGTAGATTGTGATCATGTCAATTAATGCCATAAAAAATCAGACTGGTACCCAGGGAGCAGTTAATTAAAACAAAAGAACCATCCGCGGAAAATTTTAAAGCAACAACTGTGCAAAAGATGGTCTACCTTTCTCGCATTTTTCCAGAGCTTCCTTCTTGGCCTCTAGTTCCTTTTTCTTGTTAGTTTGATCCTGAAGTTTCTATTAAAAAGCAAGTAAAGTTACCCAGATAAGACATGGATAAAAACAACAGTTGCACTGACTTCTTTGAGCCAGTTTAAGGGGCAGGGATGTTTTCTAGTACACTACCTCTTTCGCAGAACTTATTCATGGTGTAATTTACTTGTTAGGATTCTAGAAAAAAAAGACTTTTTTGTGGATTTTTTCTTTCGCCACCGTAGTAAGGAATGGAAGGATAAATTTACATGTAAGCATGGCCCACGTAGTACCTTTTCATTTTCATTGATGGACGACTGAAATCGTGCCGTTCCCTCATTCAACTCTTTGTCCGCTGTAAATTAAATATAAAAAGATCATTACTACTCTAATGTTTATTATATAAAACAAGGTAACTAGTACATAAATAGAGGATATCAATTTCCCGCGCGGAGATACGAAAATTTACACTGTGAGTGTTAAAAACATTCGCGCAAACGAGTGAAATGTTTTACGACACGAGAGGCAAAATTTCCTATCTCCAGGCGGCCATGTAATGTTCTATTTATTATACACGTATAAACATCAACAACATACCAAACCATTTATGTTTTGGCTGTGAAAGGCGCGATTGTTTTGTTACCATAGGAATGGCGATCTTTTCACGGGTGAAGATAGCATGTTTTTGCGCGAAAACGCACCTTGTAGTTCACTGGTGTTTAATATATAATAATACAATATTCAAATTGAATAATGATTGCAATCTCTAAAAAAGATGCATTTTACCTTTTTCAAGTAAGTTGAAACAGTCGTCAACCATTGTCAGGGATTCCTCAACAATACGCAGATCAGTAGCCAAGCTTTGATGGTTTTCCTGGAAAGTATCAAAGAAAATCCAGCTACTTAAAAAACTTCTTAACTTATACACATTCCATAACAACTACACAGGAAAATAAAATTGGCTATAAAAACGAGGATAATTCCAAAAAAACTTTTGTCTTTAAGAGGTAAAATTTTACAAGAGAAAAATGAATGCCATTTTCTCTAGAATGAAAAAGATTTTTTTCTCTGTATTAGGAGAAATCTGAGAGGCTAAAAATAAAAGTGAAGGTGACATGTTTATCAAATGGCCCTGAGCGCAATTTCTTTGAAAAACCATACAAAAAAAATGTCCCGTGTGAGGGGTGTACCCGTCAAGTGATAGGGCCGGAAAAACGCGTACGGCCGTGCTAGAAAAGCGTACTGATCGATGCGGGTGCGCTCGGTGCGTACGTCCTGACCTCGGGCCAAATATTTTCTCGTATGGCCCTCCTACTCAGTCAATAAGTAGTACATATTACTGACCTTTAGGTCTGATAGAATCCTTTTATTCATTTGATATTTCCCTTCCTTCCATTCTCTTGCAGCTTTCTTTTCACATGCGGAACGCAGTCGACGAGCATTACTACGCATGGCCATTAGCTGTTTAAATAGAAAAAATATTACAACAATAATAAGTTTATGTTCCTTTTTAAAACTTCATCAATCTTAAGGTTGTGCTCTAAAGACAACTGAAGGGAGAGAGTTCACAGAAAGGTTGATTAACAAGTGCGTCGCTAAGTGGGGGTGGGTGCCTGGGATGTCCAGGGGCTTCCACCTTTGGCACAGCCAGCCCCTAGATAGAGTTATACCTCCATGGTTGGTAAATCGGCACCTCCAAGCCATAAGCCTCCACGCCAATGGAACCAGGAACCTGTTACACTGATTTATCAGTAGAAAAATAAAAGGGAGGGATGGACGTAAATGAATGATCCAAAGGCCAAACAAAGAGAGTGGTCGTCAGGAAACGCTGAACTAAAAGCACATGGAGCTGATGCAAGCAAGGCTTACCGCGCTTAAGCCACCGCACAGACCGCTGACTGACAACACGCGACGGCGCTTCTTATAGTTAACTGCGTTAAATTTCACTTAATTCGTTTAATACTGAATTCCCAACTATTCTCTCCTCTATCCCGCAATGCGATTTTTCCAGCCAATCTTGATCACAAAAGACGTTTTACGAGGAAGATAGTTGGGTAGGGAAAGTGTAATGATCATAAACGCAGAGAGGGAAATTTTTACTTCCGGAAGTTAAGACGCTTTAATCACCTCTTGTTTGGAAGCTGACTGGGCCTCCATGAACACTGCTGGGTTTTTAGCGTTTAGATCCTCTTCTTGCTGCCTCACGTTTTCTTTCATCCTGTTGAAAAAACAATCCGAGATTTTACTGATATAATATTATTATGGCATGGAAGACAAACGAGAATATAAAAAAAATAAATATCAAAACAGCTTCAAAGGGACATTACAACACGATAAAAGAATCCTAACTACTGTAGCTTGAGGCAAACCACTTGGTTATTTACCAGCACGATAGAGAAGTTAAACGCGGGATTAAGAGTGCTCCAGAGTCATGAGTGGGTTCCATAGCTAGGAAAAACGACAGTATGTTCCAATCGGGAAACCGGTCGTTTTGATACAAAGTCGTTTCGTTTGATGCACTTATAGTTACCGACAAAACTTACTCTGTTATCTGTGATTCAACAGCGGCAATGGTCTCTTCATAACATTTTATCTTTGGCGCAGTCACCAGTGATGATACCACCTTGTCTTTCTGAGTTAGATCTGATTGTTTCTGAAAAATACAGGTATAATAATTATGTGAAGGCAGTGAATAGTTCTTCAGACATTATTGCACTTAATGTTGAATAGCTGAGCTTTCTCTCATTTCAAGATTTCACAGTTATTTAATGGTTTAGGCAAAATTTACACTACGCTAGTGGCTTTTATGACCAATAACCGTGGAGCAGAACTAAAATCAGCAACAGCGAGAGGGTTGCATGCATTTTCTTTTGCTCAGAGCCCTTTTCAAGTACATTCCGCTTAGAGGCTCACCTATAACAGGGACATCTCGCCCTGTGGTGCAAATCAATGGACGCCAGTACGGACGTACGCACGGTTATGTGACTACCAAATATATAACCAAATTTTTTTAGCCACAGGGCTCCACGCGCATGGAGCTCTGCTATACACTCACCACATTTGACGGCATCACAGCCATACTTCTGCGTGTGTTGACGTCTGTTATAAACACAATTTCAGTAAGGTCCAGGAACTCCTTCAAGGTAATGGGCCTTCTGCAAGAAAATGAGAGAACAGTTCGAATTAATATTCTGCATTCTATTAGAATTACTGTAATTATTGCTAGCAGGCTTCCATGTGTCATCAACGTGATGAACTTAACAGATTTTTCATGATGCAAATAGTTTTCCATGTTTCGCAGCTGCATGAAATTTGCAATCTGTTTTAACTTACATTTTTTTGGACCATTGAGGGTATTCTGTCACTTCTACCTACATGCCAGTCTCTTTAATGGTCAACTCAACTAATAACCAGTTATCTTACAGTAAAAACCTGCGAGTAGGAACCTGGTTTTTAAGAACCAGTGTTAGGCTAAAACCTGCCAATTAGGCCCCTTCTATATAAGAGCCTGTTTAAACTAAAATTTGAAACAGGTTCTTACAATGAATTTTCTCAAATTTACAAAAAAATTCTGCACACTTGTGCCTAGCCTGAGGAAACAGCCGACATTTGGCGATGCGACCACTGGTTTCCCCGCCAAATGATGTCTGAGAAAAGAGCACAGAAATTCCATACTGATGACGCGTCACTACCCAGATATGGGTAGTGACGAGTCATCAGTATGAAATTTCTGCGCTCGTTTTTCAGACGTCATTTGGCGGAGAAACCAGTGGTAGCTCCGCCAAATGTCGGCTGTTTTCTCAGGCTAACTTGCGTCAATAAGAGAAGTCAACATTCAGGATCCTCTTTGGAGACATAGGTGCCTTATCACTCCAACCGCAGTGTATTGGTATGCAGATTTTATGACACAAAAAAGCTGAATACCATTAAATACTCTTAGCTACAATGTGTTCTTTTCCTTCAGGAAATAACAACCAATTAAAATAATTCTGAGAACCAAAATACTCCAAATTTGTGCTTATCACCATTTTTGGGAAAATGCAGGTATTTACAATGTACTTGAGAGTTATTACTGTATTCATTTTTTTTAATATCTCACTAAATAAGAGCTTACTGTGTGATATTCTGTTCCTGATTGTTGGTGAGTTCACTATCTGTTTCTTGAATAATAGACAGCTTCCTATTGTTGTACTTGCTTGTCATTTGCTCATCATCAATATCTTCTTGATCAGGACAAGTGGTATTGAGCTGTAAGCCTGACTCCGCCAACTGATGTGTTGTCATCTGTCTTGGCAAATCCTTAGTTCCATCAAGAATTTCAGAGTCACAGTTGGGTGTTATCCCCTCTGTTGATTCATTAAGGATCTGTGGCATTGTTTGACTCTGCAAGTCTTGGTGGTTACTAACATCTAGTTGCTCAGACCTCTCACCTTGCAGTTCCTCATCATTGCTTTGCACTTTGTTGTTACTGTAGTGTGTTAGACTGAACTGTGATTCTTCAAAATATTGGGGCAAATTCTGCAAATCTTCCTTCCCACTGATATCTAGTTGTTCTGGCATTCCTTGTACTTCTTCATCATTGCTTTGAAGTTCACTGTTACCAAAGAACTGAAGGCCTGACTTTGACACTTCCAAATACTGTGGAATTGTTTGATTCTGTAAATTCTGACTGACATTATCAGGAGTATTCACGTAACTTTGGCAGGTTCCAACCTCTTGCCTTGGCTCCTCTAGCTGTTGTGCTATTTTTTGACTCTGCAAATCCTCATCGTTGTGAAAAACTTCATATTTATGGCAAGTTGTTAACTCTAACTTTGACTCTTCCATCTGTGATTCCATTTTCTGACTGTAGAACTCCTCATTGTTTTCACAAATTTTGTAGTTACGGCAAGTTGTGAGCTTTAACCTGGACTCATTAAGAGCTTCAACCACTTTGTGACCTTGCATTGTGTCCAAGGTTGTGGCGTTGTTTTGTTCATCAGCTGCAGACCCTTTACGACTGGGCATGTTCAAGATCTTATAAGGGCTTTTGCTTGTAACTTGCTGGTCCGATGAGCTGACTGGCTGAGAACAAAAGCTGGCCATGAGGCCTACCTCAGAAGAACTGAAGTAGTTTTTAATTTTCATGTTATGTACCCTGGTGCGGCATTTTGACAAGTCTGTTTCAAACTCTCCTGGTTTATGTTGCCTTGTAACAGGAAAATCTTGTGTTTTGTTAAAAACTGAGTCATCATGAGGAAGGTCGATAGCTGCTTCTTGATTTGTGGGTGCGACATCCAAGGTGCTGTTCATGGAATCACTTAAAGCTTGCGTGGTTGATGATCTTCTAAGCCCTGAACCATAGCAAGATGTAATGTCTAAATCTGCTGGTTCATAAATGCTTTTCCTTTTACTGTTCTCTACATTGTTTTCAATTCCTTTGTGGCTATGGCATGCTGTAAATTCTAAATCATCATCTTCAATAATTTGATGTTTGGAATCCACAGATGTAGTGTATCCAGATTCTTTATCCATTGTTGTTTCGTCATGTAATCCAGATGTAAACTTTTCAATGCTGCTTGCCGCTGATCCAGCAGTGAATGTTGCTGTAAGGTCCATGTCATCATTGCAGTCTGCAGTTTGTTGGGTCTGTGAGCTTGAAGGTGTTGTGAAGGAATCCTGTCCATGGCAAATGGTGAAATCTAATGCATTAGTGCTTCTGGAAGGAAAAGAAGCATGATCTGTGCCTTGCTTGTTGTGTAAGATGACGCCACCATAACATTTTGTTAGATCCAACTGACCTGCTTGTTCATGTGCTTCTTGTGTTTCATGAGTTACAACACTCCTATAATCAATGGCATTATTTGATCTGGTTTCTAAAGCATGGCATCTAAGAATAGTGGCATCGTTTTGATCACCTAAATGCTCTATACTGTTGAGCCCTGTACAGTAATTTGATCCATGGTTACTGGTTTCATGGATTCTTCCACCTAATGCTATGCTGTCTGGTGAATTAATTAGTCCTGAACCAAAGCAAGTGGTCACATCTACATCTGCAGGCTCATAGATGCTTCTTCGTTTTGATTTCTCTGTTTTGGTTTGCACTTCATAGTTATAACAGGCTGTTAGTTCTATGTTTTCATTAGTAGACTCTTGCTGTGTTCCATATTTTTGAAGTGTAGTGTTGTGTGTGATCTCAACAAATGGTCTCTGTTCAATGCTGATATTCCCAGAGGCAACTAAACCACTTTCACTTTTCTGAACACATGCAGACTTTTGTTCTAGAAATGAATGGGAAATTTTGCCACCTTTCGGGAAAATGTCTTTTTCTGGAGATTTCAAGGAACTTGACTTTAACGAAGCCAGGAAGGCAGTGGCATCTTGCTTCTCTTCATTAGGATAATTCTGAAAAAAGATATCTCGCGGTGAACAAGTCACATCAAGATCAACACCAGCATCTTCACTGAAGATCTTGGTTTGTTCATGACTTCCTAAATCAACACTTGTGGCCATAGTTTGCATAAACTGACTTGTACTGAAGCATTTTGTATGCTCCATGTCTTCTTCCTGTTTTCTTGACTCCATTCCAAACATTTGAAGATAATTACCATCGATTATTCCACCATGACAAGCGGTGACATTTAACTCTACCTCTCCATCGTCAACAAAAATTTGTGTTTCCCCTGCAACCTGTAGCTCTTGTGGGGGGTAATCTTTTTGATAACTAAGACCTGAACCAACACAAACTGTAACATCTACATCAGCAGCCTCATAGATGCTTCTTCGATGTCTTTTGCGTATAATGTCACCACTGCTATGGCAGGTTGTTAGTTCTAGATCATCACTACACTTTGCTGATTGTTGGAGAGTTCTATTTCCGTTCATGTTTTGATCTGTAATTTCAACAAATGGCTGCCTCTTCAGGCTGATATTTCCATCAAAACTTGAATGACCTTCACTCATTTGAACGCCTGACAATCTTGGTTGCAAAGGCGCAGGGAAAGATGTGCTATCTATTTTAAAATCATCCCCTGATTTCTCATAAGATCTTGAGGAGCCTGATGTTAAAAATGCTAGGAAGGGTGTGGCATCAATTTTCTGCTCTTTCTCTTCCAAACTGGTTTGTGATGATGATGGTAAACACAGATGACTGTTAAAAATTTCTCGCCGGGAACATGTTTCGTCTAGTTCAATGCCTGCAACATTTTCACTAAAAATTCTTGTTTGTTCACCATCTCCTGTCTCAACATCCTTAGCTGCATTTTGTGCAAATTGATTTGAACCGAAACACTTTGTATAATCCATCTCTTCTTCCTGTTCTCTTCCATGTGTGTTTGAAAACATAGGGCCAGAGCAAGAGTGGCTAATGATCTTTATACCATGACATGCAGTAACGTCCACAGAGCCAGCCTGCTGGATCTGTCCTTGTGTGATAGACTGTATGTAGAATCCTTTGTCATACTTTATAATTGCATTTGCTTCATTGCCTTCACTTATGTTCTGGAATTTCACTTCAGGCATATTCTAAAAAAATAATTGTGTGATTTTTACAAAAACAGGTAAAAAAATGTTTATTTCTCGTGGTAATGCTGTTATAAATTTTAGTTTTAACTCGTAAACAAGTTTTTAGAAAGGCCCTGTCCCTGCGTGGCCATGTGCAAAAGTGTTTCACACTAATTTATTTCTTTTAAACTGTAAACCCAGAGATATACATGTATTATTAACAACCTACTGCATGTAATCCTGTTTTCTTGATCTGTACTGTAGGTTCAGGGTTGTCAAAATCTAGTTTTGCTTGATCTCTGTTCATTTTTTTACAGATGGCGTTTTTAAATAAAATATCCCAACTGGCCCCTTTTTGACAACTCAGCCGTCTAAACTTTCTGACCCATTAAAATACCCCATCTTTTCCTCTTGGAAAAAGACCCAGTCCGTGGTTGGAAAAAGCCCAGTCCGACATTGTGTATTCAGGTTTTTTATGAGGCAAGCTGCAAACAGAATCTAACTACAAGACATAACCTTGGAGGTCAGCAGTACGATAAAGAGTTAGCAAAAATTTTCAATCCAAGACTTACCTGAATTTCAGCTTTGTATATTTGCTCCTGGTTAGCTTGAATATCACCTTTTAGGAGAGTTTCTAAACCTAAAACAAAATTAATCAGAACTAGTTTCTTTGATGCCAATGACCAAACTGTGAAAAAATTAAAGTTTAAGCAATACAAGTAGTAGGATGTTTTTATATTTGCAAAATTTTGCATGATAGCCATTATAATATAATGGCTATCATGCAAAATTGAGCTGGCATTGAAAGCAAGGTCTCACCTTTAATTGATTCTGCTGGCTCTCGGTATTCACTGTTATTAAAGAAAATTATGCAATGTCAGTATTTCTTTTTCTAAGTTTTCAATGACCCTAAGTTTATCTGTCAAATTCAAAAATTTTCAAACCTCTTAGTTTTGGGTATTTTTTGCCCTAACGCAGTTGAACCGAACTGATTACTTGTCTCTATTGTAAATTGTCCTTGCTTTGACATCTGGAATAACGTATCTACCAAACACACATTAATTTTCCATGAATTTCTAGTACAATTAAAATCCACATGACATTCCACGTCTGGCAAATGAACTTCTTAAATTTCATGACTTTCCAGGTTTTTCATGATCTGCACGAACCCTGTCCCTCCAAATGAACTTGGTATGCTTGTAAACGCATGGTGAAAATTTAGGGTTAATGATCAGGAGTAACCATGCATTTCTTTAAAATTTGAACCTCACCCTTTGTTTGGAGAGCTGGACATCTGACGATTGTCTATAAAAGACGTAGATCAAGGAATAAGTCAAGATAATAACTAAGGTATTAAATGCACACAGTCATTATTGCAAAAGTCTTTCTTTTATCTGTTTCTCTTCAGACCTAAAATACTTAAGGTTATGACTGTTATTAGCGACAGAGTCAGAGAGTTATTCAAAGTACAGAGTATTTGAATGACTTCTGGCTAACTTCACTGGCTGAATGAGAGTTTATGACCAACTTAAATTGCTCTAGAAAATGAAGACATGGGGTAATTTTGAAAGTGCAGTTGAGTATAAATAAGCCAGATTGACTCTTAGAAAAGCCTGCTTAGGTTTTCCTTGGATATAATTTATTGATGTGCTACTCACTTTTCTCAACCTCCTTCTTCCAGGCAGATTGCCAGTCTTCAGTAAAAAATTCCCTGAAAAATAACCAGTACTAAGTTAACTGCCACCCACTTCATAGCTCAGTTGGTAGAGTACCTGTCTGCTGAGTGGAGAGTCCAAACCTTGCCAGACCACTGAACAAGGCTTTTAAAAAACTGCTGAGACAATGCTAGCTTTGATTAAAACCCTTCTTCAGTTTAGATGATTGTATCATTGGGCAGTGACATTAAGCTGTTTGCCTAGGTAGTAGTCTTTACACTAGAGCCTAAATAACCTGAGAAAATATTTCAAGACAAGTAAATTTTAAATTCTTCGAGTACAAGGAAGCTTCACACACAACCTATCTTTTTTACTTCAGGTTAACTTAAAGCTATTTTCCCACGCAACATAAATTAAGATTGATTGACATGCTTCGCCTTTCTCAAAGCTCAAGAAACTGCAAGTTCACAAACTAAGTCAGTTTTGAGGATGGTTTCCACTTGTCACTTGAAACTTTTCTTGAATCGTTTCAACTCTCCGACTTAAATAAGCTGCAAAGTAAAACAACTTGAGATTTTACTTAGGCCTTCACTCACATATCTTTGGTTAAGTAAAACTTAGCAGCTTAACTTAGCTTAAGTCTTACTTAACAGCCTAGTGTAAAGACTACCGTTGTTTGAAAAGAACAGGGGATGTACAACTGTATGCCCTGGTTGAAAATGGTCTACAGCTGTATCTGATTTGTGCCGCCTTTGGTTTGTTGGAGTGACGAATAACATAGACTTACTTGACTTCATTTTTTTCTGCAAAACTGACTCTTCGTCCTGAAGAACGTCTGGCCTTTTTTGACTTACTTCTAAAATGTACAAATCTAAGCTTAATGGATTGCTATTTTACTGTAAAAACAGCCTAGATGTATTAAAAGCACACATACAAAATAATTTTCTTTTTCTTGCGCTTATGTTCATTTTCATTTGACACACGACTTGGATGCTTGCACTTGCAGAATGCTTGTGCTACAAGTGAAAATAATGCTATATACAGTGGTAGCTTTTAATTAAAATTATTTACTGTAACAAAAAATACTTTGCTGTATTTGTTACATTTGATAATGCTGTGGCAGGGCTTGAAAAAAAGAATCCTGTCAATTAGTTAGTACAAGCAGTTTTTCCAGCCAAGCAAGAAATTTTCCTGCTCACTGGCCCAGTGGGAAAGGATGCAGGAAAGTTGTCTTCCAAATAAAAAGCAAACTTAGACAAGCCTGAAATTCAAAGTTTTTTCCAGCCCCACTGTAAAAGCCCCAGACAAATGCATAAATTATTTATAACTGAATTACACAATCCATTACCTTCCTTTATCATCCAGTGAGTTTGGATCCAAGTCTTCTAACGGACCAGATTTCAAAGGAGATTTTGTGGCCTTTAAAATCTAGTTGTTGAACAACAAAAACCACAAAAAAACATAAATGCCCGCAAAGGAAATCCCAAAACAGTATTCACTGGACAAGGAATCTTTTAAGATAATAAAAGCATTACTGAGAACAAACTCTTCACCTTTCTACATGTACAAAAATAATACACCAATGAACCAGCGTGCAAAGAAAGTCGTGTCCGATAGCCCGGGGCTAGTGGATTTTGCTATCGGGCTGGTGATTTTTGTTCTTAACTTGCCCGATGGGCAAGTGCTGTTTTTTGGGGAAATTCAAATTACAGAAGGATTGTAATCAATCCTGCTAATCAAAAAGGGTTTTGGGGCTAGTTGAAATGACTTGTGGGCTAGTACATGCTAGCTACAGCTTGCCCGAATGGCAGGCTGTAAAACTGACTTTCTTTGCACCCTGTGAACTCAGGTCCCAGTTGTTCAAAATTAGGACAGCCCTATCCATGTTGGATAAATCACTGCCCAAAGGATAAGTAAGGAAATAGTTTACATTGGACGAGGTTAAGCAAACTATCGTGATTTGTCAGTGGCGAGCAGATCAATGTACTATTTGCCGAAGCTGAAGGCTGAGGCAAATAATTGAGTGGTGAGACAGTGACAAATCACAATATTTTGCGATAACCAAGTTCAATAATTGCTTTATCATTCGATCACCGAGTTTGTTTGTTAATGAATACCCTCGGGAAGCGAAGTGATCTGCCATTTTGCAGTGATTGCAAGAAGGAGAAAAGTGTGGTTTTGTTTATGCATGAGCAGAATGTTATTTGCAGCCAAACACAGTTGGATGACATTACGCATGAGCGGACCATTATTTGTAGGCAGCTATTTGCAGGTCACACGTTGGGTTTTTGGCCAGTGAAAAGGAAGAAAAATTTGCATTGAATAACAAAAGAAATTATTGGCTTAGCTCTATCTACAGAGTACCTTTTGCACAACTGGAGCATGATCCATAGCAAATAATTTTAACATTAGCAAACTAATTTGTCGACTTACCGATGATCTGCGGTTTGATGACTTTCTCTTTCCACCAACGGTGATCCTGTTGTCACATATAAATGTTAACGATTTTAGACATTTAAATTGCAAACGGCTAAATATCTGGCCCAAATTTTATTTCATAGGAACTTTTAGGACAATGCTCTGGTCTAAATGAAAGTAGAAAGTGGAACAGTATTTCTAAATTTTAGCTGCACACCTTAATTATTGAAGTTACATGAATAAATTTGCAAAATAGCCAAGTTGAGCCCTAGCATCTCTATTAAAAAATACCACTAGAAACATAGACTTTCTAAAAGTCCTTTAAAGTCTACTAGAAACAATAAAGTTAGTATCCCCTGCCATCTGAAGCCACTTTACCTCGGTAAACTTTCTCATGGAGATAAAATAGCTTAAGCTGAAGCCTTTTGCATGTACACACTGAGATGACCTTTACAGCATACAACAACGGTACCAAACTTACCTATTTTCAGAATCGTCAACCACCTCCATGTTAACACGTCATAGAAACGACATCAGAGAGTCAAAATTTGAAGAAAAAAATACCAAATACCAAAACTAGCGAGGGAAAACAATTAAATTGTTTCTACGAATTTTTATCAACGGTCAAACAACAGAAACTCAAACTTCCGCGCCAAGATGCGAGACGCGACTCAAGCGCATTGTCTCTAAGAAAAATCCGCAGGTCAAAATGATTGCAAGTCAACTTAGTCTCCAGGCCCTATGCACAAATTAGCATTCAATATGGCGGACAATCCTTGTATTTTGGTGAAAAGATTCGACTCCGATCTAAGCTGCTGTGGTATTGTTTTAGATAGCGAAAATGGCATTGTATTAACAGTTGCATCTTTGTTTACTGATTTATTGTCTAAAATTGAAACACAACCGTCGTTTTCCAAGCACTGGCGTGTACTTTTCCAAGATGATTTTGGGACGCCCCGGACGTCGCGAAAAGGCGAATTTGCAGTTGAAGTTGTGTTGCGAAGGTACAATCAGGAAAAATTTCAAACGCTTCAAGGTTTCCTGGTGTTATTTTGGAGAGATGTGGGGCTGCAAAAGATCGCAGAACGTATTTTTCCGTCTTCGGAGTGGAAATTCGAATCATTGAACCCCGTTAGTAGTGAACTGAAACAACCACATTTGACTGAAGGAAACGCGCAGCAAAAACAGAACGAAGTCTTTGCACATCAAAGTGCTCTGTGCGATTTTGTTCTAATTTATGTGAAGGATCTTGAGAAGCATTTGTCCTGTGAACCTCTGGTCATACGGCCTAATTATGCACGGCCAAAGAGAGGTGACCCTGTGTTTGTTGTAGGTACCCCGTTTGGATGTGAGTGCCCTGTGGTATTCTACAATAGCGTTTCCAAAGGTATAGTTTCAAACTTAGCAGGAGCTAACAATGAAGTAATAATCACTGATGCACGGTGCATTCCAGGAAGTGAAGGATGTACAATGTATCTTAGCAGTTCACAGTCTTCATCATCTGTAGAAAATAGCAAAAGACCATATGGAATTATTTTGGCACCATTTTGTTGGAGAAATGGGGAATGGATTGGAATCACTGTGGCGTGTTCATTAGACTACCTTCTGGACAATTTGGGAAAACGTTTGGCTACTAAATTTGCTGTGATGCCCAAAAAACTTGCAGGACTCTCAAGAGATTTTATTCCCCAAGAGAACATGTGCTGTGATGTAGCAGAGATGGAAAAGAAAGACATGATTTCATCTACTCTACGGTCAAGTGCAGGTAGTTTGAATACCCGTGATATTATTCATGCAGCACTTGATGGTGTTGTTAGAGTACAGTGTGGTAGCACATGGGGTTCTGGGATTGTTTTAGATGCCGATGAAGGTCTCATAGCAACATGTAGTCATGTGATTTCTGGATACCAAAGCCATAACAGAGATGAGAACAACAACAATACTCAACATTCAAGCAGCACCACCCCAAGCCTTGTATCATGCATGTCATCAAGTGGCATCTATCACAATGCACAAATTCTTTATGCTACAAAGGAAGGCTTTCCACTAGATTTTGCAGTTCTAAGAATCCAACCAAGTACTTTGTTGAGATCTTTTAAGTCAAGAACAATGGCAGGTATCCCTCAGAGCTCATCAATTCCTTTGTATAAGAAAGGAGAAGGGGTCTATGTCATTGGTTTCCCTCTGTTTGCCAGCAATCAAAATGCCAAGCCATCAATTGTTTCTGGGGTGATATCAAACATAGCTTATGCTAACAGCCATCCTGTGTTACTGCAGTCTAGTGCTGCAGTGCATTGTGGGGCTAGTGGAGGGGCATTAGTTTCTATGGTGACAGGAGAACTGCTAGGAATGGTGACAAGTAATACAAAAGATGTCAATATGGCATCAGCCTTCCCCCACGTCAACTTTAGCATTCCTGCTGATTTGTTGCACAAGCTTGTTGTAGCCATCAAGAATGGAAGAAGTGTTGGGGAAGATCTGAAAACTCTTGTTTCAGATAGTGCAGCAAGTATTTGGAAATTAAACAGCATTGAACATGAGAACCCTAACATTATTAGTAAACTCTAACAAGTACAGATAATTATGGAAGCTTCAATTTTGTTTTTATTACCACACCTTTTCATGAAATATCTTAATTCACCAATCAGAAAACAATCTGGCCTTCAAAGAGGGTTTTGATCATTGAACGTTTCTGGGAAACTGCCCACCTACCCCTCTCCTAAGCCAACATTAACGGTTACTTCTCACTTAGGCTAAGTGAGAAGTAACCGTTAATGTTGGCTTAGGAGAGGGGTAGGTGGGCAGTTTCCCAGAAACGTTCAATGATCAAAACCCTAATAGCGCAAAATGTTGGCTTAGGGGAGGGGTACGTCGACAGTTTCCCAGAAACATTTAATGATCCGAAGGGTTCGTACGTGTATCAAACTGCAGATTAAGGTATGATTAAGTGAAGCTTGAACATTAGGGTCCTATTAACCTATTAATTAATACAAGGACTTAATAACAGGGTTTAAAAAAGGTCCCATCTGGTAGTCCTGGACAAGTGTATTTCCTTGCTGGGCAAGTAACTTTTAAAACATACTTGTCCAATGTGCAAGGATCTGAGCAAGTCATCCTCTAACAAAATCATTAACGTAGACAAGCAAGAAGTAGCCCTGGGCAAGCAGAATGTGATAGCTGCTTGCCCAATGGACAATTCAAGTTTTTTTTTTGAACCCTGAATAAGGATTCCTAAATTTCAAGAATTCTCAGTCTAGCCACATTAATAAAGTATGAATGTATGTATTTGTCTGTTCCTAGTTTCTAGTTCTTTTGTACATACTGCTTGTTCCAAATCCCCTTGTGAACTCCATTGTCACATGAGCACTGGTGTAATTTTAAAGTCTTTAATAAAGGTACTCCTGTCAGATGTAAAAAGGTAACTTTATGGTACACTGATGGCACCTGAAAGCATCACCTACAGGCACTCTTTATTTGACACAACCAGCTGCCTTTTAGCTTTCACAGACATCCCAAAGAACTCTTGATACCGACTCTTGACCCGACCAGCTGGGATGAAGGAATGCACAGGATCCCCAAGCACACAATCATCTTTTCACAATCTGGTAGAAATGTACTACTCCACCGAACTGTGCAGCCAAGACTGGCATTGTTAATATTTTTAATGGCCATCTACAGTGCATTAATTTTACTATTTCTCACCAAAGTACATAGAAAACAGTTCTTTCTTGTTAACTTTGCCCATTACATTTCTTGGTAGCTCCTCTACTACAAGAAGAACTGTGGGAATCTGGTACGGAATCATACGTCCGCTGGCCCATTGTTTTAGGCCTGATAGGTTCATTTCCTGTGCAACAAACAAATAAGATAAAAGCATTAAATGAGTTTTAGGTCTGTACTACATTCTTTCACTAAGTAAACCTAAAACAACTACCTATGGTATTAACTCCTTTTCTTACTTTTCAGCTAAGCAGTGGAATGCACTGCCAGACTTTTTTCGTACCAGTTTTTTTTTTTGCAGACTTTAAGACCAAAATACAGGATGTTACCTTCATGTAGATTCTTTTTGCCTGACATACTTAAACTTAAAATTGTGAATTTGTGAAGAATTTTATTATTATTTCTTATAATGCATTTAATGTATATAGATATTTCTATATTATTTTCATGTAGTGTCAGCTCGAAGATATTAGCTTGTTAGCTACTCTAAAATTTGAGTATAAATAAAGTTTTATGTTATGTTATGTTTGACATGGCAGGGTCAGCACACACATGTACTGTACAAAATAAAGATGATTAAAATACCATCATTTCTATCTTGCCTAGTCTTTAAATGGTATCCTTGCCAATTAGGAAGTGTCCATATTAATGGGGTGTCTGATTAAGCGGGTCGTATTTAACCCTTTAAGTCCCAATGGTGACCAACATCAATTTTCTCCTAACCATATCCATAGATTGTCCAGAGATTAGGTTATGAAAATTAATAAATTGATCACCTAAGAGAAAATGCCTTGATCTTTTATCAAATTCTCTCAACCCATCCATGAAGAAAATGTATAGAGATCAGTTTGGAGAATTTGTATGTGGATATTGGGGCTTAAAGGGTTAAAGAATATGTAAGAGGTTTCTTTCCCCCCTCCAGGGACAAAGTAAACTGTCTGTAATTAGGAGGTGTTCATGAGAAGCAGGTTTCTGTAAAGCAGGGTTTGACTGTAATGTGGTGTCTGTATTAAGCGGGTGTCCATAAAGCGTTAATAATATCATATTTTGATGACAATCATGTAACAGACTAAATTGGGTCAAATTGTTTCATGACATAATCATGGTCAGCAAAAGACAACAATTCAATGGAGATATTAACATGGGCCAACATACCTTGCCATGGTGGAGAGTGACCACTGCTGCCACCACCTCACCCCACACAGGATCTGGTTTGCCCACTACAGCGCAGTCTATGATGTCATCATGTGACAAAAGATGGCGCTCAACATCAAGGGCACTTAAAAAATGAAAATTTGTTGATAAAATAAACAGTTATGAAAGGAAGTTAACGTGCTTATCAGTAAAGCACAGTTTTGGTTATGTCTCTTACCTGATTTTATAGCCTCCACTCTTGATAATATCAACTGATGTCCTACCCAGTATGCGGTAAACACCATCTTTATAGACTTGAAAGGAAAAGTAAGATATTTTATTAAATAATAAGATAATATTTGTAAGATACTTATTGAATAATAACAGCTTATAAAGATAAAGTGAAATAATTGGTATCCTTTGCAAAGTTGTGCCTCATGTAGTTCCTGTGCTCTGATCAACTGCACATGCAGAAATAACATCAAAATCAAGGATAGAAAGTGACTAAAACATATTTACCGGCAGTGTCTCCTGTTTTAAACCAGCCATCTGTTGTAAATGACTCTTGCGTTTCTTTGGGTTTATTCCAGTAGCTAGTCAATAGAATACTCAAATTCACTATGTCAAAATTTTCACATGTGATAATCAAGTTAGAACACAAAGTGTAAGGTCTTGCCATTGTTTTCAATGGGCTGTTGTTTTTTTTACAGCTGTGCACTCACCATTTAAACACTGATGGGCCACATACTTGCAGTTCTCCCTGCTTTCCTTCATTGTGCAAAGACACGCGAGAATCATTTTCATTTCCTTCAACCACAACCTGATAAAAGATGAAGGGAAAACCTCATCAGGTGTTCATTATTAATTCCCTTAGTTGACAAAACATAACTAAAAATATGTAAAATAGTTTACTACCATTACTAAGTGGACAGTTTAGTTTGCTAACCATCATGGGAACACTATCACATCTGCACCTACAAAGTTAACCCAGAGATTGCTAAGAACATCTGAAATACTACTAATAATTACTCGTAGGACAAATCAATCAAAATTTGAATCCCTACCTGTTTTCTTTCATCCACAATCCGAACTTCTGTCCCAGGCAGAGGTTTTCCTACACAACCCTGGAATAACAATCAGTTGTCTGGTTATAACTTGGGTCTTACTTGTTTGTCAAAATGGAAATAAAAAACAGCCAGTCTCTTCCTCATAATCTACTTCTCATCATCATCATCATCATCATCATCACCATCATCATCATCAACATCATCATCAACATCACCATCAACATCACCATCATCAACATCACCATCATCATCATCAACATCATCATTAACATCACCATCATCTACATCATCATCATCATCAACATCATCATCAACATCATCAACATCATCATCAACATCATCACCATCATCATCATCAACATCATCATCATCAACATCATCATTAACATCACCATCATCATCATCAACATCATCATTAACATCACCATCATCAACATCATTATCATCATCAACATCAACATTACCATCATCAACATCATCATCATCATCATCATCAACATCACCATCATCAACATCATCATCATCATCATCATCAACATCACCGTCATCAACATCATCATTCACATCATCATCGGACTAAGCTTCAATCACACATGGGACAGAGGGCCTTCCCAGTCTCCTATATGGTCATTCACTGGGTTATTAATCAAATTTCCTCTTAGCTAAGCGTTTCATTACAACAAAAAAGGTGGCTGTGTAGAAGTCTGAGGAACGCGATGTAAAGGTTAAAGTTTTGTAAGGCTCAGGAGGCTGAACTGGTTTTAGGTTTTTTTTCTCAGCTCCTCTTTTTACCGGCTTGAATTGCAGGAAGTCTCAATAACAGGTTTCTAGGTTTGATGAAAGAAATTTAGCTAAAGGTGAGATCTCGAACAAATGAGACGTACTGGCAATCTTGGTCCAAGGAGGGGATTGGATAATGCCATGCCTATCTCAGTCATTCCATATCTTTCCAATAAAGTATGCCCTAAAATTGAAGAAAAAAAATTACGATCTGGCTTAGACCAGGGTGCAAAGAAAATTATTTTTACAGCTTGCCATTCGGGCAAGCTGAAGCTAGCATTTACTAGCCCAGACGTCATTTCAACTAGTCCCAAAAACTTTTTGACTAGCAGAATTGATTTGACAGTTCTTCTGTTATTTGAATTCCTAAAAAAAATCACTTACCCGTCGGGCAAGTTAAAAACAGAATTCACTAGCCCGATAGCAAAATCCACTAGCCCCGGGCTATCGGACAGTACTTTCTTTGCACGCTGTTAGACCCTTGGTATATTAAAACTGCATTGATATTCTGAACAACAGAACTTAAAACCTGACATTTACATAAAAATCATTTGCATAAAAACAGAATCATGTGGCTTAGGAATAAGCAATTTGGCCACAAATTAGAATAGCATGCATATGTTACAGGTCAAAATTAAATTGACGTTAAATTTTTTTAACCCAGGTTGATTCTCTACTTCCTTTGTATCCTAGCCCTAACACCTAGGTTAAAAAATTTAACCTGAATTTAATTTTGACTTGTAACACAACGTGGCCGAGCAGTTAGAGCACTGGACTTGTAATTCGGAGGCCCCGAGTTCAAGTCCCGCCCTGACCGCTTGCTGGATTTGTTCTCAGTTGTCCCGAGTTCAAATCCTCGACCATATTTGTAAATAGCCAACTGGTTTGCCTCAGCCCAGTTGGGCGATTCTTAACCCTGTTAAGTTTGATTTGAATTATTTGTTTCAGAAATTTGCTCACCCTCACTAGCATCAGTGCTTCAAAATACTGCCGAGGGTAAACAAAGGACATTATTATTATTATTATTATCATCATCATCATCATCATCATTATTATTATTATTTTTATTTACATACCACTATGGAATAAAAACCATTTTGAATTCTATTTGCTGGTATGGAATGTAATGCACTTAATGCAATGTACCGTTATAGTAACGATTAATACTATACAGTGTAACTTAACTTAATCCCAACCTGTTATTTCTTGCCATGTTTTCATAATAGGCTCCGGGAGTGCTGCTGAACCAGACACCATTAATCTTTAAAAAAGAAGAAAAGAAACCAGAAAAAAAATGAAAAGAATGAAAAGGTGTAATTTATTTCTGATTTATGTGACAGGATACCAAAAGTTGCCATGAAATAGACTCCATCTGGGAGAAGGGTAAGACGCTGATATCAAATACAAAAATCTTCATTTCCAATTGAGTTCTTCTTATGGAGAACAGTGTGGAGAATTTGTGGTTTGATGTTACAGTAATGAGGGAGGTATTTACCTGAGTTGTTCACACTTTGACTTTATTCTTTCTTTTTCCTGGTCAGTAACCTGAGACTCTTGATGATGTTGAATTAGCTTGCTGTAAATTGTTGGAACTGCCATAAATAAAGTTGGACTGAGCTTCTCTGCTAAAAGAACATCCCACACCTAAAAATAAAATGACCTCAATGACCTTAGGATGATAATTTATTTAATTAGCATACTTCATACGGCACAGATTACAAAAACAGTTTGTGCCATTATAGTGGTGGCTCTGAAAGTCCCTTCCCTAACAAAACCATGAGAAGACTGGCCATTCCATTGGTGTTTACATACCCCTACTGTTTAGGAATAGCAGAGTGACTTTAATCTCTCCTTCTGAGTGATAAGAAAGGATGGAGGAGACAAGGCCACCCTGAACATGGGGAGCATCATTTTAACAGTTTAACCTTTTGACCCCTAAGAGTGACAAATGTTTAATTTCTCCTTACAGCAACACTGCTCATTCAAGCAAAAAGGTTGTAAGAAAAAAGAAAATGATCAACAAGTGAAAAACGTCTAGTCTCCTTCGCAGCCATTTTCAGGGTCGTCATGCAACAGTCCTTGATGAGCGTTGTGTGACAACCCTAAAAACGGCTGTAAAGGAGACAAAAAAAAATCTCTTGATTGTTAAAGAAATTCTCCTCAATAGTACCATAGGAAATGTAACAAGAGCACTATGGAGAATATATATGCTGATACTAGGGCTGGGGTTTGAACCTGAGTTCTCCCTCTCAGCTGATCTAAGTGACTATGATGAGACAAATGGTAAACTCAGTTGTCATATTCAGAGAACAATGAATAATATTTACCTTGTCTGCTTCGAATTTTGGAAGCATGTGACAAGTTGCTCCTACCCACAGGGGACAGAGCAACACATTGACTATTCCATGGACATGATGAAGAGGGAGACAGTGAATGATATAATCATCTTTACTCCATTCCCATGACTTCACTAGGGCACTGATTTGAGACCTGAACAAAGTAGAAAAAAATAATTAGTACAGGGATTGATTTGTTTATTTACTTAAATGGCCATTGTCTCTCACAAAGTGTCCTGACAGAAATGTTGGATCTGTAAGTTTTAGGGAGAGAAAAAAGTTTCTTCATGGCCAAGAACAGGTTCTGCAAGTCAGATACCTGGGCGTGGTCACAAAGACACATTCCTTGTTTACTACATAGCTAGTGCTAACACAACGTGGGTACCTTGCTTCTCTGCTGAATGCTTTACTATAAGAGTAAGGTCCCAGGCAGTGAAACAGCAGCAGACGACAGGTTATAAGCCAGAGCTCAACCATATACAAGCCAGTTTAATAAAGCTGAGATGTTCCCAGACAAAAATACTCCCAGAACATTTCTTTGTACCTATCCCTCCCTTGCTTCTTCCCTTGTCTTCTGCCTCCCCTCCCTAAACCTAACAGTCAGTAAAACCTTAAGTTTCCATGGGTTGATAGAACTCCTTTCGGTCTGCCTGTTGTTCCACTCGTGTAGACAATCATGGCATCTCGTTCATCCCAGCTGTTCTCCTGTTGTTCAATTTCTGTAAGCTTATCACAAGACACCCCTTTCCGCTGGCTGTTTTCGTTGATATCTCCCAAAAACATCGTTTCTACTACATTTTTCCTGACCATTGGTTCCAGTTTCGCGGCGTATTTATCAGCACATATCAAAATATTTGCGTTACAATCTTCAATCGTGTACTCGTACATGCTTGTAGGGTGAGAGTTACACAGTGGAACAGCAATACCACCATTTCGCCATATAGCCCATTGGGTAGCAACGTATGAAACATCGTTTGGACAAAGAAAGGCAACACAGCATCCATTAAGGTCTCTCCTCCCCGTTTTCTTCAATAAGCCATCACCAATACTTTTACTCAGCTGTAAAAGACGGTCGTAAGAGTGTTGTCCATTTGAGTCTACAATTGCGATCCGTTCACGAAAATCTCTGGCTTTTAGAAATACAACAGAGTTGCGCCCATAATTGTTCCATTGGGAGCTGCAAGAATTTATGAACCTTACGGCGTGTGTTGAAAGGCCATTAGGCGGGTTAAGGTATCTAAATACCCTTAAAATGTTTATGAATTTAGAAGCCATTTCCTCGCTAAACCTGCGCGCTTCTCCTTGCATACATTTTTCGCCAGGCGTGACTTCCGCAATGCGTGGGCCTGGTACCTAATTGTCGAAGTTGAAAAATGACTATAAACTGTTTATTGTGTCAGTTCAGAAACTCGTTTCTGGTCAGTTTGAATAAGCTTTTTCAACTAGCAAAGATAAAAATAATAATACAAAAAAAAATGGGTATTTATTAACCTCGTCCCCAGGGTCTTCTGTTTACACCCTTGGGACATCTCCCCTCTGCAGGGGCTCCCCTATGGGTATCCCAACAAGACATGGCAGAACAATAACACCGCCCGAGGATCCTGACATCGCTGTTACGATTTGAAAGAGCGATATGGATCTCTAGACGGCCTAGACGTAGCAATTGATGGAGTCATGATATTCCGCTATTTTTGCCGAAATCATATTAGTTTTGTTAAGCTCTCCTACCTAGAAACGCCCCATCTTGGACCCCTAAAATTAAATAGACGCCCCGGGCGTTTATTAGGTCATAAATAAAAAGCGCGCGGGGGACGATGGGAAGAGGTTCTTCGTAGGCACGCGCGTCACGCGCGTTTTCTTTTTCTTTCTCCCCAGCCTCCCTGCGTCACAAAGAGGCCTGTGAGGAGAGAGCCTTGGGACGAGGTTGTGAGTTTAGTTGTCCAAGTGGAAGGCGTTTGAAATAGTGGGAAAGTTAAGGGGGGGATCTGCCGCACCACTTCCTATTCGTACGGTTGCCACGCTATCTCCACAGGAGAGAGTTAGCGGCCATTGCACTGTTTGCTTTCCTTATAGCCGTGGACAGCGAAAAGGGGATTTTAATTTGTAAGTTATAGTTGTGACCACGTTGAAAATGCCTGCTCTTCTTTTTCTTTAAACCTTCGTCCCCGCTCCCCCAGAAAAGCTTTCTTAATTTACAAAACCCCCACTTTAAAACTCGGGGTTCGTACCCTCTTTTGAAGAAAAAAATTTAAGGACTTTTCAAGGACTTTCAAGGACACATTTCCCATTTTTCAAGGACTCCATTCGGTGCAAAAAAGAGCCTTGAGTCTACTTTTTTTTAGTTCTTCCGCAACATGAGCGATTTTTTCCTGAAGGTCTGTGTTTGCTGGGTTGGATGAAGTTAGTTCCGACATTCAAGGACTTTCCAGCACCGACTGCAATTTTCAAGGACTTTCAAGGTGGGTGCGAACCCTGAAAACTGAATCCAAGTGAAGAATCTTTCAGATCAAAAATGATTTTTTTTTGCAAAAAAGATATTAAAACAGAACATGAACAGAACGCTTTTGTGACCAACTTCTTTTCCTTTGCTGATTAAAATTTCGGGGCGCAAGGCGAATGCAAGGCTACGTTTACACATTCCCGTTAAAAATAACGCATACAATTGATTGTTGCGGCTTTCTTCCCCGAATAAACCATCTTAAACGACATAGTAGTGGATGACCCAGTGTGGATGCTAGTGTGGATGAGTGTGAACAGCTGTGACTCCAAGGAGACGAGAAAGCCTGGGGACAAGGTTCAAGAGAACTCCTAATCAACACAAGCCTACAAACCTTCTTCTTAATTTTTTTTCTCTCTCGCTCTTTAGTTGATTTATTTTATACATGACAAAAAATAAATACTCCTCTGATGTTAAAGACTTCTACATTTTACCTTAGCAAAAACTGTTTCCCAATTTTCACCATCCTATTGTTATCATTAATTTACAAAGCCATTGCAAACAGTAAGTTTATTTTGATCTTGCGCCGAAAATTTGTCTCATTTGGGCGGAATAATTTTCGTCCACAGTCATTTACTGCGAGCTACCATCTGAATACAAAGCAGCAAAACGAAAAAAAATTATTTTCATATTAATAACATCTCGATGATCTCTTCTCCTATAAATATTTAGATTACTTTTTCAGTATTTCCTCTTTCTGTTCACAGTATTAATATTTTTCAAATATGATCACGTTTTCTTTTTCAATTCTGTGAGCCGCTTTTGCTAACGTCAGCATCTGTTGCCAACGTTCCCATCGAGATCACAGCAGTCTTTTAAATTTTACATCTCAAAACTCGGACGGCCCTGGTAACGACTTCTTTATCTTGAGAAATACAGTCTGGAGAACGGCGTCGGCCTGGTGACCATCTCCCGAGCAGCTGCAATATGAGAGGAGTGTGTGAGAGTTGCAGATGGGGAGGGTGGGGGAGACAAGCATTACTGTATGGGAAGAGTAGGTGCGTACTCGACAACGTCCTCTGGAGTAAGGGAACTAAAAACGAGGGTTTCATGGAAGGCTTCTCCCTCCCCTCCAATCATCTAGCTCGCGGCTTCACGGTTAAGGCTGCGAAAGTTCTTGCATCACGCCCAAGCGAAACCACTAGCTGCGTAGGCTAACTTACGAAATTTTGGACTCATTTCAAATCACTTGCCTAGATCATTTTACAGCAGCAAATACAAATAAATACAAATAATAACACAAATGATGATGATAATTATTATAAATGAAACATACAATTTCTGAAGTTCACTTTCAGCGATCTCAAACCAGGCCCAGTCTCTTCGTCTTGTCGCTCGACTCATGTTGACCAGGAACTCAACATGAAGTGTGCTGACCTGTTGCCTAGCATCCAGTTCTCCCTCTTCTTTCGCCAACTCATAGAGCTTAGGGCCTAGCGACTTTACTTTGTCCACCAAATGCAAGGCTTGTTGTTCCAGTCTAGTAAAAATTAAAATAAAACGAACAGGCTTGAAAAAGATTGCCCAAGGGTGGGCAATCCAAAAGAAATCTCAAGAATGAGTTGCACATTTTTAGACAAGGACAAGTAGCACGCTTACGCTTCAATAGGGCATAAGAATTAGCACAAGGACATGTGTAAGCAAGTGAAAACTAGGTCGACATAAGCATAAGCATAAGCATACGCACAAGAAAACGGGCAAGTTCGTTCTTCTTGTACTGGTGCTTATGCTTATGTCGTAGCTTTAACTAGTGAAAACTGGCTCGACATAAGCACAAGCATACGCACAAGGCGGTGGATCTATCACAGGTCACTAGCCGCGACCAATAATTGAGATCTCCCTTGCTGCAAGCCGTGGGAGATCTGGCTAAGATCAGAGCACTGTTGACACCAGTACTACTTGCCTGTCTTAAAGAGGTGCCCGTCTGATGGAGTGTCAAAGAACTGTACCCACAAATTCTGCCAAAGAAACCAACCAGTGCTTGAAGCCGCGGACACATGAAGCTGGGACTAAGCGCATTTGACAACCCGGTCACGATTGGTCAGAAGTATTCATAGTTCATTGGCTGAAAAAGTAGGGTGAGTTCTTCTCCAGCAAATTATCATATCGTGAAGCATTGAAGAAACAAGCGATGGTAAAATTTATTCATGTTGACAACCAAAACGATGCAGTACCGGATCCAGACGCTGAGATGGGGGTAAAAATAAGGGGTTGCCCAGGGTCCCCGGCCCCCTCCCCTGGATCCCCCAATGCGACGTACTATGACTAACCTTAAACATCTCATCAGGTCTTTTGCAGCTAGCGCTCGAATGAAACCATTGTAGAGGAATTGCAGAGCAGTGAGGTAGTCTTCTGCTTGACAGCACATCCAGTGTGCATCAAGTAAACTATCAACTAAAAAAATACAGTACACTTATATTTCTTGAGACACTTTTTTTACTTGTGGCGCATCTACGGTATACAGCTACGTCATAGCGTCTGTGTACCCACACCGAGAAGACCCTAAGGAAGAGTGGAAAGACTGAATGGGCATACTACACGGGTGTGGTCTGAGACGTTGACACGTGGCTCGTGGGTGTGGGGCGGGTCTATAACACGTGGTCTTTTTTGTGAAGTGTTTGTGGTTTGAGGCCCAAATACATGTGAGGTGTGTTATGTGGCTGTAACACGTGACGTGTAGCTAATTTTTGACGTAGAGCATGTGGAGAGCAGGTGTTGTTTGAGGCTATGACACGTGATCGGTGGGTGTGGTTAAAATAGTAACACGTGGATTGAGGGTGTAGTTGAAAAAGTAACACGTGGCATGTGGATTAGTTTAGGTGGTAACGCGTGGCGAGTTGATGTGGCTTGAATGGGTGTGGTTTGAGACAGTGGTACCTGCACACATGGTTGCCTGCAAGTTGCTATAAACCATGGACACGCGGTAAAACGCCTGGGAAGCTTCGCGCCAGTGCTGTTCTCTAGACGCGGCTACAGCTGTTATCGAGTAGAGAACGATCGACCACGTGGTGCCTCGGAAAACACTCGAGTACCTTAAAAACATAACCGGAGATAGAGAGAGTGTTACACTCCAGTCGACAGTTTTGTCAAGAGAAAATCATGAAGAACTCACCCTGCGGTTTCGTTAAGTAGACTTGTTAAAGAATTATAGTTTTCCTCCACGTCCAAACTAGAACAAAAGAAAAGACTGAGTTCAAGTGACAAGGCCTTTGTCGCTAGCACGGTGCGGTAGACGGTGTCAATAACTGCGGTATTCAAACTTCTAACTACTTAGATAAAACAACTATTTCTTAGCGTTCCGCGGCCTTTTTGTATAGCCTGAAAAAACAGCCGATGGTTCGTGACGCCACCAAAGTGGTTTACCCGTGAAAAAAACGCCTGAGGAATGGGCGCATAAATTCAATACTGATGACACAATACTAGCCAGATGTGGGAAGTCCTTCTGATTGGCTGAAAATTTGCTTCAACCAATCAGAAGCATTACCCTTATCAGTCATCAGTATGGAATTTCTACGCTCGTTCCTCAGAGATCATTTGGCGGGAAAACAAGCGTTAGCGTCGGCAAATGTCGGCTGTTTTCTCAAGCTGTCATTTGCACTGGTACTGAAGACCTGACTAAAGTATTTAAGAATTTATCTATCTCAACAACAACAACAAAAACAACTTCTCTGTTTCTAAGTTTGCAAGAGAGTTTACCTCACATTTGCTTGCTCTTTTCTGTATGCTTCATAAACTTCCAAACTTCTACCGAGTAGAACATCACGGGCAGCAAACAGCTGGAACAGAATACAAGATTTATAGTGCACTTTCTCGAAAATTTCAGGAAAACTTCGCTATTTGTCAAAAATCTTTAAAACACACAGATCCAAAGCAAACCAAAGGCCAACCAGCATACCACAGATAGGCCCCACCTATCATATGGTATGTTGGTTTGCCTACGCTTACCCCTTCAAGTTTTTTCAGTTCCTCTAATGATAAAGTCGCGGCAATGGCGTCACTGTACATTCCAAGGGCCCGCTCGCGGTCTCTTATCTGAAGTAATCTGGCTGCGATCATTCTGGTCACATGTAAAACTTTGTGAAGCTGATTCTCCTAGAGAGAAGGAACAATTACAATCATTAAAACTACATAGCGACAAGTCAAGCAGTATAGACCTGGCATCCAGATTCACAGTAAATTGTCACAGTTGGTGGTCCTGTGCAGTTTTCTACATCTGCGATAGGCTATGACTATAATCTCCGTTTCATCAAAATATAGTAACATCGTGTCTCGCGAGATGGCAGAACGAGCGTCGACACGAGTGCTCTAAAGTAGCCTGAAACCAGCGCAGAAATTCCATACTGATGACGGATCTCTACCCAGATCTAGGCAGTGCTTCTGATATGTTGCAGCAAATTTCCCACGCGGCACGACCAGTCAGTAGCACTACCCAAAGGAACTATTCGTTGTCTGAGAAGAGCTTGAAAACGCTTTTACCTGAATATCAAAGAAAATCTGGTAGATACTCATACACAAACACACCTCAGCCTGCAACTTTAACCGCCGCTCAACCGAGGACATCTCGGCCAATTTCATCGGAGCGTTCATCTCTGTACAAGGGGACTGGGGCACAGATAAATTTGTCAATGAATTTCCGTTCATTAGTCCTTCACAAGCATCACTTTCATCACGGAAGGATGTTGGGTCAACCGCTAGCAGTCTTTCTTCCGTGCGATATTTCCGGATATTTTCCCTGAGGCGTTCAGATGCGTTCATCTCCCGTCCTCTTTTGCCAGTTTTATTAACCTTGGACGTTTTCCTTTTCACAGTTGTGCGGCGGCATGACCCGCCCTGATTCTGGGAACGAACCTTGAGTTGTCCTCCATCAGTGGAACTAGAAAAATAAAAAGAACACGAGAGAAGAAGTAGATGTTTCTGACTGCTTTAGTCAAAGGCTAGACTTCTCCCAAACATCTGTTTCTTGAATGTCACGCAACAATGTCACGCAACTTTGCTGCTCGCAATATGAGGAACATTTCGTGTCACTCCAAAACAACATTGACCCCTTTCACCCATTATTAATAGCAAGTGACTTACTCTGCTTCCTTCTGCTGCTCCAAACTTCGACCTCTGTTTTTATACCAGCCTAGAAGGATCCAAAAAACCAAACCAGAGTGGCTTAGTCGGGATGACTGGAAGTAAACTTGTTCTGTTCGTCCACATTAGCCACTCTGAGTTTGCGTGGCGGAGACTGGGTCAGTGCTGTGTCGAACTGCATTATGGGACTGTTTAGGGGTCATTATCACTAACTTCTTTCATTGGCTTTTATGCAGTTGTGCAAGAAACTGGGTCCAAATTTGTCACACCAAGCAGTCCCGTAATGTACTTCTACACAACACTGACCAAGTCTCAAACCTAAACTCCAAAGACAGCCAGTTCCCCAACCGCGTTTTTCACTCGTAACTGCAACAAAGAGTGTAGCTTTCAACTCATGAAGTTTTTTTAAAGAACTCCTTGCTTCATCGCATGGAAATCAGGTCAAATCTCTCTGTCCAAACGTTTGAAGTTCCACGATGCATTTCTAACTCTTTTGTCCCGTTCTTGGGACGAAATTTACGGAGTTACCATTCAAATAGTGAAACCTTTTCAGCAGTGTTGTTACACCAGATGATATTTCTTTTTCAGCATTTCGCGAATTAATATTAGGTGTGTTTTTAACTGCATTCAGTTTTTCGCAAATCTGGAAGTTACTGAGATATATACTCCCTGAACGTTTTCTTATTCAGTTAGAAAGAAGGGCAAACAAAGCCAAACCTTTTAGAAGTCCAGGTCTTTTCTTATCATGACACTCCTTAATAGACTTGATCCACAACGCCTTGATTTCTGGTGAAGACGCTTTGAGGAGATATATCTCAGCGCCTGCCAGTTTTCTCATCCAGACTGCCCACTTGCTGGGGTCACTGTCCACAGACTCTGTCTGTCCAATACCTTTCGTCTGAGAGAAAAGACCAGTTGCCAGAGTCTTTTGTAAAAAACTTTGGGGTAACCATCAAGAACTATGATTGGTTAACGGTGGAAACCAGCGACCAATCAAAACTAACTGTGGCTAGTCAAACGATTCCAGTAGTCCTAGGGCTCGAAATTTCTGAAGAAGCGACTAAGCATTTCATTTCTGGTCACAATTGAGAAGGAAAGTAAGTTTTCCCTATACCGTAAAATTCCAAAAATTAGCCCCTCCAAATATAACCCCCCCAAACCGGTAACGCAAAAAAGACTCCGTTAAATCGCCCCTCCAAATATAAGCCCCCCGGGGGCTTGTACTTGGAAAATTGCCCTCAAATACAAAGTAAAACAAAGCCAAATTTCCTTCCAACTATAAGGCTAGCCCAATCGATTTTGAAACGCAAATTTCCCTCCATAGATAAGCCTCCCCGAAAATAAGCCCCTCAAAAAGGGCCTTTGAAAAATATAAGCCCCGGGGCTTATTTTCGGAATTTTACGGTAACTTAAAATTCCAATTCGTAAAAGAAATCCGTTTTCCTTTAGCGCAAATTAAAGCGTGGCGATGGGCCCACATTTACAGCTTTTTCAAAAGATCGTTAGCCATCCATAACAACTGATAATTCTTCGCTCAAAACAGCACAAATCTTTATCCATGGCCTCGGAGGGAAAACTTCTTCGATGACACAACGCAATCAGTTTTTTTGATCCTCCGAAACAAAAACATGATAAATAACTATCATAGATAACTTCCATATAAAGACTTCGTATTGAAACAGCATGCGGTAACTATTCTCCATATTTACCTTCATGCTATGTACATATCTGTATGCTGGAAGTCCACCTTCTCTTGTCATTGGTTCACTAAAAATAATGATTTTCTCAAATAGGAAAACTCTTCTCTCTTTGCCTTTTGTTTTAGCCTTGCCGTCAACGACAAAGAACTCGTCCTAAACAAGAACAAAGGACGTATTAAGTTAAAGGCAGCATCGTTACCGTATCTTAGTTCAACTGATCGCGCAGTCAGATTAGGAGGTGACAGTGAGCCGTCCGCCTAACATATCAATTAGAAGGAGGCATCAAAAAAGCCAGGAAACTGTTTGATAAAGAGCAAGAGACATAGACACCGGTGTCATAGTCTATGTGACTTTTGCTGACATTTGCTTGGGTGGGCGGGGTGAGATCATTACTCATAAAAGAAGTGAAGCGGAAGTACGGTACGCCTTCATACGCCAACGTCCAGTGACACCTCTCCGTTCCACTACCGATTGAGCCTTTACGTCCCAAGAGTGACCAACGTCAATTTTCTCCCAACATCATCAATACATTATCAAGAAAAAAGGTTTTGAGAATAAAGAAAATGATCCGGACCGGGTTGTTCAAAGCCGGGTTAAGATAACCCAGGGTTAGTGTAAAAATTTGAATACAGATGTAAAAGCTTGAAAACCAAATTCAGCTTTATTCTTTTTATCTACAATTTGATAGCTGGACGCTCTAAGAAGAACAGAGAAAATTATCCGAGAAAATGCTTTTCAACAAAAGAAAAGGAAAACCGGATCGAAATTTAATCCCGAGTTTGTATTTGTATTTGCATTTTATTTTTACTCCATCCTATAATACATTAGTTGTACAATAATACAATAGTTGTACAATATCAATTGGTACAAAGTTGCTTAAACTACGTGTACATAATAATAATAATAAAAAAAAAAAAATTAGAATGGAGAAGGGCACATTATAGTAAAACAAATCATGGCCCTTTAACAAGATTGACTTTATTCTTTTGTAGTTTTGTTATTCATTAAAACACAAAAAGGCAACAAATAACGCAAACTACCCAGCTTCAAAAAACGCGGCCATCATCATCGCTGACCGCTGACCGCTAATCCCGGGTTAGCGCTAATCAGCCTTCGAACAACTGGGCACAGGACACCAAAGGAAAATGCTTTGATCTTTTGTTAAATTCTCTCAACTAATTCTTTAAGGAAATGTATAGAGATCAGTTTGGAGAATTTGTATGTGGATATTGGGGCTTAAATGATCCAGCAACCAGTTACGAGAGAGGAATTTGGCAATTATTATATCAAAGGGCAATGCAGTGAACGTTCGACACTAACGATGAAGTTTAGCTTGGACAAAAAATGGCGTCTTCCGTCTTACCTGAAGTATAAGGTCACCAGTCTCTTCAGGATTCACCTTAAAACGAAGAAAAACGAGAAACTGTTGCGTGAGTTGTACAAGGGCAAGTGTTGAAACTTCCTCCCAGCCCTGCATGACTCGAAATTCAAGTCTCAACCAATGTTCATGTTTGCCGCTCGCCTACCAGAATAGCCCAATTTAAACAACGAAAGAGAATTTTTTTCCCCCATTTTCGTAAGTACGAAGTTAAAACTCAACCGGGCAGCAAGATTGGTTAACGAACTACCACATTAGTAATGCATGTCCGTTAAGTTTAGTTAAGCCTTTTTTAGATACGTCGAATTTCTTATAAAAGTTAGCCTGCGTAGCAAACGTTTCGGTTTCGTTTCGTTTGGTTTCGGAGCAAAGAAAGACCAAGGAACGGGATTCTCGGTTTTGGCCGCGCGAGAAATGAAAAAAGAGCCAAAAAATGAAAGTTACGCAATTTTTCGCGCGGTCTTTGCAGATTCTCGTTCCTCGTTCTTTGCTCCTAAACCGCATGGAAACGCTTGCTACGCAGGCTATATAAAAGTCTGTTTTCTTAGTAAAACGCACTCTCATGAGCACCCATCTTCGATAGTTGACCACAACAGTTTGGCATTTGGGACGTGGTCGCTTTCGGCAGGTTTGACTGACTAATGATAATAACGCTTACCTCATATCCTTGTAGCATTCCAACATTTACCATATCATTAGTTCGCTTTAGTATTCTCAGAGCAACTTCCAAGGCTTTCTACAAATACAGCAAGAAAGGCGGTCATCAAAAACGTCTTCTCAAAACTACTCGCTTCTGTCTCAAATGAAAGACCCAGTTATTTCAACGGAGTTTAGCTAGTGTTTAACAAAACCGCGATCTAAGTGACTTTCAGTTTGTCGAACGCTTTTATGTAAACACCACTTATTGTGAAAAGTTTCATGAAAGCATGTGGCGTAGAATAGAAAAGCATTTGTGTTCTTCAAATATCCATTAACGAAGAGATCTGAAGGTCCAAAGATTTCCTAAGCCGCGGTCTAAGTTAGATTTCGTTTATATAACCGACCCAAAGGGTTTTAAAGTAAGAAAAATGTGTCATTTAGTACGAGCGACACTGTAACCGGTCATTTCACCCGCTTACTTCACCCCCTATTTTCGAGTCATTTAGTGCTCTCCAAATACAACATTCCTCTTTCTATACGCCATAAAGTAAAACAAGCGCGCTTCAAAATCAAATATAATATTCCTCTTTCTATAAGCCATAAATCAAAGCAAGCGCGCTTCAAATATAAAATTCCTCGTTCTAAAATAGGGAGCTAATCAACTGGGGCGAAATGACCGTAAAGCTAAATGACAAGCTAAAAGAGCTGCCCGTCTCATTAGTGAACTCTTTCGTCTCCAAACGTGTCTGAATGAAAACTCAAAAAACTTCTAAAGGCGTGATGGTTTTTAGATATTATCGCAGTTTTAAGAGCTATCTTAATTCTAATCACTTTGCACTCGCAAATACTCGCTACTAACCTCTAAATGAGTACAGTCTTCTCCCGCTCGCTCATGATGCTTCAGAATGTCCTAAATTATTTCAAAATTGTATTAATGATATGTACAATGCATCTGAGGCAACCTCCTTCCCCGGGTGTCCGTCCCTGGGAGACAAACATGCGAATGATGTTGCATCTGAGGGGGAAAATACTAATTAGCTGCTTAACCAGTAAATCGAACTTGTCATTTAAGACATGTAGACCTATACATCACTATTTCCCATGTTATTGCACAAGGAGTCTGCTAGGCTTGCTTGGTCACTTGGGTCTAGGCTAGATTTTCGCCATTTTTTTAGAGCTTGTTTTTAAAGTTTCAGTCTTTTTTAACTGTCGAAAGTTTGGTTTTGGTTTTGGTTTTGGTTTTACTACGCCCTTTGGTTGGCTAAAACCAAAACAGTCAGCTCTAAAACCAAAAACAGGAATCACTCTTGCCAATCACAGAATGAACCAATCAGATTTCGAGGCAATTACATAAAGCGGGCGCCAAGCGCGGGAAACGTGTACGAGAAAGACACGAATGTCACGATTGGCTCTGGGTTTTCTCCGATTGGTCGAGAAGGTGGTACGTGATTTTTCAACCAATCACAACGCACAGCAATGCAAACAGATGCATTGAAAGTGATGAAAACAAGTGAAGGAGCGTTATCAAGAAACTGATTATGACAATTATTCACCTTGAGAAGGAGTTGGTATTTAGTTATCCTCTGAACAGGCTTGATAAGATAGTCAGCCAACTGAAGCCTGTGTCCTAACCTTTCCTTGCAGCTCTGTAAATAAAAGTAAAAGACACAAAAGTAAAAGTTTCATTCGCATGTTTTTCGGCCGAAATAATCCATAACCCCAGGATTGCAGTGATAAAAGAATTGAACTACAATATAATTTTATGAAGCTTATCAATAATCTGGCACGTCGCGTTTTATCATAGTCTGTAACCAGTCGTATATTTGCCATACTTATAAATTAGCCTGCGTAGCAAGCGTTTCCGCGCGAGTAGGTCGAAGAAGCTGGAAGGAGAGCTTGTCTTACCACAGCGAATTCGCAACTGGTTCCCACGGAAACACTTGCTACGCAGGCTGGTTTTAAACATGATAAAAACACTCGGGCTCGTTTTTTCCACTACATCTCTGGCCGTAATCGCCTTCAGTATACAATGACAATGGATACCAACCTTGAAAAAGGTGTCGGCGTATTTCTGAACTAAAGAGTCCGATTTTAGTTTATTTCTGCAGTACTCTGAGTACAACTCCTCCATTCGTTGCTCCTGTGAAATATTATCAGCAATTATACTTTGACGTTCAATAACATAATATCACACATTCAGAGAAAGAGCGAGTTAAAGTTACGAACTGCCAACATTTCGTTAATCTTTTACTCCTCTTGTGTGAGCACAGTAGAAATCACGTGCACATTCACCTTTAAAGATACAAATGGTTTATCTTAGCCTGTGCCAGGTTCTCAGATAGTATAGTACGGACGTATTAAAACGAGCAAAGCGAAAATAAGACGCGCACGACTTGGGAAAGGTAACCTGAGATCAGGCGTCTTTTTTTTTTTTTTTTTTTTTTGCTTCTTTGGCTCGAGAGGGAAAAAAAATAACGCCTGATACATTTATTTAACAAGCAGTCAACCGCCCCCTAATTTACATAATCTAACGTTTGCTTGACCTGTCATGTTTTTTAGCCAATAAGCGTTTACCAAACGGGAATCAAATTTTGGCGCGAATAATGTCTCTTTTGAAATCAGCCCAGGGAAAAAAAAATTTTTTAAGTACGTCCGTGTTTTTGTGATGAAATATACTGCTAGCTGGAGCTGTCGTACCTTTATGAATAGCTACAAATAATAAAGAATTTACTGGTTAAAGCTCGTTGACTTCGTTCTGTACCGAAAGCAGTGGAAAAAAATTAGGCTGAAGCACCATATTTCACGTACTGAAAGGTGTTGTGAAAGCGAAGATCGCTTAGAATAATTCGCAGCATGTCAAACCAGGTCAAGATTCCATTCATGAATTGATTATTTGAAAAGTGAACCCGTTTGTCGCTTCTGTAACTTGTAGCCGGTATCAAATTGCATTCAAATGATCGGTGAAGTTTTGACTGCAACTGTTTTGGTATACGATGAGATAGTAAATATTTCAATGGATGAAACTTCTATTTAGGCATTCTTCAAATTCAAGAAAACTGAGCGGGCAGAAATTTCATAACGAACTCGCGTGTGTATTCACTGCTCATTACGCAAGCAAAAATGCAGACTGAAATCAACAACAGCTAACGGATGGCGTCATTTTGGCCAATCGGAGCAGCGCAAATCATCCGCATTGTTTCCTATCCAATCAGAAAAAAGTCCAGATTCTGGCATTTTTACATGTGATCCGACAAAGAAATGTATCATGCCCTCTTCCCGTGAGAGACATAAAGGGATAATAGGGAGAGGGCATGATCTCAGGCTATGGGAAAGGGGGCGGTGGCGGCGAGAAACATGTCTTTCCCCAGCCCCTGCGCGTTTTTCGCATTTCTTTTTACTGAACGACTTTTCACCACTATCTCGGAGCCTGGAACAGGCTAGGTTTATCTCAGATGTAACAACATAAATTTTGCAATTTTCTGTACGTGGAAGTTTAAGTTGGTGGAAGTTTTACCTACCGATTGGGTAAAAAGTTCACCGATCCTGTCTGGTTGATCTTCACGATACTTCAAATCAGCATAAAAATCTCTGAAAAAAATGGTCAAAGAACACTAATGCGTTAATTTCACAAAAATGATCAGACCTACAAAATATATAAAAGTTGCCTACCTCGAATGCCAGTCATAAATATCTTCTAGGTTGGAAAATACTTCTTTTTCTTTGTTTTTCAATTCAACGGGAAGATCATCTGCCGATGAAAATTCTTGAATGTAACCCTGGAAAAAAGTAGGGAAAAAAAAGAAAATCTTCTTTTTTTCAAACTTTAACCCTGTGAATGGAACACAATTTTATACAAATGTTTGTAAGTGTTAGCACACTTTTCGCGACAACGCAGCTGGTTTTGCCGCGAATTGGCGTCTGAGAAACGACTGCAGAAGATTCCATATTGATGACGTGTCACTACCCAGCTCTTGGAAGTACTTCTCATTGGTTGAAGCAAATTTACCTCGCGGCACGACCAATTAGAAGCCCTACCCAGATCTGGGTAATGACACGTCATCAGTATGGAATTTCTGCGCTCGTTCGTCGGATGTCATTTCGCGGAGAAACTAGTTGTGGCTTCTATTAATGTCGGCTGTTTCTAAAAGGCTGTGTATTTCACCAATTATTCCCTTACCGTAACAACATGACCAAGATCTTGTATGTAACTCTGCTCTGTGTCAAGCAACTCACTCACTACGTACCTGTTGAATTTTTAGGAGAAATAAAGAACTATACTTAGAGAGGAAAACCAGATATATGTTAGGACAATGCCTTTAAATGCAAGGACTTTTGCGCACTTCAAAAGTGTATATAAGTTAGGTCATTGAGAGATAACGGGTTAAAAGACATACCGGACACTGAGAAATGAGTCGAAAATATGACATGTAGAGGAGGAGTGTTTTTGACGAACTTTGAGGTGTTTGACATATAAAGTCACTATTAAGGAGAAATTTAGTAACAAGAAAACGAAGAGCTTCTGCTCATTGGATATCCAAACACGTTACGGAATATGATGGCCTTTGAGTTGTTAACGAGTTTGAGAAATCCTCGTATTAAATAACCTCTTACTGAGATTTGACCAAACAAAAAGACCATACCCTCTTCTAATAAGTGCTTTCTCCATAGGGCTCATGGGGACTTCCTCAATGAGCTGTTTGCCTGTCTCCATGACAATCTCATGCATTTGCACAATATTCTCAGAACTGCCAAGACTGCAAACACTGACAATATCATCATTTTCTACCACTGTTGCGACTTGAAAGTCCTCAGAAGAAGTTTCTGCACATTCTACTAGTTCACATATCTCCATATCCTCTTCTGCTAGTTCCGCTACACAGGTCACTGAATCCTGCACAACAGCTTCTGTACAAGCCACAGACTTACCAACATCATCTGACATGAAACTCTCAGATGAAGGTATAGAACGTTCTTCAACAACAGTTTCAACATAACAAAACTCTGTTGACTGTTCTTCTACTACAAACATATTTGACTCATCGCAAGCTTGGACAACTTCCGTAGCACCATTTTCAATGCTTTTTTCTTCCTGTTCTTGTCCAATGCTAGTTTGCATTGAGTTTGCCGCTGGATCACAGTCTACTGAAATCCTTGTTACATTGTCACTGCCTTCGTACACAGAGTGTACTGAATCACCAAATCCATTTACTATGGTTTTGGTAGTGTCTGTTACTTCCTGTTGCAATTCATTGTGGTCTGCATCTCCTTCCTGCCTTATGGAGTCTTGCCATTTCAGTGAATTCTAAGTTTACAGAAAAGGGTATGGTCAGCAAAAATATCAGTTATTTAGCAATGACAAGTAATGTACTCTACAAATACCACACACACACACAAAATCCAATGAGTACAATGTACAAATGAAACGCAAGCCTTGAAAGTAAATTGGATGGAAATTGAGAAAATTTCCAGGCAGTTGTATGCTTGAGAGTATAATTTGTTGTAAACATCTAGTCATACAAAAGTCTGCAAAGTTCCCCATGATCTTCTTTTCAGGTAACGTATAATGCAACATGTATTATACCACTACAATAGAAATTTCTGCAATTTGATTGGCTTAGAGCAGTGGTATTTCAGCTTAATTTGAAATACCTACATGTGAAAATTACAAACCTTTTGCGGGTAGTAGTATAAACAAATAATAGCAAAATTTGTACGTGATATTTGGCATAAATACCACTCGTGATATTTCAAAATTGTATCAAATTTCACTCACCTACCGGCTCGTGAAATTACGTATAACAATTTTGAAATATCACTTGTGGTATTTATGCCAAATATCACTACTAATCATGCTATTACCTATACAAATAACAAAACAAGGGATGATATTTCAGGCGGTGGTGAAATTTCTGCTAGGTTTAATTTGTATTTTTCACTGACATCACTGTAAAAGGTCTATTTTTGGCAAATGGGTCGATGACTAGACTGCGATTAGTCTCTCTTTTTCTTCAGATTTCAAGAGGTGAGTGCCGCACACGCGACCTCTCCCGTCTCTCGCCTTCAGTCATGCGTGTGGTCCTTTGCAAGTCTCACATGTATTGCTCGACGGACTAAGGAAAAAGAGAGGTTGCTTGTAGTCTAGTTGATGACCAGATGTATAGATGGATAGGTGGGTACAAGAAATGGTGGGTTATATGAATGGGTGGATCAGAGTGGGTTGAATGAAAGGTAAGTGGGAAATTGAATGGATAGATGAATGGGAGAAAAAAAGGACAAACAAACTACCAAATGAACAGGCTTTAAGAACAATGTTTGCAAAATTAGTTAAGTAGGGACCTTACGATCCCACAACGGCGACGTCTATGAAAACATCGCTGAAAAATAGGCTTTGCATCCTTTTAGACGTTTTCGCGATTATCCCAATTCGCCCTGTTACTTAAAAGAAGGGAATTTTGGCTGGAGCTGAAGAGAGGGGGCCTTGCCTGAGTTCAGACAGAGATGGTAGAATTTATCGCCTTGCCATTCCCGTACTCAAGTAAACTTAAAATGTGGTCATTTCATGTCGTTGTTGTGCAGGGACAGCAAAGAAATGTACAAAAAAGCGTGATGCACGTGTAGAGTTGTTGGTTTACTCATTAAACCTATTGTTTTTTTGACGTTCTCCTTGCCGTCGCCGTCGTAGTTTCGTAAGGTCCCTAGTAAGAGTAATTAGAAAGAATCACAGCTGGGTAGGTGAAAGAACAAAGGATGGCATCTTATTTCACATTCGACATATGTGATTGACTGACTGAATGAGAAACGTCTTGGATAAGGTAATTAACACCATAATTACATGTATAAAGGATTTTCTGGGTTCAGGTTCTGCTCTCGAAGACTCCCGTCTTCTTAGTGAATCCTGTATTGGAAAATGTTTGAAATGACCATTTACCATTTCAAGTAAAGTTTTAAACAAAAAATAGAGTACAGACAAAGACAGAGAAAAGAAAGAGTAATTAAGTAGAAAGCAAAATGAATCAACATACCCTATGAGTTAATTCTTCCCTCTCCTCTGCTGTTAATGGAGGAAGCTTAGATTTTTCAGTGCAGACATGATTAAGCTGTTCATTGGCCAGATGGATAAGAGATTCAAAGCATTCCAAGGCAGTTTCATCATCGCCAGTCAATACAAGTCCTACGGGAGTTTACATTTTATAAAAGAATTTCACTTAATCCTTTAAGTCCCAATATCCACATACAAATTCTCCTCACTGATATCCATACATTTATTTAAAGAATCAGTTGAGAGAATTTTTCCTGAGCTCCACACTCAATCTTCATTCCCAATTCCTCCTTTTCTTTCACCCTCTTTGGATAGACTTGTTTAATTTTACTAAAACTTATTAATTATTAAATCACTTAACGTATTAAATAATATATTGATCTCTAAATTTTATTATTCATTTTAAATTATTCATACCTTTTCCTGCTTTGAGAAACAGTGACATGGCTTTTCTAGGGTGCTGAACTTTACTGGCAAAAGCTTCCTGCATTGCTCCCAGAAGCACTGTAACCAGAAATAAAACAATAGCAATTAACAACAACTCAATGATGTTACATAGCCAAAGTAGGGGGAAAACCATCCCTCACTACCCACAAAAGGGTATGGAGTATTCTTAAAGCCTGGTTATCACACATATGTTGCCCACCTTTCTACAACATTAAGCTGCCAGTACTCACTGGAATACTATTCCCATATGAGAGCAGAAGGCAAGAAGCAATCCCAATTCTTTATATTTACCCACAACATGCTTGTGAAGTTGACTTCCCTTGAGTTCAACTTCACAGGAATGCCAGCAATAAAAACCTGCAATATTTCTTTATGCCAGTGGAGTATTTTCTCATATATTAGAACAGTATTTCAGGCAGTGCCGGCAACTATGTTGAGGGAAGGTCAGCAGCATATATAAGAATCAGACTTCTACCAGACACATCTCACCCTCAGGTTAGGATTCGGGAACTATTAACAAAAAAGGTCTGAGGGTGATCAATGACTCAGTAGTGACCAACATCAAATTTCTCCCAACAATGTCAATACATAATCAAGAGATTAAGTTATGAGAATTAATGAAATGATCATGCACCTTCAGGGAAAATTACTTATGATCTTTAAACAAATTCTCTCAACTTATTCCTTAAAAAATGTAAGGAGATCAGTTTAGAGAATTTATCTGTGGATAGAGTGTTTTCACATGACGTCAGGGCAGCCATATTGGTGTCCCAAGACGATGAAATGGCAGCCATGTGGGTGTCCTAAACCAGTCCTGTGGGAGTTGAACTCTTTTCTTATGCAAATGCTCTATTTTGTTCCAATTAATTTGCAAAGATGCTGGCTAGTGAAAATGCTCTATATAATTATTGGGGCTTAAAGGGTAATTACCTTGCTGTTCATGGGTGCGCTCAGGGGACACATTTGAAGCATCACTGGTCACTGTCACTGGATCTCCATTAACACCATTCTGCAAAAATTCTGGATTTGATAGAGGTTCATGGATAAGAGGCTGAAAAGCTGCAAATAGTTAGGAGAAACAGCATCAGCGCATTGAACTTACTATTTTTGGGGTTTTCTGTTTGATACCAGTCAAGGTTAAAATGAGCTGGGCATGACTGGGTTGACTGTGTACCAAAAAATCATGAAGGAGGTATTGGATGAACTAAATGCCAGTTGAGTGCTATTTCTGCTAACAATACAACTTATAACATGTTTTACAGACTTAAACACACCTTGCCGACATTTTGATAACACACATGCGAACTGTATTAAACAAAACTTAAGAAGCAAGCCCTTTGAAAGGAGTGCAGGCTTCTAAACACTTTAGATATGTTCTTTCTTTAATGCATTAGAATCCATATGATTAAGGTTTTTATTATTTTGGTGAAGAATATTAAAAGTAAAATTAGATTCATTAAACATTAAAAAGTCTTTGTTGTAGAGAAAGAAATAATTTACTATATTAAAACACCAGGGATGCAAAGTCTTCATTTATTAATTAAGCTAACAATTATGAAAAAAAATTCAGCTTATTTCAAACAGATATTATGATGTTATCATTTTTATGCGTAATATTATAAGTCCATACCACCATTTATTGCTCAATATTATATTCAAAATAAAATTTGCAGTGTACATTAAATTTTGACTCCTATCATTTTAAGAAGTGATTGGATTGATTCCTTTATTCCTCTGACCAGTTATCTTGTATGAGATTTCTGACCTCCACCCCTCTCCACTTACATGATAATCTCATAGCACTGCTGCGACATGTTGAAGGGGTAAACGTTTTTTTATAGAATCATAACATTAGCAAGTAATAAAAGGCTCTATTCTTTTGTATACTGATTATGACAATGCAAAAGGAAAGAATCTTCTGGCTCCATCTTGTTCGATAAGAAACAAATAATTTAAAACAAAAGAATTAATGAACTATACAAACAATCATTAACAAAGAATGTGGTATTTGGACAAGAGAATTATTTTCTGCTCTAATGTCTATGTATAAAAAATCCCTAGTCCGTGGTGAGATACTAGCAGACAGCTAAAGGAAGAGCAATTAAATTTAACTTACTGTAAAAGGACTAAATAAATATATTTAAAAGCTACAAGTAACTTTTGCAATATTGATTTCAGTAACCGAACACTGGGAAAAATATTTAGTCTCGCTTTTAGTAGACTATAAATTAGCAATTCAAATTCTCTTCACCCCACTTCCTTTCGATAGTTAATACAGTGGTTGAGTTTTCCGAAAGTAAACAAATGCATAGAGTTAAATGAAAGCTCATCAATCGGATAGGACAACTTATAATTTTAAACCAGAAATTTTGCCTCCCACTTTCATACCTAGAATAAATAAATCAACGATTTTCTAGATTAAAATGTTTCAGTTATTTTACCAATGATTGTCCGAACGAAGTGTGAAGCTGGTATACATTACTAGTATTTTACTTTTTTAGTTCAAGTTAAGTTTGAGATATGTGGCTACGTACAACAAATTCTGTGAGGATAAAATATATCCGAGTTTTTAATATTTCAATTAGACTTTGTGCAATATCTTACAGAACTAAGGGTTGAAATCTTTTGAAAAAGAGAATACATTATTAGCGGTATCAGGATTAAACAGCCAATTGAATTTTATGATTTTCGAGTCGCCACATATTCGGTTGAGGTCTTTAAGAATATCCGCCACAAGCGTAGCCCACTTACATGAAACAAAAACAGCTGAAGATAAACAGGAACTCAGACAAGAAGTTTAAATGGTCATGTGGCGAGAGTAGTGCGTCCATGATTTTATTGCATGCTGAACGCTTTTACCGTGTGGCCAAAAACGTAACCATCAAACCATCCACTTAATTAGTAAAGTGACCGTCCTTCAAATAGCGCATCTTTCTCTTGCTTGGTGACGACCAACGATGCGCGTTTCGGACTGTTAAAGTAAACAAGTTCTTTGTTGGCCAGTGGGTGAAATGAGTTTATTTTGAAGTGCTCAGAAATAAATCGTGTAGATAAACCGATATCAGGGAGATTTAAAGTTTTTAATTGGACTAGAGTGAAACAAAGTTATTGGTAGTTTATGCAACGTTTAACTAGCTTCAAAAGCTTGGAAACAGATCGAAAATCCTTTGACTTACCAAAAGACAAATCCCGCCGCCTCCTGTGAGATGACATTATAATTCCAGTCGTCCGTGATCCACGCTAAATAAAACTCTCTTTTCAAAACATCCCCGGCATCTGTTGCAAGCAACATCACATTTACCAGGCTAGGACCACTTTAGCTTCAGTTCAAATGGCTGACAGATCCAAACATGCCTGTAAAATACACGCTCTATGAATCGAAAGCATCAGACTGGACACTGCTCGGTTCTCGGACAGTTCGAGAGTGTGCCAGTTCGATCGAAGTCCTGGGTTGCGCGTTAATGATGCGTGAAGTGTGCGTGATAAATTACGAACTCCGCGCCTTTAACGTGACAACCCCATGACATACCTTTAAATGTTATTTCAGAGAACTAGTTTGAAACCAAAAAGGAAATATATATCTATATGCCACGCATGAGATTAATTTAGCCGCCGAAAATGAGACTAAAAACGTGCTAAAATATTCATAGTTTCTTCTCTTTATAAACATAGCGTGACCGCGCAAGGATCCTCACTCCTGATTCGAAACTGTACTACCTTTGTACTGACAATTGGATTTATGCCATAAAATAAAAGTGAGATAACCGAACGATAAGAAACTCAGCAATTGAAGAGTTCATGCAGCTGCTGAGTGGGAAAGCTGAACCTAACTTCAAAAAATAATTATTGATATTAAATTATAATAAACACGACTTGAGATCTATAAACTTGCCTTTTTGATATTTCCTCTTTTTGTTTGTTTACACAAGTACATTCATCAGTGCCAGGATTCCTATTGGCAACGACTAGCCAGCTATAAATTATCGTCTAGGAAATTTTATTGTAGGTCGGCGGCAAGGGTTATTAAAAAAGGTCCGGGGAAACTTAATGTAGAACGTTCTCTTAGAGCCTGGAGTCAGTAATTGGTGGACCAACAACTCCCAATCACCACAACGTTGGGAGTTGTTGGCCGAAAATGTTGCGTCCCGTTTGCACGGGGCTTATAGTCGGTAAATGATCCATGTTGATGACATTTCTTTTCGAGGAATAATGGTGGATGTCCACAAGTATGGTTTCCATGGATAGGTTTTTAAACTTTTTTTTATACCCTTAGGCTCTCAGAATCAGCTGGAGAATATTAACAGTCTTACACCAGTGGCGAAAATTGCGCGCAAGGCAAAACCAGATCGAAGACAGGTGAAAATGTCGAAAACGTCAAAATAATGACAAATTTACTGACAATTCAACCCATGGTCAGATAAGATAAAAATAACGCTCAATAATCATTTTGATCAAGAAAAGAGGGGCGTTATCCTCATTACCCAGGGCTTTTAGAGACAATGGTATAAAGGACACCCCAGGATGACTTACATTTAAATTTCTGACATTTTGGTCAATTTGGTAGTTCAAATTAATTTTTCACTGCAGGAAAGTGAGCGAGTTCACTGTAAAACTTATAGACGGTGCGACTAAAATGCGTGAAATGTTTTTATCCCTCCTCCCTTAGTTACTAACCTACAAAATCAAGAATCCTGCAACTCTAAAAAGGCGTTGCAAATCGTTTTTTCTGTGTTGAATTTTTGCACTTTGCTTGAACGGTTTCTTGTGAGTGTACCAAATTAAACTGACAGAGCCTTTTTTCTAAACTAGTTTTTCAGTATTGATTACTGAGTTTGTTTTATTTATTCAGTGAGGCAGTCACTGAGTCAGGATGCTGCTGCACGTAGCTTGTGTACAGACGCCGCACCCCCCCGTCCTCACTTAAAAGGAATCGGGGAGAGAAACACGTTTCTCAGAATCTGCCACCTACCCCTCCCCCAAGCCAACATTTTGCCCCAAGTGAGAAGTAAGTGTTTATGTCGGTTTATGGGCGGGTAGGTGGGCAGTTTCCTCGATCACGCCATCTCTGACCGTACATCTCTATATGTCTCTATTTCCTGATCAAGTTAGCTGAAGAAATGATGACCTTCGGCTATTTACAAGTTTCTTTACATTGCCATTTATCATGAATTGTAACATTTTGTGGATAAAGAGTCTCTACTGAACACTTGACTCAGACATTCAAGAGTACTTGAGGAAGTAAACGGATAGATAAGACTCTTCAGACCAGCTATTTACCGACAAAGTTAACTTGGAATTGTGTCAGACTTTCCACTCGTTTACACTCAGAAAAAGTGTTCCAGAAGCATTGATCGTCTTTATAAGTTACACCCTTGTACCATCCGCGAAATAAAAAGTTTTTTCCGGCCTCCGAAAAATGATTCGTTTACCATACCGAGTGACTTCCTCCTTCTTTACAACCAACAGTTTTTTTTTATCTTCCAGATGAAGCTCTATCTCTAGATACGAAATTGCTCAGATGAAGAATTTTGATCAACGTTTCAAGATAAGGAACATATTTCTGGGCTGCGTTGTTAATTAAAGCTCTCACGTGACATGCTTAAAGGGTCGAAAAGGAAGTTCTATTAACATTCCATTTGCTGCGTTTTTGGTCAATTTTCCTCTCTAATCCGATAATAGAGGTATTCAGTTTAAGTAAACGATTTAATTCAAAAGTTAAAGAGCCGAGGAAATCAGTCCAATCCTTATTCTTTCGATCAGTACAGAGCTCTATCAGGAATCAGGAGAATTTACTCAAATAGTTTGCAGATCAGCTTCAAATGTTACAATTTGAGGATTTAATACTTTAGATTTGTCTCTTAACGATCAGTTTTAAATTAAAGTACGAACTCAGGTCAAAGATCGAAGAGATAAACTAAAAATTGCATTTTTAATGAGATCCTTTCCAATCCGGATATCTACCTTCGGGCAAAGATCTCCTCGCTGTCGGATCCTTTGATGTTTATAATCTGTATTATTTCAGCTGGTTTTCAGAGAGTTGTTTCTTTTCATTTTCTTCAATAAAGTTGACATTGTTCGTTATAACTAGCCAGTATTCTTTAAAAGAAAGACCACGAAAACATTTTTAAAAAAAGAAACCACCTGCAACTGTTCAATGGTTTGTCTAGACATTTAAAAAATTAAATCACAAATTGAACTTTTATTTGCATTTTCCATGGAGAATTGTAAATACCGCGTAGAATTAGCCGTAGTAATTATCAAATTTTCCGATCACGTATGCTACTCATTTAGGTCTTCACATCTAACAGGGCTGATTTCGACAACTTGCGGGCATTTTTCCTTGCATGGCAGGTTTTTATGCGGGGTGAACACGTACTGACTTACAATCGGAGTGTGACAGAAAGGTTAAGTTTATAAATGCCCGGATGTAAGACTTGGCCCCTTGGTAAAATGCAGACAGTGAATATTCTCTAATCAATACAAACAGTAGCCGCCTCACGTTTCGCAAAATTCGGATAGAGTGGTCATCTTTGGATGTTTTCTGCTGGCAATATCTGTGCTTCGATCGCGTGAAATTGCTGGTAATTTTTCAAGAAAGTCTAACCGAAAGTCTACAAAAAACTCTGAAGTATACAGCATCTGTGAAAGATCATCGCTAGTCACCCATATGCTGTGCCTAAACAATTGAAGTGTGTTGTTTCACAGTTTTAAGGGCGAAGTTCTAGAGATGTGAGTGTTTCTACATGATGTTGACTGGCGACTAACATCCCAACAACAATCTCAAGGGTGATATTTAGGAACATAACAGTGGGACAATCGCAGAGCGAGGAAATCTTGTAGCAATCATGGCGAGTTCATTAGGTAAGGTTTTAAAATCGGTCTATTCCATGATCCAAATTTAATGTTATTCGTATCTTCCCCATTACTTTGATTCAATTATCACTCGATAATTAATCAAACACTGATGCTCGGAATATTTTTAGGTGTCTTTTTAAATGAAGATGATCTGGACGAAGCAAACCGACTCTCGAAGAAGATCGACTTCTTCCAACTAGAAGAATACGAGAAAGATATGATTCAGAACATATTAGAGTACAACTGGGACAGCGAGAATCAGATGGTTTCGAATTTGTTGCATTTTCCGCATATTATGCCGGAAGATAAACGTTTGAAATGGCTGTTAAAAGGACTAAAAGAAGAAAAGCATTCTTACTACGTTCTCGCGGCGGCTACAGGTGTCGCAGGACTAAAACTCCATGGAAAGGACACCGAGGAAATTGTGGAATTATTGAAAAACATTTCAACATCCTCTCAGCATGGAATGGTCGCACTCCGCGCTTTCATGTCTTTAGTTGAATACCTAAAACACCCCAAAGATACATCATTTGTGCTGAAATTCATGCACAAATCTAAATCAAATTTACGGTACAATTCCTTGGATTGGCTGCTGCATAATGTAAAGGACAAAAAAGAATTGCTGTTGTTGCTGGAAGATAAATCTATACCAGAAGACGTAAAACAAGAAGCTATAGACAGGGTCAAGTCATCGACGGACAGTGAAGACCAAGGTAAGAACAAGAATGAGAAATATTTAACAAAGGTATTTTTATAATGCCGGCTCTGAGAAGGTAAGCGTATGTTTGCCTCGCTTGATTAATCCACCACAAAAATGTGGGGCAAGGTATTACCCAGATTTACATTAAGGAAATGCTCGAAAGAGACTATTTAATCCGTTTAAGATACGCGATTAGTTCTTTTTGCAAGTCAAACGCACAAAGCACGACAGCAAATGTATCAGATTATGGATCTCATGATGTTTACTCTAAAAACTTTATGAACTATAATTAAAAAAAGGCCCTTGATCCTCACTTGTTCTGACAGAGTTCACAGTTTAATCTGCTTCCGGGGTTTACACCCTTAAGTTTTTTCGGCCGTTGGCAGAAGTCCATGCGTCTTTTCTGAGAGTCACTTTTCATAACAAACCCTTTGGCATCACTGTAAAGTGTACTGAGTTTGTTCTGACTAAGAACTAGATTATTGGTGCCAGCGTGTTTGCTCAAGCTCGCTAGAGCGATCTGAAATTAGACGCTAATGAGCAAATATTAAAACCATCGGAAACATTTATGCTTTCTATGTTTCCCATTAGGATTAACAACAAGTTATCCCGTAAAATTCTGAGTTGAAACACTTGCTCACAAGGATTACCTTCGTGGCCTATGTACACACCTTTGAGTTCAAATCACTTTGATATTACTTAACGAATAAAAGATTTTAATCCACCACTGGCTAATAGTTTACATAGAAGGCAAAACAAAACTACAAACGATATCGCAAAAATACAAAAGATTACAGCCGAAGGGATTTTAAGAGTTTGATCAATATTGTCTTCAGATCTAGACATGTGGCTTGGAGATTGTTCAAATTTGCATACATTTTATATTATATCTTGTCTTCAACCAATTGGTGTAAATTAAAACATAAACAACGCTAGGATGACAGCTGACTGTCCTGTAGAAAAGGTGATCCTTAAAATTAAGACCATTTCATTGAAAGTGTTGAAAGTATTTTTTTATTCGTATCTTCATGTCCAATTTCATTTCGAATGCTCTTAGCTTGTTTTGTTCCATTTGAATAATTATCATTCAGATGACCAGCTGTGAGTTTCACAGTAAGATCGCAAATGATCGGTTCAACTCATTAGATAAAATGAAAGAGTTCTTTGCTTTGGCTAAACAAAAAGTAAATTGATAACGCTCTTGGAGATAAAAAGCCTGAGGGACACGGCGTAATAAAATTCATTCAAAAACATAGCTGTCAATCGTTGGTTAGAATTAGTGGCTATTAACTCACTTTTTAGCAAGTCGTGGCTCCGCTGTAATTGAATGTTCAATTGTTCCCCACTTAAGTCAAAGCTAGGCTTCTGGACAATACACCATTTAAAAATGAAATGTTTTATTTTAATAAGGAAGAAAAAGACGAACATGATTTTTTCATCAGTTATAGTCAGTTTTCTTGTAGCCAATTCCAAGCGTGCTCATCCCCCCGGGCATTTCTCGGGCATTTGTCATCTTGTTGGTCCCGGCGGTGGGGAATTAGTCCAGAAAGCCTGGTCAATTGACGACAGGAAAGGCCGCGGAAAGAACTAAACGCGACTTCCGATGCCCAATTTGCAGCTTTGCCCTTGGACAAGCCATTTGCGCGCGCCGTCGTCAACTGACGCTCCCGTTCTGTTGCTAAATCAGCCATCTCTCACAAAACGGTGTCCACTCAACATGGCGACGCTATTCCTCCAAATCTGATCGGTTCATTCAGCAACAATGACTTAGTTTCGACTATTTTACGACGTTTGAACACCGTATATGTTATGACTGGTCTTAGTTTTCTAAAATAATTACTTGTTTTTCACTTCCAGACTGGGAAAACGAAGACCTTCATCATTTTACATTCGTTCCAAACCTGGCAGAATTCGAGGCCATGCGAACAAAGGAACAAACCTTGTCAGAGCTGTTTAGCGAGCTGGATTTGGACAAAGATGGATTAATCGGCGCCAAGGAGATCAAAGATTTCTGCGAAGATATCGGTCAAGATATAACATTGGAGGGAGCGGCCAAAGATATTGCGCTTGTTGACAGCGATAAGGACGGAAAAATAGATCGAGATGAGTGGATAGAACTGATGTTTCCAAAATTCAATATTCAATAATAATCATAGCAAATAACTTAGATATTGTTTACTGGTGATCACTCCTCTTTGATGGAATGCGAACGACGATTAAACGCGTGGGGACTGGGGTGAGCCCCACCCTCATGTAAATACTATAGACACCGTTTAAACAATTCAGTAGAGGTGCACAGAGAGTATCTTTACTGCTCCAAGTTATATAAGAGGCTAATGCAGGCTGAAACACTAGTAGACCTCTATTAACTGTTGACATGATGTCGTTTACACCGCCCTTTGAATTCACATCAAGTTATATCAACCCTTTTCTTTGAAGACAGGTAATTCCGGGGGAGTCCTTCCGCCTTTGTGGTTAAGATCGGTAGACAATGCCTTCTAAGAAGAACGTTTTGCGTTATTTAGTTGATCGCTTACGAAGTGTTCAAACTTACTAATACTATGACATTCCAACAAAACAATAATGGGCCTCAAGACTAGACATTTACGACAGTCTTCAGGAAATATATGACGGTACTACCCTCTCCCCTATGCAATGATAACGCCGGTGATCAGCGAGTCTGTAGGCAGAAAATTACAAGGCAAACTTGATCCGGGTGGGTGGGACAACGAGTTATCATCGTTTGTTACCGGAACAAGACGTTGTCGTAAGGATACTTGGACCTCACCGTTTGCTCGTTGCTTTCGTTCAGTCATCGGCACACAGCGCAAGCGCAATAGAGTTTGAGTGCAGTGCCGTTCTGTTGTCTAATGACGAAGAACTTTGCTTTCTAAAGGAATGCTTAATTAGCAAACTTCGATAGACGAATGTGCTTGACTAATTTACTGAACTGTCTTCTGCTAAGACGTAGCCTGCGTAGCAAGCGTTTCCAATCGAGTTATTGATTTTTTTTTTTGCTCTTGTCCCAGCTTTCTAGACGAACCTCGCGAGGAAACGCTTGCTACGCAGGCTAGCTAAGACGTAGTGCATGTATCAGAATGAATAATTTTGACTAACGACCACTGTCCTTTCTGTAAGCATTTCTCAAGTGGAAAACTTTTTAAAAAAGCTTTGTTGTCTGTTTCAGTTAATCGGTACTGTTCAATAAGAATTACCAAAAATACAATAATTACAGTGACAAGACGCTTCGATATTTCCACCGTCGTTGCCTAGCGGGGCGTGGACGCCAGGTGACGATAAAATGAAGTAGTTCTTAAATTCTCTGACCTCGTTTACCAACGCTTTCTAAATTATGTTGTTGGACATCTCGAAGTGGCTTTAATTCTTTTATTTCGGTAAAAGTAGGTATGAAAAATACAAAGTAGGGCTCAAGCTCCATATTAGGGTATTTTGTTTGCCCAGTTGTGTAATTCTCTGAGAGATAAAAAGTATATGTTGACTGTGTTAAGATGTATTACCAAGGATTAACAAAATGTTAAAAAAAGATGGCTCGACGGCCCCCAAATAATGGAAGCCACAAAACGTAGGTTGTTCTAAGTAAACTCGGCGAAAAACGCTGACATATAATATTCAGTCTAAACAAGTGTTAAACAATTAAAAACATGAGTATGGAATTAGTTATCACGACTTGGTTATTACAGTCAAACCAGGCGGGCAAGAAGAATCCGATATTGCGCATATGTCGATGTGTTTGAATGCTGTATAACTACTGGTTCAGATCGAGGCGGGTTCTCTTTATAAGCTGAATATAATTTACGGGAGAGTTAAGAACTTCTTTTTATTATGTGATTCATATTTACATATTTACACACAGATACATCAAAATACAGATAAGAGAAACAACCTTTCCGCCTCCCAAAAAAGGAAATGCGATTGTCAAATCCAGCTATTAAGTTTGTTTTGATTTAGCAATACTCTTTAGACACACCAGGCCGTCTGTCACGCACGCGGGAGCCTGGTGAGAGCCCAACTCCTTCAGTTCTGCGAGCCACTTGCCGAGAACAGCGATCATTCTATCTGGTTGCCATGGAGACATGTCGAGAAGAGAAACTGCAGCAGCGAGTTGTATGGCATACGTCACTACAAAGAAAAAGAAATGTTTTAAAACTAGCGCATTCAAATGACAGCTATAGACGAGAACTTCCCCCGTACTGTTCACTATGCTGTATATAGGCGAATCCTTGTTGACATTTTTTGCCTAATTTTACATATGCTTATCATTATCTGATGAAGCTTATAACAGAAAATCCCTGCATATTAAAAGAACAGAACAATTTCAGTTATCTCTAAAATTTCCAGCCCGATATGCCGGAGAAAATTATCTTTGAAAGCCCCCAAGCTTAAAAAAGTATGTATAAGCTCATTAACGTTTTTGCCAACAAGCAATTTCGCAGTTTTTGATTGCTGATAGTTCCTTTGTTATTGGTTGCAAAGAGCTGAAACTTGGACAAAGTGCTCAAATTAACCAACTCTTTCAATTTTTGAATATTATCTGCATATACGGCGACGTCCTCTATTTTTTAACCCGTATGCTAATGAGCAAAAATGTAAACATTGACGTCATCAAGGATCAGCTTATAAAATCAGTCCGCAAAGACCATAAAGACGGAGATATTATAGATGCTTTCCCACCAAAAATCGACAAACTGCTCTTCAAACGTCGCATAACGTTTATCCAGGAACTTTATCCAGGAGATGTACTGCACTATATGTGGCCACCTGAAACGAAAATTGAACAGCTCTTCCAGAGCATCACGGAAAGTGTTTCATACCTTTCGAGTTCGTTGCTTCTTCCATCAGTCCGCATAAAAGGTTTGTTACTTCAGGCACAGGAGTTTGGTTATTTTCAACAGCAATCCTGCATAAAATCCCTGCAAACGAAGAGCGTATTAGGCTATAATGACAAGTAGTTTTAAAATCCTTAATTCTGCTTTTTAAGTAGAGATTCTGATCAAAATACCTCCCAAGATATTTTTGAAACTCGTGAAAGTAGGTTCCCGCTAAACGCATTAAATCGATAGTACGCGAAACAGGCCATTTGCACGATGACGGTTTTCTTTTCATATTTAAATTTTGTAGCCCCAGTGAGGTTTAAATAACAAAAGCCCTAATTTGAAGAAGAAAGCAAAACCCTGAAGGATCCTGGTCATAGTAGTAAAATGACGCCATCATACAATATCATGTACCAACCTCGTTCCCAGGGTTCTGTCTCTCGCCCTGGGAACGAGGTTGATCGTGTGCGTCACAGTAACTAGCTACATGCTTAGGCGGAGAATTCCAGCGCAAACCCTCAACGGGTCTTGTCTAAGGAAAAATTGTGATAGAGAGGCTTGATTTCTCGCAGACCTTTAGATCCGACGTACGAGGCGCTAACTATTAGACAAGCACGAGCTTCGAGCCTCAAGTTTAGTATTTTGACAGGCAGTTAATAGTTAAGTGTCTTAATTGATTAAATACTGAATTTAACCCACCTAAGAGTTGAATGCAAAGAATAATTTGAGATTCTGGAAGCCTAACAGCAGTCACATGTCCACAGTTTGAACACATTTCACGTGCGATTTCACAGTTCAACTCGTCAGCTTTTCGTTCCATACTTCTCACTGATGTTGTGTGACAGCCCACACTTCTCACTGATGTTGTGTGACAGCCATAAACGTCACTTTTCCTGGTGGAAAGACTTTGATTTATTTCAAGATTCTCATTTGGTTCGCCAATTGTCAAAGTGTCTTCATCACGTTTCACCGCAACTGGCTCTTCGTCTGCCCATTTCTGCAGTATTCTCCATATGTTGTTGATTATTAGCTCATTGAAGACCCATGGCCAACCGAGAACACAGGACAATAACTCAAGTGACTTGAGGAGCTCAAATGAATGTCTGTCCGCGACCAAAGTTCCGTCTAAATTTAACATAAACCACATTAAAAAGCAATTGGTTGAACGTAATCAATGATACTGAATGTTCGCAGAGGCGGATCCAGGATTTTTTTTTAGGAGGGGGTGCACTCGTCTCTTGCCCTACTTCAACACCAATAAACCACATAGGTTTTTTTTGCAGAATACCAGTTGTATTAGAAAACCGCAGGTCATCTCAGGGGGGGTGCGCACCCCCTGCACCCTCCCCCTAGATCCGTCCCTGGTTCGGTACAGAGAGCGGTCTTCCTTCGACTATCCAGAGACCAGAAGCAGAGTAATTTTTTTTAGCCAATCAGAACAGAGCCACGACCAATCTAAACTCGACGCAAACCTGAAGCATACGCAAACGCGGGAAAACGTGTACCTTTAGCTTACATGTGATTGGCTAAGAAAGTGGTAAGATATTCTTCAGCCAATCACAGTGCGCAACAATGCAAAACCAAAACTTTGGCCGCATCACTCATTAGAGGAATGCCGTTGAATTTTTTGGCATGTTTCCAATAAGTAGATCAAGATTAACCACTTTTTTTTTTCCAGCAGAAGAAGCAGTCTCTATACCCACTGTCACACCGGCAGCAATTTACTCCATTTTTAAGCCAATATTAACAGAGTTTATACTGTTTTTCACACTGAAACAATTCCCTTTTGGCACTTTAACCTAAAATATGTAGGATCAGTCTCAGGTTTCTGGGAAGCTGCCCACCTACCCATCCCCTAAGCCAACATTTTCAGTTCCTTCTCACTTACGGCAAAATGTTGTTGGCTTAGGAGAGGGGTAGGTAGGCAGTTTCCCAGAAAACTATATACGTTTAACACTCACCTTCACCAATGCAGAAATTAGCCATTGTATCTTCATTAAGCAATTTCGACAGTTGCATTCCAAAATCTTTGACTGTTTCTATGGTCACTGGTTCGTCTTTCCAAATGCAAAGCACCCGGAGAACGTTGCCAAAATCCGTCGCTGAGTTCGCCCAATACAACAACACAACCTTCAATGTACGAAGAATAAGCGACTGTTTCTCATCCGAGAAGCGTGACGACGTTTTCAGCACTTCTGGCCAAACTGTTACCATGGAAACTATCAGCTCTAAGCCTGAATTCTGGTATTTGTACAGCGAACGCATGACGTCATAACAGACAACTCGAATGCAACCGAGATCTTCTTGGATCTGACAACTGCCGGTCAAGACACGACTGGAAAAATAGGAAAAGCAAGAAAAACTCTTTTCGTAGTTGTTTGTACAAAAACCTCTTAGGCAATTTCTTTCAATACTGCATTGTTGTTAAACATTCGTTAAATAGAGAAAACAAGTGATAACGGCACAAGAGCTTCTTTTTGAAATTATGGCATTGATTGGCATATCCAGAAGGAACAAGACGAAAAATGTTTACCTGCTAAAAATCAGGCTGTTAGTGCAAACAGGTGAGGACATCTAAGCACCGTTACGCTATGATGGCTCCATACAAATCGTTCAAGCCAATTTTAGAAGGATTTGTATGGAGTCACCAGAGCAAAGCGCTGCTTATATCTCCTCACCAATTTGCAACAACAGGCGGACTTTTGGCAAGGGGCCTTTTTTCACTTTGTTCTTTCTGAATAGCCTAACCAAGGCAAACCAATCACATAATTTCACAAATTTGAATGTTTGTGACGTCACACCCTTTTCTTGTCTGTTAATTAGGTACTTACCAAAGAGATAGGGTTCCTTTCAAATTGTCACCTCTAGAGTGACAGCAAGTTGTGATCAAACTCCGAGAACACAGCGTTACCATCTGGGAAAAAACGTTTCCAAATATAGTCTCACTGTCACGCAACTGCGTGAGTAACTCCAACAAACGTGCTTCAAAACCAGATTCAACAGGATTCCATTCCACAGAATCGCCATCTGGTTGAATTGCTTCAAGCTGGTTCAGAATTTCTGGCATCAAGTCATCCTCGCGCTTTTTAAGAAACTGAACAACAGCAGAGGTGAAAATGGTACAAGAGGAGAGGCACTTAGCACTGGTGAGTCTCTCAACTACCACGCTTATTCTTACATTGTCGTTACGTAAACGTACCAGACACTTTTCAACGTACTTATATTCAGACTGATATTTCGGTCGGGTTGAAAGAGGCCGATATTTGCTGTCTTTTGGCTCAGCTGTGTTTGTTATGTTTTTTGCATTAGCTTTGTTCGGTACTGAGTGCTTATTTTCAGTAAGACTCTTTGATAGTTGTTCAAACGTATTGGCCAACATCGGTCCCTCATTGGTATCTATGTCCAATATTCCCTCCTTATTGGTACCGGTGGTCATTGATGTTTGAGCTTCCAATCCTTGCACCACAGAAGAGGTTTCTTGTGTTTGATTAACCGTTCTTATTCTTTTGGACTGAGAACCACTATTAACATCATTTCCTGATGATTCAGAAGTAGTTCGTTGAATGAGACGCTTCAGTGATTTTCTTTCTTTCAGATAAACTGGCTTCGACATCCCTGTTTTACTCTTAATTGTCTTATTCTTCTGTGAAAGGTCAGGATAGCACGTTTTCGTAATATTTTCAGCTTGATTAATTCTCGATATTCTCCTGATACTCTTTGTTCCAAGCTCAGTGTAACTCGATGTCAATTGTTGATGTTGTTTGGATGTCGAAATGTTCGTTGCGTCGCTGACGTATTTCTGTGTTGGCTTGCAGAAAACGGCGACAGAAGTTGAAGGTTTCGGAGACGATTTCTCCTCGAGAGAACAAGGTGACGGAGGGAGCGGTGAAAGAGGAGGGAAATCCCCGATTAAGTCCTCAACTGGAGAAACGCGACACATTTCTTCAACTGAGGGGCGTGGAGAGGGCGGAAGAGGGGATAAAGTGCGGAATTGATCCCCCAGAGCAACTCCAAGGTTATCCATCAAAATGTTTATCGACAAATCGTCTATTACTTCAGAATGTATGTTTGCCTGCTCCTGCGAATCTACTTCATAAGGTGCGTGCAAAGATTTACTTTCTTGAAGTTCATTCTCTGTTCCAAATACACCTAATAAAGGAACGGACGTTTTCTCTATCACTTTGATTGTAGCTCCAACATTGGAAAAATCGCTGTCACTATCGTCACACATTCTATCTTCATTCGAAATTTCCTTAGCTTCCTGAGTAGTAACAGAGGGAAAGTCTATTAAATTTTTTTCTTGCGAGTTTCTAGTTCTCGAAAGCTCGGTCCGTTTCTCTTTAAACGAGCGCCCAAATTCGTTATTCAAAGTACTGCCCATCACTCTTTTTTTCACAGTGGTTTTGGAAATTCCAACTTTTCGCTTTGGGTCTGAAGATCTCGTTGTTGACGTTAATGTAACTTTTGCTTGTGTCGCTGTAAGATCATGATTAAAATTGTCGGTTGGACTTTCAGCTACGGAGATCTTATCCTTTAAAGTTTCTGAACTTGGAACGGACGAAGAAGACATCGGAATGTCTTCTTTCCAAGCCGAGATACTGTCTTCCAAATGAGTCAGTTTAGCCGTTGCTGGAAGAGTGGCAACGCTTGTCGAGCGTCGTTCAATAGATCTTTCCTCTTCCGATTTCAATGAGAAAGTTACAATCGTTGTGTTAGGCAGTGTTTCATGTGACATAGCAGCGGACTGCATTCCCTCCTGAATAGGCAAACCCGCTTCTTCAGGAATGTTTAGTTCACGTTCATTTTTGGATATATTTTCAGCAGACGCTGAATCAGGAGATTCTTCAACGTCAGAAATTTGTAGATCATCCTCAAGATCTTCAGGAATTCCGACAGCATCCTGGACATTTTCGGCAAATTCGATATCATCCACAACATCAGCGATTCCTATGTCATCCTCGCCAATTTCAAAATGTTCCATATCAGCATCGACATTTTCGGAAAATCCCAAGTTATCTTTGACAACTTCGGAAAGCCTGATATTATCCTCGACATCGGAAATCCCGATGTCGCCCTCGTCATCTTTGGGAATTTTGATGCTATTCTCGACATCTTCAGAAGTTCCATTGCTATTGTCGCCAAGACGCTCTTCCTTCTGTTCCAGTATCCCATCATCCTTTTGTAATACAGATACACAAATGCTTTGATCAACACTACATTTATTGGTATCCCATAATAATACCTCCTCGCTCACTTCACTCACCAAAAATGTGTCGTTTTCTAGAACGGATGTACTCTGAGTGAACTGATTTCTGAGTTCGAATGATGATTTTTCATCAATGCTATCTTTTTCTTCTATTATTGCGTCGTCATTGTTGATACCCGACTCACGAATTGAAGGTCTATTCGGAATCTGGCCATTGTCGTTGCTAATTCTTGTTGTCAAGATTTTGTCGTTGTTACTGATGAGGGAAGTGGTGGTGGTGTGATCGTTGTTGTTCGCGATGATAGTAGGGGAGCTTGAGTTGTTGTTGTCTCTGTTGCTTACAGTAATGCACATGTCCTTGTCGTTGCTCTTGGTGATAGAAGTAGTGATGCTCCTGGTTGCGTCTTCGTTGTCGTAGCTGGTGGTGTTGGCGTTGTTCTTGTTGTCGTTGTTGTTATTACTAGTGGTAGTGGCGATGTTGTTGGTCTTCCCGTGGTTATCAGAGATGCTGGTGCTGGTGTTGCTGTTGTCGCTGTTATTGCTGATGGCGTAGGCGATGTTGTTGGTCATTTTGTCGTTGTCGCAGCTGGAAATACTCGAACGGTTCTTGATGTCGTTCGTATCGCTAACGGTAGAAGCGATGTTATCGGTCTTGTCGTCGTTATTAAAGATGCTGGTAATAGCATTGCCGTTGTCATTGTTTTTGATAATCGTAGTTGTGGTAGAGGCGATATTGGTGGATTTTTCTTCATCAATAGATATGTTGTGGTTATTGGGACTGGTAGTGGTGGTGGTGGTGGTGGCTGCGTTGTTGTCGACACCGGCGTCCAGTTTAACCACAGCGTTATTGGAGGCATTGTCATTGACAACCTCTTTTTTCATACTTGAAAGAGAGGCTGCTGAGTGACCAAGCTCCTCGATGTTTGAATTATGGTTAGCGGCATCAGCGATCTGAACTCCCTCTTCTGCAAAGACTTCTGGGTCACTTTCCCTTAATTTGTCCGATCCATAAGTATTTGCCGTTGCAACTAATTTCCTAACCTTCGTCGATTTCCGATTATGTTTTAACTCAGTATCTAAACTCTCCGCAATGTATTCCGGGCAAGAAGCTTGACTAGAATCCGCATCTTCCCCAGTCTCCGGTTCTGTTGCGCTGTCACCATCGGACGAGACACTGAGTTTCATCGCCTTGGCTCTGGAACGAGTCATGACACGTGACGTTGGTGCGGCCACACGGTGCTTTCCCTTTCGCTGCGCGGCTGTGAATTTGGGCGATAACTTGGAGGCCACTTCGGGTTTGACGTCAATCCCGAGGTCTCTCTTTTCAGTCTTCGCACCGCCGGCCGAAGAACTTCCGAAAAAATTTTCGTCTTTTTGATTCAAGATATCACTTTGTCCAAGACATAATTCGTTTTCAGAAATTCTTTTTTCTAAATTAGTCTGCACTGCGAAGTCTGATAAAGATATACTTTCAGAGGTACTGAAGTTCTTTTGCGTATGTTCAGCTAAAGATTCATTGTGTTCAGTTCCTTCATTATCAGCATTGCTATTTACACTCGTTGAAACTTCAAAGTTGGAGATGGATTCTTCGTCACAAGCTGGAGAACCAACTGATGGTCCTTCAGGGCTACCTATCAATTCACCAGCCTCAGTACTCTCGCCAATAATCATGTCCGCAAGGTCACCTAAACTTGAATCACTTTCTCCGTCATCACTTGCGTTCCCATCATCCTCTTCTCCACTATCAACGTCACTCTCTTCTGAGGAGCTGCTGCTTTCCAGTGTTTCTCGGTCAGGACTTGGCGGAAGGGGACTGAGACTGAGACTAATATCAGATAACCCTTTTAGCTCCTCTAAAACATGTGCCATGTCCTGGTTTGGATGGAGGAATTCCGATTGGTCATCGTTGGTTTCGTTGCAGAGTTGAGCTGGTAGTCGACTTTTAAGTTTTTGCCTGCAAAGAAGAAACAACACACTAACAAACTGCGGGAAAAAATGTTTTAACAACAAGAGTCTGTAACTAAAAGAATTTACTAATCATCTTGAAAATTACTGCACAAATGCCCCTGCAAATATGGCGAGTAGAAGTTGTTACCGTGTCGTAAAAGATCAGCTTCCTTGGTGTTCAAACACCGAGCTTAAAATTTGGCATCTTTCATTCTTTCACCACACATTGCGACATCGACATTACTGATCCTAGCAGTATGCAGGACGCGTGTCAAATATGAACCTGGTACATGGCCTCGCTCTCCATGAGTTCTCCGCAGTTCAAGTGGATAGAATGCCCGCCCAAAGTTTGGGAGGTCATAGGTTCGAATCCTGTCGGGGACTCAGATTTTTTCTTTGTTCCAGGCTCGTCACATGCTGATTATTTCGTTTTCACATTTGTTTCACCGAGCTTAAAATTTACCGTCTTTCATTCTTTCACAACCAATAAGGTACCATAAAATTCCGAAAATAAGCCCCGGGGCTTATATTTTTCAAAGGCCCTTTTTGAGGGGCTTATATTCGGAGGGAAATTTGCGTTTCAAAATCGATTGGGCTAGCCTTATAGTTGGAAATAAATTTACCATTTTTGCTTTGTTTTACTTTGTATTTGAGGGCAATTTTCCAAGTACAAGCCCCCGGAGGGTTGATATTTGGAGGGGCGATTTAACGAAGGTTTTTTTGCGTCACCGGTTTGGGGGCTTATATTTGGAGGGGATTATACATGGAGGGACTTATTTTCGGAATTTTACGGTATTCAGATACACTACCTTGTTTTACTTGCTCTCGCTGTACCACATATGTTTTCATCAAGTGCTTTCGCTGCATTGGGAAATAAAGGAAGAAGAATATCGTCATCGCTTGCTACCAAAACAAAAAAGCCAAAACAAATCACACCAAAACTCACCCAAATCTTTCTCAAGCTTTGAATTTTCAGCTTCCTCCTGTTTACGAGAAAAGAGGTAGAGTGAGGAGCTTTGTTTACTCGCCACATGTCACCCACTGCATATGACACAGGAAAACCACGGTGTATTCCCTAGCTATCGCTAGTTGAAACGCTCTCCTCGACGTTTCCACTGTTCACAGTCCCTTATTTTTCCGTAAGATCGTCGGGAACGAGCAGCTACTCTTACAGGCAAATGTTTCAAATGTACCTAGTCTAGCTTGTGAATATCAAAGCTACATGAGGTGATATACCATTAAAAAATGTATCAAAACAGTCAAATGTTTTCAAAAAGGAGCAAGGTTTTTCTCAGACAACAACACGACAGTGGAGGACATCAAAGAAGTATTATTTTGACCACCTCGCCTCAAAATTATCATTGACCTAAGTGAAAAATAAATTCCTGTTTGTTTGGTGCTTCATGTAAACCCTACTTTTGCAAATCTTTTGTTTCTGTACGATTTGCACGTGCAAGGCATGAGCGCAAAAAACAACAACAACAAAAAAATACTGCAAAAGTAAGGTTTATATGAAGCACCACCCAAAAGGCGTTTTAAAGAATCCCACTCTGGCCAACTGCATGTCTCGATTAAACACCGATTTCTGAAGAAACAGTTACACATAGGCAATTATTACCTTGAATTTCTTAAGTTGTTGTTCGAGCTGTTTGATCCTTCTGTTGGCCTGCGTCAGTGATTTGTTTATTTCTCTATTTTTTCCTATAAAGTGAACATATGAAACAAGTAAAACTATAACCAAAAATAATAATAATAATAAATATGTACATAGTAAGGCTGACACTAACCTTTCTCTTTTTTAAGTTGTTCCTGTATCTTGGAAATCGCTGTCTCGTTTTTCTCCAAACTGTTAAAAAAGACAGGGAATGAATTCAGAATGAAATTACCGATAACAAAGTATCAAAGGGACAAACGCTGGATTTCGCGGAGTGCTCTTCTTGATAAACTTTGTCCCGTGTTGACCAGGAACGTAGCAAGAAACAGACGCCCTTGAATAAGCCACTTCCAAGATCATAAAACTATCACTTTCAAATCGAGGTTAAGTGCAAAACCTTTCTTGTGAAAATGAATTTTATTTACATGATAATAAAAATTCACTGATTTTTACATCAATGGCTTCGCACTTAGCCTCGCTTTAAAACAGACGTTAAGAGACACTCGCAAATGGCTTTCTCTTCGTGAGAAAAGAACCTTCGCTTCGCAAGTCTAACCATCCATTTTAAAATAAATTATATTGAAAAAAAAAAGAAAAACCTTAACGTCATCAAAACGTCAGAAATACCACATTTAATGTCTTTGATATGTAACCCATTGATCAGGGTTGTCACTCAACAGAAACTAAAAAATTCCCTGACTTAACCCAGGCCTCTAAACAATTTTCACTGACCTTGCATTAGGCGATTTCTAATTAAAAAAAATCCACGTGCACATTGCTTCTGCTTTTTTTTGCAAACCATCAATATTCCTGTCTTCATTTTCAAAATCTCTAAGCTTTTCACATGGAAAATAGAATTCCCTGACTTTGACAATATCAAAGATTTTCCCGGCCTTTTTTTAAAAGTCCCTAACTTTTCCTTGACCTTGCAAAATTTTTGTTTCTTCTGACTTTTTCCTGGCCGTAGACTTTCAAAAAGTCCTTCGTCCGATTTAATAGACTTGCCAAGTCTATAAAAATCTCGGTCTACTCCCTTAGAAACTCGTGAGATCGACGAGTGGGAAGTCTACCTCGATTGTGGCAACCCTGTTGATGTAGTGCTCACCTTTTCTTTTGTTTTTGGATCTCCTGCGCTTGTACCTGTTTTTCCAACTGCAATGCAGATTCCTGTTCACTCTTCAACTTTGCTGAGTTCATCAACTCCGCATTCAGTTTCTGCAAAGCGATTATTAAAAAGACAAAGTAGTTACATTAGCCAATCAAAATCCACGCAGGTTTCAAACGAGCCACTCCGAACAATTGCATGCAGCAGGCAATAAGCGCGGGAAAACGCGACTGGTTTCACTCCTGATTGGTTGGAAAAGTGGCGCAAAGGCGTTTGGCCAATTAAAAGCGTAGGGGAATAGTTTCTTCGTGTTGCGGATGCCGCGATATCCAAATGACGTTACACTGGTGAATATTAAAAAAATATATATTGAAACTATAAAAGAACAACTAACCAAAAATGGTTTCCACAACACCAAGAAAAACCCGAACAACACACGACCAAATTAAAGCTATTGTGAAAGTTATTTTAGACACGTCAGTGAACGTCGCTGCATGACAAAAGAAACGGTCGACAGCTGCAGAGAAATGGATAACCAGAAACTAACATGTAGCATAAGACACATGACAATTGATCAAGATTCTTCTCTCTACTTTCTGGCAAATTAGTCAAGAGTGACACTACAAGTCAACATGAACATTACAGATGTCGCGTAAGTTTTGCCTTTAAGTTTGTTTCATTTTGTCCAGCAAACGCTAATCGTTCATTAAACATCAGTTTCTTTCAAGAATACACACCTCAAGGTTCAATACTTTTTCTTTCATATCTGATACATTTGAGTCAGCCAAACACTTTTCCCTGTGCAATCTTGCCACATTCTGCAAACAATGACAACAGTACAGAGACAATAGTTAGGGAACTTAACCCTTTAAGCCCCGATATTTACATGTAAATTCTCCATACTGACCTTCATACATTTCCTTAAAAAAATGGTTGAGAGAGTTTGATAACAGATCAAAGCATTTTTTCTTTGGTGATCATTTTATTAACTCTCATAATCATTTCTCTTGGCAACATATGGATATTGTTATGAGAAAATTGATGTTGGTCACTATTGGGTCTTAAAGGGTTAAATAATAAACGCGCAAACGGAGAGCATTTTCTTCTTACCAGAGCAATTTTAAATTGAGAGTTGAAAGTAATTACGTACATACTTTGTTATGATTGGCTAAAAAATCTCACCGAACTTTTTCAGCCAATCACTAATCACGACTTGTTTGCATGCGTTTACACGGTGTTGACGCCGCATGCGTGGATCAGCCTCAAGATGTGATTGGTTCATTTGAATATGTTATGTCAGTTTATGTTGTGACAATTGGCCAAAGTAATGAGTAAGATAACACTCAATTGAAAAGTTCTCAATTTATTACATATGGACTGCAACTTGCGCATGCGCACTAACCTTTCTTAACGGCTCAGTGGATTGTGAAGCTGCCGTAAGCTGATTCTGCAAGGCATCAATTTTGCTGTAAAGAAAAAACAGACAATATACCGTAAAATTCCGAAAATAAACCCCGAGACTTACATTTTTCAAAGACCCTTTTTGAGGGGCTTATTTTTGGAGAGGCTGGTATTCGGAGGGGCTTACCTTTTTTGCTTTGTTTTACCTTGTATTTGAGGACAATTTTCCAAGTACAAGCCCCCAGGGGCTTATATTTGGAGGGGCGATTTAACGGAGGGTTTTTTGCGTTACCGGTTTGGGGGGCTTATATTTGGAGGGGCTTATACATGGAAGGGCTTATTTTCGAAATTTACGGTATGTAATAAAATTGAAGACAAAGACAAAGTGATGACAACTGCGAATTATTCTCATCGATTTTAAATTTGACGCAATTTGTCGGCAAAGGCAACCCCGAAGTTTTTCTATGAGCCAGTGCGCAAATGGTTTTGAGCGAAACTGTAAGAGAAATGTAGCGTGATTTCGTTGTATGCAATGTTCCAACATGTTATCGCTTTTACGCTTGCTTTCACTTTAAAACTCGGTTCAGTTTATAATTACGCAAATCTGCCATTTACACTTTCAAATCTAAGAATGTAAAATCTTGAATGGAATAAAAATACCAAGGAATAATACTAGTTGTGCTCCTGTTTGCTTTTCCATAGGTCGCAAAATACCTCAGGACTATTCCAATAACATGCACACCTTCGATATGAACTGGTTGATCAGCATGGGGGTGGAGTGGGAGGGGGAGAGTGGTATACGCTCAAATAAAAGCAATATTGTGTACAACAAATTCTTCAGTAATAACTCACATCTCGGCTGCTTCTAACTTTACTGTGAAGTCGGTGGCCTGTTGGAGATTTTTCTCTGATTCTACAAGAAGTGAAGGAAAGATCTCATCTTTACAGTGGTTTTAATTTAATTGCAAAAGCACAGGTAGCTGAAGAAAGTAAAAATACCCAAGGTCATTTCTGTTTACAGAAAAATGGGTACCATAAATGAAAACTCGGAGAAAAAGCCCTTAGGCCAAACGCTTTGAACAACACCTTTGGAGCTGACTCGTCCCCAGTCATCTTCGCGTAACGCGCTCGGCGGGTGCAGGGGGTGATGGGAAGGGAGAAGAGAGGAAACCTCTCTCTCTCTCTCGCTTTCCTCCTTCCCATCAAACCCCGCGCGCTCAGACTAGGGAAAGATAGTGAGAGACGACTGGGGACGAGTTAGCCTCAGGAGCGTGTCCACTGATTAGTTTGACTCGATGAACAGGAAGTGTTAGCATTTCACTTCTGGAACTCGTTACGGCGACATCGCTCTTCGGCAGAAATTTTGACTGGTGCTATTAGTTTCTTACCATTTTATGCAAAGAAATTTGATCTTTTAAAAATTTCTTTGGTCACTATTAGAAGTGAAATGATTAGGAAAAGTTAATTTCCCACATGTACTGGCCTGGCTTGACGTGCGTGCGGAAGGCCTCACGGATTTCTCTTGCGTAAACGGCCGTTGCCGTTTTTAGAACACTTCAAATGTTTTTGGCCTGTTATTGAAAGTGTCTCTACTAAAAAATAAGAAAGACGTCCGCCACCCAGAATCGAATCCGGCCCTTGCCAACCTCTCTCTTCCATTCTGACCCGCTAAATTTTTGAAAACATTTAAGTTAACTCCCGGAAAACTAAGTCATATTATGATAAACTGAATTTTATGCATAAACTGACAGATTCGTTAACCCGACCACCGGCTGGTAAACAAGCCTATATAATAGGTGCCCCTAGCCCATTACCAAACTTTTGACGTAAATTCAACTTGGGCTTAAACATCGGCATTTTTAATGTACTATATTGTAACTTAATACAGAGAATATATAACATCTACCACAACTAAAAGCCTTGATATCAATATATGGTGTTATCGATCGTTAAAAATGGCAACGACCGCTTACGAAAGAAAAATATGCAATTAAGGCAATATACCGAGCACTAAAATGCTAAAAGTAGAGAATCGAGCTGAATCGACCCATCATTTCCTCTCAAAAAATCGATTAGGGACGGATTCCAGCCTCGTTCCGGGGGTCATGCACGAGAGAAACCCGGTAACAAGGTTAGGAGAGATACGATTATCACAGATCTATCACAGGTGTCTGGTTTGCCATTCCCTAAAGGTTGTTAAGCATGGAACGCTGTGAAATAAAATCGATTTTTTTGAGTTCATTGCACGTTAATGATCATGATGTCAAAGCCAGTAAATATTTGAGAGCACGCAGCGTATTAAGAAAATTTTCTGACAGATGAGAAAACAAATAACCGAATGAAGAAAAGCAAATATGTGTTAGATTCGTAATAGAAGGAAATTTTATCTCGAAAAGAATGATAGAATGACATTTGCGTTTTAAGAATGCGAAATAAGGTATCTTATCCGCGATTTATTATCTTTGAGTTTAAATGAAATACTGATTACGAAGGTAGTTTGGACCGATAAATTTATAATAAATAAAAAATAAGAAAAAGTTTCGACTTACTGCAACCAAAACTTAGTTTATTTACTCACGTAGAGTCAAATGAACTCTGCCTCCGACATTTCAGGAAACATCTCGATATTATAAAACCCAAATTAATAAATTGAATCATAAAAAACTTAAAGAGAAACATTGTATTGTAAGTTGATTTTACTGCAATTCATACTGGCACTGATTTTCTTGTAAATCACGGTATAATATTGACGAGATCTCCTTTTTCCAGAAATAGATAAAAGGCCATATTGTAAAGGCAATATTGGTCATTAAATGGACGTGCTTGAGACTAGATTGACAATTTCGCGAGAGATATTTACCCAGCTAAAATCAATCTCCTTAAATTCGATAAATAGAGGACAATTTAAGCGAAGTCACTTTCAAAGCTAAATTTTCTTCGCATTAAGGGACTTTCGTCCATATGGTAGGATTTGTTTTACATGAATGCTTCCAACTTCAAGCCCAGTATGTCTCGTAGCGATTCTCTTTTCCTCATAAACCTCGCCATAAACGTTCCTTTGATGCTGGTAGCTACAATGGGTAACGCTTTAATACTTGCCGCTATATCAAGGACACCTTCGCTGCGCACGCCGTCCATACTTTTATTGGGCAGCCTCGCTGTTTCAGATCTTCTAGTTGGTGTTGTTGTACAGCCACTATATATTACAAGCGGCTTAGTCACATCGCTTCCTCTAGATAGTATATGGTTTGTCCTGACTTTCGCTACATGCGGTATTTCTCTGTGTTCGATAACAGCCATAAGCGTGGATCGAGTCCTCGCTCTTCACTATCATTTGAGATATCCTACAATTGTGACCGCCTTTCGCATCAAGATCACTCTAGTACTTATGTGGATCGCGATTTTCTTATTGTCAGGAGTATACTTCTGGAGCATGACTGTATATCTTTTTATCATAGCACTTGGTGTTTCCCTTTGCCTCACAATTTCAACATGCTCTTACATAAGAATATTTACAATCGTTCGCCGCCAGCAAAGAAAGATCCAGTGTCAACGACAAGCGATAAATTCCCTAAACGAGAACACACGTATCATCTCAAATATGCAGCAATTGAAAAAGAGTGCGATGAATTCTTTTCTGTTCTTTACTGTGATAGTACTCTTCTACTTGCCAATGTCGACGTTTTTGTCACTGTATCTCTTGGAAAAAAATTGGCAAAAAGGGTGGAGTTTCGCAACCACGTTGGTTTTCATGAACTCATCCATAAACCCGTTTTTGTATTGTTGGCGAATGCGTGGCCTGAGAGCTTCGGTGGTGAAGACAGCAAGAAAACTGTTTTGTAAACAATGAGCAAGTAAATATTTTGGAGAAAGCAAATTGTTTGCCTTGGTTTCCATGCCACAAGACTGGTGAGCCTGTTACGCTTAGTCAACCTGTTCACTCTTATCACCACAATGACATTACATCAACGGCAGTTTCTCCGTTTTTCCTCTCGGACGAAAAGAAAAAGATGTGGTGAGAAGTGTTTTTTAAGCGATAATTTCCTTGGTCCCTACTGACCAGGAAAAATAGTGTACTGTACACAGCTTTCTACACAGAAAGGCTTTGTCAAACAAAAAGACGTTTACAAAAGTATTAAAACTGGCTCTTTCGACCTTCAACCAACTGCAATTTCTGACAGCACACTAGCACACCTGCACATGGACGACCTGTTCACAACCTGAATTTCTCCTTTTTGCTCTCGGACGAAAAAAGAAAAAGATGTGGTGAGAAGTGTTTTATAAGCATAATTTCAACCAGGAAAAATCTGCACAGCATGGACGTTTTTTCGAAACCAACTGTTTCTGCACACTAGCACACCTGAATTGGCATATCAAGTCTGCACATGGACGTTTTAAGTTCTGCAATGCTCTTGTGTGGCGCCAAAAATACTAAATTCTTATGAAAATTGTAAACTTACAGTTACTACAGCTGGTGACAAAAATTCACGGCCAATGGATTGAGTTAAAATTTGACTTGTTTTCAAAGTAGCAAAATCATGTGAAACCCAAATACTATCTTGAAAAATTGTCTTCTGCAGAGTATGTTTTAGCCTGAGGACAGTACAAAACAGATGGAAATCAGCTGTTAAGCCAGTACACTCAACTCTGAGAATACGTTGTTCTCTTCATCATACATTAGTATCGTGCAGCATAAATCTCAATTTAAGCGCTTAGCACTGAAAAGTATAGGTGCTATATAAATATTTATTATCATTATTATTATTTATTTATTATTATTATTTATTTTATTATTATTATTTTGTTATTTATTATTATCATTATTTATTATTATTATTATATTATTATTATCAATTTGCCCTTATCAACATGTAAGATAAAATTATTTCTTTGGTTTTATAATGTGTCCCATCAATGCAACACCACTGTCCCTTAGTTTCATGAAACAATTGATTGTGAAAAAAATTTCATCAATAAAACAAATAAACAGCACCCTTCTTTTGCGCATGTAACACACAATTACTGTTAAATATGATGGTTTTCTTTGCCTTAAAGGTGACAAACTTCAGAGGTGGACACATGCTGCAATTAACATGTAGCATTGCACAAAATATTACAACTTGTGTCTGGACTTAGACTGTTCTCAGTCTCCTATTTTCTTGTAAGATGGTTAGGATCAAAAGCTTATTGGTACAGGCGGCCATCTTGGTTTCATATGACCCGAGGGGGCGGGCATCGGGTTTGAAGCAGTGGGGGAAGGGACGTGAGGAAAAAAGCTCTACTTTTTCTCCCTTCCTTCCAAACTGTCCCCCGACCTCTAAGTAGATTTGACACTCATCCAAGATGGCTGCCGATAATGTAAAGCGTTCGATCTCGACTTACGGGAAAATGGGGGACTGTGAACAATCTAGTCTGGACTAAGGCCATTGTGACTTCCCTTAAGTTACCTAGCTGTAAAAGTATCCCTTTCTAAATGAATGCATACTAAGAGACTAAAACATGAGTAAAAACTATTTAAAGGATACCAAGACATTTCTGTTGGTATTTTCTTATCAGCTCACTGAAAATGAAAAAAACATAAATACTAATAAATATCATGACAGCGTGGGGGCCAGCACTATATGCTTACGATGGAACAGTGTCAACCTTTTCTATAAGCATCCATTATAGGGATAAGTATATGTGAAGAGTACAAAGGACAGTGTGGAAAATGGTCTAACAGGGTTTCTGAGTTTTCTGAGCAAGACATCAACTATGTAACCTAGAAAAAATGCCCCTCCCCCTTCCTTTTCATCCAAGAAAAGGGCTGTCACTAAGGGCCGCCGGCAAGGAATTTCCCGCAGCTACTACGAGCATGATCTTTGGCTACTTTCATATGGAAAAGAAGAGAAATAGAAACAAAAGAGCTGTTCAATTTTCCATTTACTGATTCCGTACACCGTACATGTTAGTGACACCCTTGCTAGAAAAAAAATACCTGTATAACAACAAAAGCAGTAGGACTAATGACAAGGTATTTATTGTACAAAAGGCTGCGCTGTAACAGTCCCCACTGGCCCCTGCCACCTAACTATTGCTCCCAGGGGACTAGAAAATCCTTAAATACACCTTAGATTTTACGGCTTCAGATAACTAGGCTTCCTTCAATTTTTCTTAAAAAACCACCTTGGTACATGTAAAACAAGAGATGTCTACCTACTCTGTGGATATAATCTTTTCCTTGACTATTTTCAACGTCAGTGAATGTTCTTTTTTTGAAGCCTCAAGTGCCTGAAAGGAAAGGAAAATTAGTAAAATGAATAGGACAGCATATTGTCGTTGCCAAAATGAATAGGACAGCATATTGTCGTTGCCACAATATCACTACGTCATAACTGTTTTTCAATTGGAGGCCTAAAATGAGTGGAATTCCATAGTAGTAATAATTAAGTAATGGTCCAGATAAGAAGGAAAGGACCAAAACGCAGTGAACACGTCGGAATGCAAAAAGGTGCTAACTTTACTATTGTCTCTACTAAGGTTCTGATTGGTTTAAACATCAAATTTTACGAAATCTTCGCAAAGCAGCATGTACATCAATCCTTTTTTTTCTATCCAACTTCCTTGTAACAAAATCTCATCTGAGTCTAAGTAACACAGAAATCGTATGTGCGGATCACGTAAAATTGTGAACATTTCTTGGCCATTGTTTGCAACTCTTGTGATTGGTCGAAATGTTTTAACACAAAAATACACCCTTTAAAAGTGGAGTTTAAATACATTTTCTTTCGTAAACAGCCTTTTTGTAGATTTATGCACTCTCTGCGTAAAAATGAAAACATTTCTATGTCAGGAAAGCGTATTGCGCCACAACAATAGAAATTGCTTTCCTTCTTACCTGGATCATTACTTAATATAATTATTGTGGATCTGCAAAAGAAATAGTATTTTTGGGAAGTTCTTCCAAAGAGGTTTCACTTGAATGGTATCACCATAAAATTTTGTCCACATTAAGGTAAATAATCTTGGCACAACATGTTCTAGGAGTGAAAAGATAAATCACTATTTTAATTAAGTACGGATAGTAATTTTAATTATTTTACACCCTGTTTTTTGTTTAGATAAGTTAGTTCTTTCAGAAGATCACAAAAACCTGAGAGAAGCCTACAGACCTGCTCGACAAATAATAATTGGTAATATCTGCTCCAGTGCTGGATCCAGACCTTGAGATGGGGGGGGGGTGGTCACCCAGACCCTTGAATGAGGAGGGGGGGTTGCCAAAAACTTTTTTTTCGGCCCTTTTGGCCTCAGTTTGGTCTAAAAATCAGGGGGGACCTAGGCCCTTCCCCTGGATCTGCCACTGTGCTCTTAGGTTAAACCAGTATTTAACTTTGTTTTATTGACAATTTCATTTGCTTCCTAGCCCCAATTATTCATAGAAGACAAAAAAAATTCCGTCGGCATGAGAATGAATTTCACATGCAACAGTCACAACCTCACGGGAATGGTCCACAGACCTTGCCTCCTCCCCCACAATTTTTGACATGGACCAATACAGGAGCTGGCTCCTGACCAATAGACCTTTTCATGGTTTATGATGCCATCTTGGCTGGGGGGCAAACAAAACCAATTGCACCATACACTGGACAGAGATTTATCCAATGGATAGCATTATCCATCTTTCAAACATTACTAGGCCCAGCACTGCCGGAAAAAAACCCTTAAATTTAGTATATTCGCTAATTTTTTTGTTGAAAACAAATGACGATATGGTCTGCAAAGTCGTGAAGTTTTTCATAGATGCTTGTATTGTGGTGGAACAGTTTGTGTCCCCCAAATACACAAATTTCAGTCTGTAAAATTTTGCAGAGTTTTATCTTTGCTGGCTTCAGATGGCAAGTTCATGAATTTAAAGGTGCTGTTAAGCTTTCCAGTAGTGTCACTGGAAATACACATTCCCTAATAAAAACCAGTTTAAATCAAAATTGCAAAAAATGAAAGGGTCTACATTGGCATTTAGCATGAACATGCACTTCTCAAACGTGTTTTACAGTATTCTAGACCTCTTCGTGTTAATCAAAACACCTTGAAATCGCACATCAGTAAATTTAAATGTTGAGCTGTGATCAATCCAAGGGGGGGCTGAAAACATGTTTTTTTCTTTACATATACAGCGCAAAAAATTAAGTACTGTCAAGGCGTTTTTGTCTAAAAAGATTGTTTAAATCGTTAGGTACGCAGCTAGAACGCAATAAATCGTTTTCTTGACTTGTCGTAAGGGAATATCAGAATCATAACATTATGTTGGCGTTTTAAACACCTTATGTCCGAAACGCTCCTAGAACGTTATGGGAACGTGGAAATCTTGAACAAATGTGTTACAAACCTCCCGTAGTTTTGCACATGAAGAGCAAGAAGGACGGCTGGAACTAATATCTTCTGTATCAGTCATTTTCGTCGCCAAGATTGAGGATTAAAAGGACAGGACATTCAATGACAGTTCATAAACACATCATCTTGCACGGCTCGCCGTCCGCCATGTTGAGGTGAAATGGAGTGGAGACTGGTAACTGGTGATGGAGGACAATCGCCAAAACTTCGCCAAAAACGTGATTCGTGTCCCTAAACCAATTTTGCTAGTTTTCGACACTTTTTAAAAAACAGGAAATAGACCCGTGTCCGATTCAGCGGCGTTATGTTATGGTTCCTGGCGGCAAGTGAAACCTGCGATCAGGTCTTTTCTCTTATCTTCTTTTTTCTTTTTTTTTTTGAGGAGAGAGGGGAAAACATGAAAACACTTCACCTCATTTACTTCTTGTGTCCTTGCTATTATTTTCCCAATCCGATGGGATTTTATCGATTTCTTTCTGCCCCAAGCATTGAAAAAAACAGGAAGCAACAGGAACACGCTAAGTAAATGACCGTAAATGAGACCAAAGTACTTTTCGCTGAGAAAACCTGCCATAAGAACCTATTACCGGGACTCCAAATCCCATACAAATTCTTTCCGAAATCCTTTTTAATGTTATTCACGGCCATTTTTAGATTACGCAATATTTTACCACACAAGTCAATGGACAATACTACTAGCTCCCACCGGAGCTTGGGAGTCCTGTGGAAAATAGTTGTGTAGCAGCTCTCGAAAGCCTGTATCTGATTGGCTACATTCATTTCATGGGTAGCGAAGGTAGCGCGCCTTATGATTGGCTAATACAGATAAAGATTGTCACTTAGATGTCATCGCATCCGGCTTGTTACCCCATTTCACTTGTGTTTTTCGTTCAAATTAGGTGGCATGCAAAATAATTACACAGCTATATAGCTCTATATCGACAGGGGGATTTCGGCGTTCATTCATGTAAATCACAAAAGACAATTAGCCTGATCAAGAGGTAGTCAGCTGAAGCTTTGATTTTCACCTCATATTCTTTATGGTTTGTAGGTTATCCCTTTATAGTTACTTACCCAAAATTGTGATGTTGTACACGTGTTCTTACTATTGTTGTGTACTTTTTAAAATACAGTGCTATTAAAAGGTGTAGTGCAGTGCAACTCCAAACCAACGGGTGGTAAACAATTACGGAGGGAAAGAGTTAGCCTCTGTAGAGTACGAACACATACCGAGACAGACCATTTTATTTAAGCTTATTAGGCTTAAAAGTTATGAGGGCGGGCGACGTAAACAAAATAAATAAATGTAATGGAAGATTAACTAAAATATTAGAGAAATGTCAAAGAAGAAAAATTAACCAGCTCGAAAAAAAAACCCTTCCCCACCGACGTTTCTTCCCTTGTTTGCTCTCAAAAGTAAAAAATAACAAATGCCGATATCAAACTGTCGGGGTGACTGCCAAAAGTAGTTGGCCTGTATCCCGTAAGTCAACTCATTTTGTTGACAGATAAAAGCATTCTCTCAAAGCTTTAGTCACGTTTTGAATTCTACATCACAGTCAAGCAAACGAAAGTTTGACAGTGCACGAAGGTCATTTAGGGTGCATGTACTTACTTATGTACTTACTCTTAATAAAGTTCTTCTTTAAAACACGAACGTTGATCGTGTTTTCGCTTACCAGTTGCCACTGACTAATTTTTTTTAGCGCGTGAATATCATTGACTTTGGAGGGGGGGTGGGGGAGGAGTGGGGGTTGGTGATTTCAAAAAAACAACAACAACAATAATAACTGGGAGTTTGCTTGAATATAAATATCGGGGATCAGACAAATATAATCATTTTGAATACGGGGCAGAAAGGATAATTCACATTATTAATACAGATCGGTGTTTATTTCCTGATAAAGAGAAGAGCCTGATTTAAGATTTAAAATTGTAAAAACATGCGACCTCTTCCGGCTTCGCCTGTTTAGAATTTTTGTCTTGCTGCCACAAATATGCAGACACACTATGGTTGTTGTTCGCGGATCATCTGCTTATTGCAATTCAGATTGTAATATATGACTTAATAAATTAAAGAAAACGCAAAAGTAAAATACACTTGGATCGGAAAAAATCTGGGTTGGGAAAAACCCGGGGAAAAACATCAAGATTGCGTGACAACATTATTTGCTTTCGTATGACGTTGCTTGTCGATCTGTCAAGACCCAGGGTGTTAGATTCCAAGGTCGCGAACTTTGGGCGCGTAAATATGTGTTTCTTCGGGAATAAATATCGACAACTGACAGTCACCGTTAGCGAGATTAAAAATGTTCTGGAGATGCTTTCTTGTAGGAGGAATTTTCTTTCAGCTTCTAGTCAAATCAACGCCATCTAGTGCATTGCGGAAAGTTGAATTAAGCGACGCAAAAGCAGTTTGCAATGACGATTCACGCGCGGTATTCTACATCAAACGTGGATCGCCAAAACACTGGATTTTTTTTTTCGAAAGTGGTGGACTGTGTTCGTCAAAAGCTGAGTGTAACGAGAGGTATAAAGACAAGAACTCGACGGTGTTAATGTCATCTAATTCGCTTCCAGCGAGTGTTATTGGAAGAGACATCTTATCATCATCGATAAGCGAAAACCCAACATTTTACAAGTACACACATGTGCTAGTGCCATATTGCAGTAGTGACCTATGGCTCGGAGACTCAACAGGCCTCAACAGAACCTTCAAATTTGTGGATGATTCTTCAGCCAATAATTTTATTTTCAGAGGAAAAACAATTTTTCAAGGCATATTCAAGCAGTTGAGTCCAATTAAAAATGCGGAACACATCGTGGTTTCAGGATCTAGCGCGGGCGGAATAGGGGTTATGAACCACGCAGAATGGCTTTCAAACCTGTTCCATGGGTCCAAAGTCAAACTTAGGTTTATTATCGATTCAGCTTGGTTTATAAATTTTCAAGACGGCTTTACATCCAGAGTTAACATGGAATTTGCCCAGTTGACTGGTACTTCTTCTAGTGCATGCGCTGATTCGTCGTACGGATATCCTTGTTGTCTGTCGTCTGCTTGTTTGATCACACGTGGATATTTCCCTTCAAACGCGTCAGTTGCGTTCGTTTTCAGCCTTTATGATATTTACATGTTTGCAGATGTGCTAAAAAGACTCGAAAGTGAAGGAAAGACCGCAGAGGATCATGATGCAGATTTTTTGTCTGTAGTGAGCATGTATGGAGGTGCGATGAATGGATCAATTGAACTTCCTCATAATACTGGAGGTCATTCTAGTTTCTTTGTACCAGCCTGTTTTCAGCATACTTACTTTAGTACATCCAGTCTGTGGGACACAGATGGAGTTCTACATCCACTTGTAGAAGTGACGCGAGGCAGTGGAAAATTCAGGTAGGAGCTTGCGGCCAACTTCATCCCCTCTAAAATGGACATCGGTGGGGCTAACTCTGCAGTGATGTCTGGAGCACAGTCATCTATTGTACAGGAGAAAAGTTTGGCAGATCCAGGGGAGGGGCTGGGGCCCCCCTTATTTTTAGGCCAAACTGAGGCCTGAAGGGGCAAAAGAATTTTTGGCAACCTCCCCTCCCTTATCTCAGGGTCTTGTATGACCTGCCCCCCCCCCCTGATCTGAAGGTCTGGATCTGCACTGCAATACGCTTCTTACAGGCGTCTATTCTTAAAATGGATACATCACAGAGAAGGTGGCCACCTTGGGTGTCGGCCACTTGGAGGTGTACCCTTGAAATTTAAGAAGTACTGGCAGCTGTCTGCTTTACTGTGCTAGGCCTCTGCTTGAGAGAGAAGGCTACTTTAATGACAGGTCCATCTAAGTTAAAGGGGAGTTCCGGGGGGGTGTCATCTATGACTTTTTTGGGGTGGAGAGGGTCACTTGACCTGTAGCCCTTTACCTATATCAGACCAAGTGTGTCTGCAATTTTGCTATTCTGTTATTTCTAGACTTTACACCAAAACTCCCAGCCTTATCCCAGGCTATCTAAGAACCAGGAACTCTTTTACACCTCTGGTCAATATATATATAACCTCTCCTAGACTGAAACCCTCTGACTTCTATATGTTAGCCCCACTAAATTTCTTGAAAACCCTACCCTTCATGGCAGCTCCTGCCTTTATCCCTTTAAGTCCCAATATACACATACAAATTCTCCAAACTGATCTCTATATATTTTCTTAAAGGATGAGTTGAGAGAATTTAATAAAAGATCAAAGAATTTTCTCTTAGGTGATCATTTTATTAAATTCTCATAACCTCATCTCTTGACAATCTATGTCTATCACTATGAGAAAGTTGATGTTGGTCACTATTAGGACTTAAAAGGGTTATAGCACCAGGGTCCTCATTAGAGGGATCTCTTCAGCCTCTTTTTCAGGGCTGGGTGCCCTCTCTTTCCCTACTTTGGAGTATTCTCTCCCACACACTCCAGAAGACAGAAAAGTAGAGTTTGTCTGCATTAATGGTTATGCTGTTAACCCAATATCCACATGCAAATTCTTCAGACTGATTTCAAGTGAACACATTCCTTTTACAGAATTAGTTGAGAGAATTAAATTTTGATAAGTGTGACTTCCAAGTAGCTGTGCTTTCTGTCTTGCTAATTGTCAACATGTAAATTACTTCTCTTTTTTTTCCCTGGAGCACTAATAAAGATTGATTGTTGATTGATTGATTGTTGTATCAAAGATTGCAGCTTTTTTACTTTGGTGATCATATCATTAATAAAATCTCATAACTTTTTCTCTTGGTAATGTATGGATATTGTAAGGAGAAAATTGATGTGGGTGACTCTTGGCTCTTAATGGGTTCAGAAGTGTACACTTAATTATCATGATCATCATTGCTCCCTCAGCTGGTGCTGGAATTTTTTTGCACCAGAGTGTGTGTTGGTGTCCCGCGTGGCAGATGTCTACCAGTAATACTCCAATAATTTCTTGTATCCAGAGATAATAGTTAAGGGAATTCTAGTTTCTGTGAGCATACTGGGAGCTACTTGCCCTTCAGAAATGTCTGCTTGAACTGCAGGTCTTCATTCTGGAGACACAACATTCTTAAAATGGTATATATTATAGCTAGATAGGTACATTAATTTAATGAAAATGCTGTTTCATCTTTTTCTAATTTCGTTTTAGCCATACTATCAAGAACGGAACATGGTCCTTGACAAAAATTTCAAATCAATATGAGACGGATTACAGTATTCAAGATTTCATTTCTTCTTGGGTCAATTCGCCTAACGCAACATACAAGCTGATTGACAACTGCATTGGTGCCCATTGTAATCCCACATGTCCAGACAAAATAGTGTTCCTGGATGCAGGTGAGGTCTGGACCAAGGTCATTAAGACAGTCATTATTGGATTATCATTGGTGATCACTGTAATTTGTTCTGGACTGAAATTGACCTTCATGTGCTACTACAGTTACCTGGTAAAGAGACAGGAGAATTATTTGACTGATAGTGAGACCTGTGAGGCAAGAAAGGAGGTATGTGGACACGGGTGGAGTCACGGGGCTATGAGCAGAGGGGACAGCCCCCCCTCCTCCAGCCCTTTCTAAACTTTTCCTGTCCTCCAGAGCCTTAATTACTGGACACAAAGGCTCTCATAATTCTATAATCAATAATAATCAATACAAAATACAAAGGCTGCTTTCAAAAGGTCACCCCTGGGTCTTAAGTTATGGTCCTCACTGACCTAATAAGCCCACAGGATATCAAATTTTTGGTTGCTGTTTTGTGAAAAATTTACCTGGTTATACATGGTGTGCCTGTGGCATCTGAATGATTTCTTACCCTGTATACCACAGTATAGACTTACAGTGAGATGTCTTTCCTTTCCTTACTCTCCCTCCCTCGTTCATGTTCCTTCCACCTTTCCCCCCTTCCCCCTCCCCCTCCCCCCTGAGAACTTTTTTTCAGGCAGGCAAGGTTTTGCAATCATACAGTTTAATTTCAAGAAGCAAATTATATGGAGGGGTTTAGTGAATAATCCAACTGTGCCTGGTTTATTTTCCAGCTGCCACTGGGAAAGTCAGATGAAACTGTCAGTATTGCCTGCCTGTTTTTATCTTACAAAGTGGATTTAACCAACCAAAAGAAGAAATCCAAGAATGGTTAGTAGAAGGTTCACTAGAAGGCTCTTGGCATTACTTCAGTAACAACTTTACAAGTGGCTTGGCAATTTTTCAGTGAGATAAAACGATCTAATCATTCTAGTGGCTTGGTGGTCCACCAAGTAGCTGAGCCAAACTGGTGTCCATACATTTTCTTAAAGAATGAGTTGAGAGAATTTGATAAAAGATCAAAGCATTTTCTCCTAGGTGATCATTTTATTAATTCTCATAACCTAATCTCTTGACAATGTATGGATATTGTTAAGAGAAAATTGAAGTTTGTCACTATTGGGACTTAAAGGGTTAAACTTATAACTATATTTATTATAGCTGTTTCAATAAAGATTGCTATGGGCATTGGCAATTGGGCATTTAGGCATAAGGAACAAGCCAGTGATTTGCCTGAGTTGAGTGACCACCAAACAATAGCTTCCTAGTGCCCAATTCCCAATGTGCAAAGCAACCTTTATTGAATCAGCTATATACTTAATTATTGTTCTCTAACATTATATAAAAGTAAATATTTATCTTATCGTTCTTTAAACATTCAAAGCAACCGAACCACTTCCATTAAAGTCCTTCCTATTTGGTCCTGCATTCTGTAGCTGCTGCTCAGGATATTTAATCCCACCGCCATCCCATGGCTATGTTTGAAAAGAAGCTTAAAACTACTGTAATCCAGGAAAGGCGTACATGAGTGCTAATTGGGGACTTCAGGGGCGGATCCAAGATTTTTTTAGGAGGGGGTGCACTCGTCTCTTGCTCTACTTCAACACCAATAAACCACAGTTTTTTTTTTTGCAGAATACCAGTTGTAGTAGAAAACCGCAGGTCACCTCAGGTGGGGGGGGTGTGCACACCCCCTGCACCCTCCCCCTAGATCCGCCCCTGGACTTGAAGATCCAACGACGCGACGGCGACGAGACATGGCTTAAAAAGTGAATTTTTGTTCTTTCACTCTTAAACGCTATTCCCACCCACTTACTTTTTCAAATGTAGGCGAACCCTCCTGGAGTTGAATTCCAAGGGACCATATCCAAGTTCAGAAAAAGAAACAAAATTTTGTAGTTGGTTGTTTACATACTCTTTAAAACGCGAAATTAGGCATTTTCACGCTGTAGTCGTGCAAAAACGGGTAAAGAAATGTACAATAAAGCGTTATCACTTGCAAAGTTGTTTTTTTGCTTATAAAACCTATTGTCCTTTTGACGTTCTCCTTGCCGTCCGCATCGTTGGATCTTAAAGTCCCTGTTACTTAAGTATCGATGTAAGTCAACAAATTCATTCTGAACGTAACTTGTTTCATACTTTTGAAAAGAAACACTCGGAACACTTTCAGGATTGAATTCATTCGTAGATTCAAGTAGCCGCATTAGCCCTCCCCCCCCACCCCTCCAAGAAAAAAGGGAATTCTGCCTTTGCACAAAAATCTCGTCCACTTCTAGTGTAGTTTGCAAGTAAACCAAAAAAATTTGGGAATGATATTCTTCGTTTTTTAAGCCAGGTACCTGGAATTACTTTCACCTCCACTGAAACTTGTATCGACACGAATTGTATCGAAACGACCGGTAACCGTTTCACCACCCTACCCAGCCCAACATCGTCACGTGATAATGACTTAAGCTTTTTATCGAAAATATTAGATAATAAATCTGACGCAAATGGAAATAAATGGAACCTCACCCACGCAGAATCAGCTCTCGATGAAGACTCTGGTAGTTATTTGCAAGAATCTGACGAAAGTAAAGAGGAGGAGCAAGATTTTGCCATTCCGTTGCCTTCTAAGTTATTCAACGACATCGACGACGCCGACTCGGTCAATTCTCCGCGAGAGCAGCCGTCTGATTCGTTTTCAACCATGGACGGCACTTCAACTATGGGTTCACATGCCGGAAGTGATTTAGCTCTCCTAGGAGGTAACCATAGCAACACAGATGACGTATCAGTCGGCTTTTCGGTACCAGGGGGTAAAGATGCTACGGACTGCGTAGAGGCGATTGGCAGCCCACCGACAAAGCAGATTCTAAAAGGTGTGTCGGCATATTTTAACACTGGGGAGTTAGTAGCGATCATGGGACCATCGGGTTGTGGCAAAACAACGCTGCTTGATTTGTTGACCGGAAGACGTCGGCATGGACATATCGAGGTTTGTAAATGTTTCAGATAAAAGTTATTAATTGAACTAACGATGCGTTAGGGCCTGAGGGCTATGTGTCTCCGTTAATAACCCTTTAAACCCGAACATCAAAATTTCAAATTCTCATTTGTTATCCCTATACGTTTTCAGTAGAAGGAGTGGTGAGAATTTATTGAAGTATCAATAAGAATTGTCTTGTCTGATCATGTCCTCAATTCTCATGTCCAATCTGCTTTACAAAGCAGTGATATTACAAGGAGAAATTTGATGCTGATCACTCTTAGGGCTATGTGTCTGCGTTAATAGAGAGATAAGAGAGGTTAAGCCTCACGTGTACGTCAAACGGCAAACGCAAATTTGTACCACGTGAACAAGTTTCATCTTTGCTTGTCGTTTTACTGTTCATTATTTCTACACATAAATTAGTAGTTTCACGCAATTTTTTGTCCATAAGAATTGTTTTGAGCTGTTTTTATCTGTTCATTTTCTATTTTGAGAAATTCGCAACTTGAATCTGACGTTTGCCGTTTGCCCTATACGTGAAGCTTAAACTCTCTATCGTGATTAGAAAGACATCTAGGGCAAACGGCAACTGACGTCAGATTCAAGTTGAGAATTTTTCAAAATAGAAAAGGTGCAGCTAAGAAGAGTTCAAAGTAATTATTGTAGACAAAACTAACGTGAAGCTACCCTACAGGGTTTATTCTAGAGCGTCGCCTTGCGGGATTTCTGCAATTTGGAAAAAAATGCCGCATAAAAGTTACGTTGCCGCGTCAAATGGGGCGCAAAAAAAAAATAGACCCAAGGATAAGTACTATTTTTTTGAAATAAAGTATTCGAAAACATCACTGACAACAACACTGATTTGACGGCCGCTCTATAAACTTAGTTTTAACGTTTATAGCCTTTTACTCTCTAAATTGCCTTTCTCTTCTTCGTTTGAGTCATTATTTCACAAGACATACATCCGGGATTCTACAGGAATTCGAGCCCAGGCTTTTTCAGTTGCTCAGAATGTGCCAAAATGGCGGCAAAGTGTCAATAAACGGTCGTTTTCTGATGGAACAGTCTGTACCAATAAGTTCAAATACCTTCTGGGGGACCCCCTTTCTTGAAGAAGGGCCCCCTAAAATTACAGAAGGAGGCCCATTTGACCCTCATTGGCCAATAGTCCATTTTCGAGTTCGCTATGACCGCTGAATTAAAGAAGTGAAGACGCATTTTTTACAGCCTTAGCCTCCATCTGAAGTAATATATTCACAAATTCCAACGAGAAAAAGACCTGTTTATTTCTCTGTCTATTGTGCACATTCAAATTTCAAACACTTACGTGCCAGAATTTCTGAATATTTTACTTTACGTCGAGGCTAACCCTGTATGAATGTGTCGTCAATGTTTATATTCAGCGGTAATTTTTAATTCGAAACTGGACTATTTCTAGAATAAACCCTGCTACTAACAGTAAAGCACAAGTTAAGGAAAAACTTGTCCATGTGGGACAAATTTGACGTTTGCCGTAAACGTGATTCTTAATCTCTTTCTAATGTCACTGTTTCCTTGCATTTCAGTCTCATTTCTCCGCTTTGCCCTCTGTCTTTGTCAACGTCCTATCCTAAAACATGTATGATAATATTAACACTTTATTCACATCTTTCACACATTACATTTGCAAGTACATTCTTTCCTTTTACTATTACTATTTATTACTACTGAGTAGACTATAATTGTTTTTGGGGTCTAGAGGCCAAGTAAACTAATGCAATCTTGTTGGCCTCTAGTTCTTATCAATATATATTTACACAGTAACTAAATTAACTACACTAATTTAAATAGCAAATAATAAAGCAAATTCTTGAACAATATCAAAAAATAAATGCAAATAAGATCATTGCAGTTAAAGACGCAACTTCTGCAGTTGTTGCAAAAAGTTTGCCTAAAAAATCAGGCTTGTCGGGATCCGAACCGCGATGCAAGTATAACACTCTGACCATTGGAGAGGAAAAGTCGTTTGTCTCGTTGCCATGGTAGCAAAATGTCTTGATGACAACAAACCGACAACGTTTCAAACTACATCGATCTTATTCAATTTCCTTTAATTTGTCAAATGTTAGCAAAAATTTCTGGGGTTGAATCCGAAAGGACCGTATCTAAAGTAAGAAAAAGGAAAAGAAAAAATTTTTGTGTTTTGTTCACCTTCTCCATAAAGCGGGCGCGAGGAATTAGGAAACGTTCAAAAAAGCGTGATGCGCGTGCAAAATTATTGTTTTGCTAATGAAACCTATTGGTTGTTTGACGTTCTCGTTTAGCTCCCAACCGTTGTGATCCAGAAATTTTGCTACCATGGTAACGTGACGTCACACTTCTCTCTCTTGCACAATACTTCTGGACAATGTCAAAACGTTCAGGCTCTAAGGATACAACAAGAAAACTTAATTCGGAAACGGTGTCCTTAACACTTAGCGCGTTTGTCCGTTAACGTCGATTTCAACCTCTTAAGCAGCGGGCCTGTTCCGTAGGATTTTGCCGTGAGGTAGCGACCTTGTTAACTGGACGGCCCTTGGGTGACTACTCAAAGGGATATTTTTTCCTGTTATTTTTAGCTCTTTACTATTAACAATGTTTTCGTGATCAGTCTCCGAGGGATTGCCAGTCTGACGAAGAATTTTTTGCAAAGCTCTAGTGGTATGCGCTCCTCGATCCCAAGGAATTGCACTTAAACCCCGCTTTTCGGCCTCCCGCATAATACGGAAACCTCGTTATTACGGACAGTTTTCCTTGTCCCTGGGAAAAGAATACCCCTTACATTTTCTCTCAATTCAACCCGATTAATACGGACACCCCGTCAATACGAACACTTTCTATGGTCCCCTCAGTGCAGTGCCGAATCCAGACCTTGAGATTAGGTGGGGGCCCAGTCACCCGACCCTGAAATCTAAAAATAAGGGGGCGGCCCCCGGGCCCCTCCCCTGGATCCGTCACTGCAGTGTCTGCGGTTTTAACGGGGTTTGAATTTATATCGGCTGCAAAACTTGCAAGCATAAGCGTCGCGTCAAACACTATATGAAAACGTGCTATAAATGTTATCATATGTTGAATGAAACTCAGTTCTATGTGGACCCTATATTGTCTTTGTTTATGTCCTCACCGATCAGTTCTGGAATTGGCGAAAGAGAGACCCTCTGCTGTGGATATAATTCTTCGACTACTAGATTAGAGTTTTCTCTACCGACTGTAGCCCGCAAAGAGATCACTGTAACCTCGTTGTCGTTCGATCTTCCATAAGGTACGAATCGCCTCAACAAATCTTTCACTCCAGCGCGGAAGTCTCTTTTACGGATGGAATATATCAACGGGTTGCACACTGTGCTGGCCATGAAAATGCAAGTTGTCACATGAACAACTTCAGCGGACACGTTGCTTTTGATAAAGCGGCGGAATAAACTTAAAGCCAAGGTGGGAAGATAGCACAGGAAGAACGCAGTAATGATGATTATGACATCGATAGCTGCCTTACGTTCGTTAAGGCTTCGTGTCATCTCTCGTTTCTTGTTTTCTGCTGTTTCGGCGGGATCGTCATGGCCTCCTATTTGGACCTGTAAGGCGTGTATTTTAGTTTTCGCAGTTTTGTATACTGCGCCGTTAAAGTACGCGACTGAAAAAAATAACATTGTAAGCAATACTGTGAAAATGATCGTCCTTAGTCGACTAGAAGCACTCGGCGCTAACGATTCTTGTTCGCAGTAAAACACTGCAGGGTTATAAGTATGTTTTTCCCCTCCGAAAATCAGTCCGATTCCACCTGAAATCGGCGCTACCCAGATCAGGACTAAAACCACTATTTTAGATTTAGTTATCAGACCATTGTAAGTCAAAGGCGACTTGACGATCGCACTGTATCTGTCGTAAGACATCGCTACCAGATGTAGAACCGTGTTGAGGTAAAAGTACTTTCCAAGGGATGAATTGAAATAACACATGAATTCACCGTGAAGCCATCTTTCTTGAGCTATGCTTGGGATGCGAAAAGAATTGACGAGGATTAAAAATAGGATATCCGATAATGCGAGGCTGGCCAGTAGAATATATCGCATTTTGTGAAGTCTTGATATCAGAGCAATGGTTACAAAAACCAGTAAATTACCAGGCAGGCCGATCACGTCGATAAGAGAGTAGAAAACCGCAATGACTTGAGTGAAAGCCATGTTGAAGTGAAAGTACTTCAGTGAAAGACGCTGATCTTCAAGTGGTCCTGATACAGAGCTTCCCCTTTGTTGGAAGACTCTTGCGAACTTAATTTATTAAGTCCTGAAAGTATAAAAGAGTTAATTGCGGTCTCGGAAATGCACTTTAAGGCTATTGTATTCTCAGAAGCTTTTCGATTACAGGTCTTGTTTCTGAACGTTAATTGAGGAAGTCCTTTACTGTAAGAGCAAATGATGCAAATGTTCTTCATCAAGCATAAAAATAAGCACGCTCAATTTTTAATATTCCCCAATCTGTCGCTATATGGAATAAAAGATAACTAAGGTCGTTTCTATCAAAATGATGTGTAAATTTTACGATGATGTCGTTTTTGTGTGTACAATTTAAATACAAGCGTCTTTTTCTTTAACATAAATTTTAAAGGCGGAAATTTGACAAGCTTTGCCGCACGGATCCAGAAAAAAAAACACTTTGAATTTTCGATAATGATCTTTCCCGCAAAATCTTTATACTTAAACGCCTAAGAGTGCTAAGATTCAAATGACCTGTTTGCTTAACTTCCGCATGTGCTTTGTAGTGGTGAATTTTAGCCATTTATTCCTTATGCTAGCGTTTTTTCTAGCATTTACTGAGGCAAAAGCATCAAGTTTTATTCGAACATTTTAGTGGCATTTTCCTCAGGAAATGATTTTTTTTCAGAGAAAATAAAAACTGTAACATTATTAAGGAAAGATGACGATATAAACTCGAAATTTAATTTAACTCATGTTGCTGTATTAAAATTATTTTGTATACATTGTTTGTTAGCCTTAAACCCACCCCTTAAAACGTTTTGGCATTAATAAATAAGCTTCTGTATAATTAACAATTATTCCTCGAGCCCGAATGGGCTTGAATCAATATCGGCCTCATGGGTTATTGACTCAGAGGCCATGAGGGCTCGAGGAATAATTGTTTTATTAAAATCCAACTAGTTGGTCAAAAATATCGAGACAAAACAACTTTAGCTAGTTGAAGCTAGACTTTAATACTTTTTTGCCGCCAAAAAGCCGGCGCTTTTCGCCACTAGTGGGCTATAACATATAGCCTAGTTGTAGCTCAACCTATGAGAACGCAGCATTGATAATAGACCACCAGCTGGATTTTACTAATGAGCATTATCCAAGCATTTTTGTTGACGACAGAGCATTTTAGTGGGAAAAATGGAGCTTTTAGGTGAAGCATAGTAGTAGGGAATCAAAAGCCTAATGTACAAAAGCCTGGTGAATTTTTTGTTACTAAATATAGAATAGAATGCGTGTATGCAGTATTTACGCACGAGCTTTTGACGCACTAAAACAACGAGTGCGAACTGAATAGCGCCCTACAAAGCACTTTCCATGTTATATTGGGCTTATACACACACATACTGAGACATTCATTATTTTTAGTTATTATTTTGTACTGAAATGGTAAAATTTGTCACTAGAAATTGTAAAATAACAAGGAAAAAGACGTAATCTTTTTTAAAAGTATAAGTAAAGATTTACGAAGATAAGGATATAACCACTGTCAGGAGTCCATGACCAGGGTTATGCGCTCTTGCCACTGTTTAAGGCAATACAGTAATTGCAAGTAAGCTCAACTTTTTCTTTTGAATCTGCAGTGAAAGTGAATACGAACTCAGTCTCAAGTTAGTCTCAAGTTAGGCCTAGACACAAATATCACGTAAAATCGCCTAAATATCTTTCCGGAAATTCTCAAAAAAATGTCTAAATATCCCCAAAATTTTTCTAAATATCTCGAAAAATCCTCGAAATGTCTCGTATTTTTGTTTTAAAAATAAGCCGACTTTGAATCTCTTAGGCCAAAATTTTCCCCAGCGGGAGCTGAAAAGTATGTTCAGGCTCATATGTTTTTCCAGCATCCGCCATTTTGACAAATGGCTGCTAGTGTCTAGTGATATGGCATACATTATTCAAGTGGAAAACCGCTGAACTGGACTATTTCTAGCATAGAATGATAAAACTGGGTATTATGTCAAGAAAATAGCGAGGAAAAGCTGGAAAACAGCCATAAAAAGCCATAAATTTGTTCAAATATCCCAAAATTTTCTAAATATCTGAAAATTTTCCACAATTTTCTAAATATCTCGGAAACTTCTAAATATCTTTAAAAATATCCGGATATTTGTGTCTAGGCCTAAGTGAGGTGGCCGTGTTGAGTAACAGAAGACAGAAAAGCTGCTATTAACGGTGTAAAAGGTACTTTCACAAAGCTGCCAGAAAATAAGTACAACCTTTTAAGGGTTCCTAAGCATTTTAAAAGGTATTGGTGGAGATGCGTTCTGAAAATAAATGTTCAGAGAGTGGGTGGTTAGTTAGCGGTTTTCGTGCCAGCAATTCTTCAGTTTTTAGTGGGTGGTATCTCGTTGTTTATCGCTTCTAAAGAGCAAAAATCTGCACTGGTTGCCCATGTCAACTAGCTCTTGTTACTTAAGAATTCACTTCCTAAATACCGAGACGACTTCTCCGATGAAAACCAAATTCGCATAGACTGCGAGCAGTTCCTCTTTTTCTTCAGATTAGTAAGGGGAGTGCATGCGCGCGAGAGCGACGAGCGGCGAAGCCGCGAAACGCGAGAAACGAGGGCAGTAGGCTCTTCCGCCTCGCGCCTTCAGTCAGTCGCTTGGTCATTTTCGTGTCTCGCGCGTTTCGCTGAGAAAAAGAGAGACTGCTTGTGGTCTAAAATAGGCCACTTCCCAATTCCCCCGAGCCTCGGTATCAAAACGATGTTAAGTGCTCAGCCTTTGATGTGGAAATGATTTTTCATTCTCATCCATATAAAACTCGTTTTCACAAGAAAGGTTGTGCACTTGGCCTCATTTTGAAATTGAGGGTTTTTGGAACTCGGAATTGGCCTATTCGCACGATAATGAACCAAAATGTTAGCAATGACGTCATGGTGAACTTATCTCGTTTTCAGGGTCGTGTGTACATCAACGGAGTAGGTCTGGGACAAGTACAAGATTGGTACGCCTGTAAGATTGGTTACGTATTACAGCTCGCTGTACCCTACTACGAGGAGCTTACGGTTCGACAGAATCTTTTTTTTGCAGCACACATGAGATTACCAAAAGGAACATGTATATCGGATAAATACGAGCGAGTTGAACAAATTATCGCTGAGGTAAGCGTTTTTGGTATTTCTTTAGAACTTCACCGAGACCATACTGCGTCTTCTTTACCCCCCCCCCAAAGATTGTATAACCATTGTCTTCTATTTCTCTTGGGATGACTGTAATAACCAGGAGAAATTGGAAACAATGTTTATGTAATTTTTTTTTTTGGGGGGGGGGAAGGTGGGGGGGAAACAATATGCATAATGGTGTCAATGAAAATGGTGAATTCACGATACTCACCATCTGTGCAAGCGCTTTTAGATTAATGGGATAAAAACAATGTCCCGTGGTATTTCAGGGGGCAAACAGGTGATTCTTGCCGATCCGCCGTCAATCACGGTCGACTTTGTTTATTCTCCAGAACGAATCGTATGAAAATTTTTCACGATACCCAAATCTGTGCAAGTTCTTTTAGATTAATGGGATTTAAATCAATGTCCTTGGTTGTTGTGGGGCAAACAAGTGATAAAAATTGCCGATACGAGTAATCACGGTCGAGTTTGTTTACTCTCAAAACGAGTCGACGATTTTTTTAGTGCAAAATGTACGGTTCGAGTTTTCTCAAGTTTTACATCATTATTGATTGTTGTGAGAACATTTACTGTCGCTACTGCATCCAAAATAGTTTGCCATTATCGTCTTTAGGAGAAAGAGTTCTTTTTTTCATGTTGTCTAGAATAAACAAACTCGACCGCGATTTCTTGTATCGGCGGATTTAATCACTTGTTTGCCCCTTGAGAAACCGCGTGACATCGCTTTTATTCCGCCTCTCCTAAAGCGCGTGCAAAGGTGGCGAGTATCGTGAATAAGGTCTCATGTATTGTCGTAAAAAATTACCGTACGAATCCCTTTGCTCTGTTGTCTAATAACCCTTTTCCCTCGCTTCTTTTGGTACCAGACTGGATTGACGGACAAGGCAGACACAGTCGTTGGCGGATCAGTAGGACTGGGTTTAAGTGGAGGGCAGGTAAGTATAATGTCAATTCGGTGTTTCTAAATGTAGCGGAAACTGTGCTTGCTTACTGCAGGCTATCCTCGGGTGATGAAGATTTTCACGACGAGGAGAATTGTCGTTATTTTGATTCCTCTTGCGAGTAAAAGGAGTAAGAAAAGTTAAACTTACTTTGCTCAACTGAGTAGAACCGCCGGCCGACGTCGTCAGGGACCTTAACCCTTTAAGCCCTAAGAGTGATCAGTATCAAATTTCTCCTTGTAATGTCAATGCTTTGTAAAACAGAGTGGTCGTGAGAATTACAGACATGATCACACAAGATGAATTTTCTTGATATTTTATCAACTTCTCCCCACTACTTCTGTAGGAAATGAATAGAGGCAACAAATGAGAATTCAAACTTTGATCTTAGGGTTTAAAGGGTTAAGCAACGACAAGGACGACGGCAGTCAATTTGCCTTCTATCAAACTTAATCGCGTCTATTTGGACCCGCTAAAAATGTCAAATGCAGGCGACTTTTCCTGGAGTTGAATTCTTAAGGATTTTATTCAAGTTCAAAACGAGGATGGAAAATTCGTCGTCGTATACAGCTATTTCGAGAAAGGTTGTCGGGAAAAATGTGCACGCGACAACCCCGAAAGGTAATATGGGATATGATCAATACACTGTTTCGAACGACTGTAGCTGTCGAACCTACTTTTGTTGCTTTCTATTAGCACTCGCGAACGTATGTCCATGGCCTCTCGTGCTATTCTTTCAAAATTCTTTGGAGAACAGGGGAGACAAAACCACCCACAATACCTTTCGGGATTGTCGCGTGCGCTTTTTCCGACAACCTTTCTCGAAACAGCTGTATTACGTCCTCCATAAAACGTCAAATTAGGAGGATTCACGTCGTAGTCGTGCAGTGGACGTCAAAGAAATGTACTAAAAAGCGTGATGCACGTGCAGAGCTGTTGTTTTGATCATTAAACCTATTGTTTTTGAAGTTGTCGTCGTAGTTGATTAAGCTCCCTATGTACCCCGTAAAATGCTAAATCCCGTATACTCTACTTCTGTTTCCGGCTGTTGGAACGTTGGATTGCGCTATCCAACAGGTTAATCACTATTTTGTGGATAAGCGGTGGGAAAATCCAATTGCGTCATCCAGTGGGTAGAGATTTATACACCTCTTGAACTACTGGACCCACCCTTTCCCTTCCCTCTCCCCCTTAAAAAAAACCGTAGAGAAAGACACAAAGCACGAGGGTTAATGAGCAAAACAACTCTGCACGCCCTTTTTGCATTTCTCCGCTTTTCTCGCAAACAACGCTAAACGTCAATGCTAAACTTCAATGTTTGGAGGAGAACAGAAGATATGACAGTTAAATTTTCATTTGCCCTGTGTTTGAAGTCGTCGCTACCAATTCAGACTGTGGATGAGTCAGTGGTGTGAGGTAAATCTAAGAAACTGGAATAATGTTGATTCTTACTCCCACGAGTGCACAGCTGATAATTAAAATTCAAGAAAAATCCAAATTACATTTTGTAAAAATACTGAAAAACAAAAAGCATCATGTAAAAGTATTGCTCAGTACTTTTCATTTGAATGGTAACACCATAGGATTTCATCCACAGACTCAAAAGTTAGAACCACGTTGTGCAGCATAATAAACAGAACCACAGGAAAGTACTGCTCAGTAGCTTTCATTTGTACACACCATGAGATTTCATCCACAGATTCAAAAGTTAGAACTGCGAGTAATGACTTTCACTGGATTATTGTTCGCATCTCTGGGATCTAACCTCTAAAATTTGTATTGCAGAAACGACGCCTGTGTGTCGCTCTTCAACTAATTAACATGCCCTCAGTACTTTTTCTCGACGAACCAACATCAGGTATGTGATAATTAACACGGAATTACTGGATGAGATTTTTCAAAATATTTAGAGTTATGAAGGGCGATAGAAGCGGAAACCTTGATATTTCTGGATACAATAAAACCCCACTTAAAAAGGCCTGGTTCTTTTCATGATGTCAAAATTTCAGAAAATTTGGTCAAGATATCAATGGAACTAGATGGAGATTTCTTGGAATTGAAACAGCGAGTCACCCGCTTGCTCGAGTCATACATCGCGCGTTTAAACCAGTATCAACGCGCGACCACGCTGTGTAAATAAGGAGCTTGGGCAACAACGACGCGGACGGCTACGAAAAGGTCACCTAAAAAGTTAATTTGTGCTGCTTCAAACTTTATCGCGCTTATTCCATCTTGCTGAGTTCGTCAAATGTTAACGAATATTTCTGGAGCTGAATTCTAAGGGACTGTATCGAAGTTGAGGGAAGGAAAAGAAAGTGCTTGTTTTGTGTTTAAGTCGTCCACAGGATGTGAAATTATGCACTTTCACGTCGTAGTCGTGCAACGACGGCAAAGGAATGTACAAAAAAGCATGATGCACGTGCAAAGTCGTTGTTTTGCTAATCTAAGCCTATAGAGCGTATTCACTCACGTGGCCAGCATCTATGCTAATTAATACAAACAAAAGAAATCTTTTACATAAGAAAAGAGTTCAATTCCCACTGGGTTGTCTTTGGTACACCAACATGGCCGCCGTTTTATTGTTTTGGAACACTAATATGGCCGCGTGACGTCATGTGAATACGCTCTAATCCTAATGTGAGATTCTTAGGGCCTGTTTACATGAAGGTGGGGGACCCCAGATAGGTGAGGTAACCCCCCTTAGTTGGGGTAAAAAAAAATAACCCTCCTTTACGTGCAATCTTACAACCCCGCCATCCCGGGGTGCACTTTCTCAAGATTACTGAATGGTCGCTAAGCACGTAAACAAGAAAAATGCTGGCAAACGACGTTTTTTGGTGATTGATGCTCTTCTACTCTCGCTTGCTGCTCTTGCTGCAAGCTCCAGTGCTGTGGCTTTCTACTGTTACCTTTAATAATGATGCAAAGCTACCGCCAAAGTGAATTTTGCGGGAATTCAATATCGCGAATCCGACCCCGGCTAGGCGGGATACCCCACCTTGAAACGTTTACATGACAAAATTTGACCCCGGCTGAGAGGGTTACCCGGTCTGGCAGACCGGGCTACCCGCCTTGGCGGGTCACCCCTCCTATCATGTAAACGTGATCAAATTAAAATGAGAGATTATATGGACAGGCGGGTTACCCCACCTTAGCGGGTTACCTCATCTACCTGGGGTCCCCCACCTCCATGTAAACAGGCCCTTTCTTAAGTCGTTCTCACATCAAGGTCTTTTTCTTCTTATGATTTGTTGATTTTGTTTTTAGGTCTAGACGCGTCATCTTCTCTTGAGCTTTTAAATCATCTGAACCTTGTAGCTGAGTCTGGCAGGCTTGTTATACTCACCATTCATCAGCCCAGACTGGAAATCTTCCATCTCTTTCACAAAATTCTTTTCTTGTGTGATGGCCAGGTGAGGTTAAGGTGATGTCGCGTAAGAATCTCGTAACAGCTATAGTTTTTGGGCAGTCTTAACGATAAAGTCAAACCCCGGTTAATACGGACTCTCTTTATTACGGACAGTTTGCTTTGTCCCTGGGGAAAGAAAGCCCGAACATTAGGGACTTAAAGATACACCGCAGGGTTCTATCTAGGATTTATCTTTTGGGGGAGAAGTCCTGAGTGGCCACGAGCCTCCTAGGGGGCCCCCCGGTTTGTCCCTGGGGAAAGAAAGCCCGCTCACTTTCTCTAAATACAACCTGCGTAATACGAACACCCCGTTAATACGGACACTTTCTATGGCCCCCTAAGTATCCGTATTAACTGGGTTGACTGTATACTGCTAAGTGGCGGAAGATTTGAACGAAGGTTTTATCTTCAGACCCTTGTGCAGCTTAATTAACAGTACCACAGGAAAGTACTGCTCAGTAGCTTTCATTTGAATGGTCACATCATAGGATTTCATCCACAGACTCAAAAGTTAGAACCACCTTATACAGCGTAATAAACAGTACCACAGGAAAGCACTGCTCAGTAACTATTATTTGAATGGTCACACCATAGGATTTCATCCACAGACACAAAAGTTAGAACCACCTTGTACAGCATAATAAACAGTACCACAGGAAAGTACTGCTCAGTAGCTTTCATTTGAATGGTCACACCATAGGATTTCATTCACAAACTCAAAAGTTAGAACCACCTTGTACAGCATAATAAACAGTATCACAGGAAAGTACTGCTCAATAGAGAGTTTTAGATCCGAGTTTACCGCGAACCTCTAACCGCTGGAGGTCACGTGACAAGTCGTTCGCGTCACGTTTGAGGTTTACGACGTGCGTTTTCAACGTGGGGAGGTAGGTTTTCACGTATGTCATTTACCTGAAAGCTTTTAGCGTATAATTTTTGTTTTATCCCACGTAACGACACAAAAATCTTGTAGGTCAAGTCTTTATCCATTAACAGAGGCACAAATTCGGGCGAAATAGCTAAATTTGACAAATCCTATTGGATCTTGAAAACAAGTGCCATTCATGGCTGCTGATTCAAAATGGGGGCCGTAAATTTGCAAGAAGAACTAATGTAAGAATTTACAGCTCTTTGCTGCTAGATAACCCAGTGTTACCGTAAATTTCTCTTATTTCACAGATTGATATTTCTTCTATTTCTAAATGAAAAATAAACCTAGAATGGCTTCTTTAATCCACCACCAATCTAAATCGAATAATGTTTGAACGTCGAACCGCAAACGGGTAACCGCAAACCGCGGTTAGAGGTTCGCGGTAAACTCGGATCTAAAACTCTCTAATAACTTTCATTTGAATGGTCACACCATAGAATTTCATCCGCAGACTCAAAAGCTAAAATCACTTGTACAGCTTAATAAACAGTGTCACAGAAAATTACTGATCAGCAGCTTTCATTAATATTAATATTTGGATGGTGATATCTAGGATTTCATCCAAAGGCTCAAAACTTAGAAGAAAGTTTTCGACTTGGAATTTCACGCCGGCAATGAGAAAAGTTATTCACAAGTTAGACCCAGAAGTATATAATCTCTTCTGAGTTGGGTTTGTTTTGTTTAGGTTGCATATTATGGTGAACCGTCCATGGCGCCAGAGATATTCCTTAAAGCTTATGCGGGCGCAACAACTGAAGAGTTCCGGATGAGCGAAGATGCTCCGAAAATTGACGCCAAGAACCCTGCAGGTACCAAAAAAGAAGGCATACCCAGTTATCGTGGCTCTAACAATTCCGAAAAATGTTCCTGACGTCGATTGAAGTGGCATTTCTAGAAATAAATAGATAAAACTAAAATGAGAGTAATAGCAGAGCGATTTTAAGTTGTGTACTGCAAGATGAAAATAGCTTTTTTTGTCGAAGAAACATTCATACTTGTTTTCAAGTAAATGAGTTTTAATTGTCAACGTGAATTAATAGTTGCCTTTCTCGTTTTAAAAGATCCTTTTTTTTTTCGATAACAGACACTATCATGGACTTATTAAACTGCCCCGAAGCTCGGCACGCTATTTTGGATTATTATCAAACAAGTGGCGAACCACAGGCAGTCCAAGAGGCTATTATGACGTCCCAAGAAAGTGCAGGAAAAACCGTTTCCATGGATACCATGACAAAGTTGTAAGTTTGTATTGGGTTATGGGTTTTCCCGCGCTTCGAACTGATTACAATACACTTTTCCTGCGCTTGCATGTACCCGGTTGAACTCTTACCCGAGCTTAGCACTGGTTACCCTTTTTTCCGCGCTTAGAAACCGTCACACTTTTTGCTGTGCTTAGAACCGGTTACATCATTCCCGGGTTTAGAAATGGTTTACACGTTTTGCTCCGCCTAGAACTGGTTACATTTTTCCCGCGCTTACAACCGTCTGGACATTTTTCAGAATTCCAGTACTCGACACCGGTTTTTAGTGATTATTATTTTTGGTTTCGCGATTAACCCCGCCAGCTTATAACGCCCGTTACTGTCTTTTTAAATTTTCAGCGTGGAGGGAGCTGGAACATTCAAGAGAATCTTTGTCCTGGAAGGCAGAACTTCCGTTAGGCAAACAATTGGACAACTCTTGTATTTTCCGATGATATTTTTCACATTTGGAATTATAATAGGTAAATTAAATCGTGATAATACTTGTTTCCTGGTGAGGCTTTGCTCGTTGCCGCCATTTCTCATTATAAAAACGCATGCAGATCTTCTCTTTTATTTCGCTGTTTGCAGCCATAAACAGGCAGTGACGGAAAGTTCCACAAAACGTAAAATGAAGGAAAAGCTTCCCCTAAAAATCACCCGTTCCTCGCATTCTATTAGTTACAAAGGATTTATTCTCTGCTGCTCGTATTTCAGGAACTGTTTATTGGCAAGCGGAAGAGAGAGATGGCATATTATTGATGTCCGCTTACTGTGTTTACTGTTGTGCCAGTCCGTTATTCCTGAGCTCCGTTTTAATGGCCCACCTCAATAAAGCTCTGGACGTAAGTTTCGCTTTTACGTCTACGGTTCGACGCCCAGGCCTCAGAATGTAACATCGTATGGAAGATTTTATTGACCCAGGGGCCCGTTTCTCGAAAGTCCCGATAATTAACGGGCCCGGTAAGCAGTCTCCGTTTACATTAAAGATCGAAGTTTCTATAGTTTTGCATCTAGCATAATAAAACTATCAGTTAATGAAATAAAATGGAGTAGTCTGCTAGCCGGGACCCGAGCTCTTATTCTTTATATTTCGATTTGAATATTTGATTTCGGGCCCGAAAAGTTACCGGTACTTTCGAGAAACGGGCCCCAGGTCTGCTCAAGGTCAGGCTGACCTCATTGGTTTGTTGTTTTGGTTTTGCCTTTACAGTGTTTTCCCTTTTTTGTTCGTGCATATCAGTGACCGAAAGGCCGTGCATTGATCACGTGACGCTGAATAAATGGCTGCGCGGAATATTGAGGTCTAGGCACTAGCCAAAGATCGTCTTTAGAGCATAATAAATCGTAAAATGGTCAATTAAATTAGCTACCAAAAAAAACCGCGCCAATCATTGTTCATAAAGATGAGAAAATGTTCTTAAACACGGTATTCGCCAATGTGTTTAATCTAAGTGGTCACGCTGACATAGCAAATTAACGTTACTTTTAGGCTTTTTAGCGTGCCATAGTTGACTCTTTTTTCATGTTTCTCTAGATATTTCGCCTTGAGCGCGCTGATGGGTGTGGTCGGTCACATGAGAATGTCATTCAAACCTTTGTTCGAACAACAGCTGTATGCGTGCTGCCAGTGATCCTGTGTTCAACTATGTCTTACTTCATGGTATGTTCACTGAAATGTCGCCGTCTAGCTTGCCGATCATTGGTTCCGACCACTTATGTGTTAGGTATCACTTCTTTAGCCTGAGTGTTAGCAGCGGTGGGCAGCTGTTGCAACACGTGGCGCCTCTTGTCATAAATCACGTGATAATAGAGTGTAACACTTGTGTTATGTGACGCGGCGTGTTATTTGACTTTGTTATTTTTTACCCGCATCAACACCATGTTATCTTTGTAATGAAAATCACCCTGGTCATCACTTTTTATCTTTTCATCCAAAATTTTGCAATTGGAAAATGGCGAGTTTAATGTTGTACGTGAAATCTGCAATTCCGCTTTATTCCTGTTCATGTAAACGTTTTGTAGCAACCTCGTGTATGACACAACTTTTTCATTCCGCTGATCGGTGAAGTAAAACATGAAAAAGGGGAAATGCTTTGTTTATAGTGAAAGTACACGTAGCTACGCTAAAACAATTTGAAGGAAATAATACAAATAACATAACAGGGTTAGTATTAACCTCGACTGTCGGGAGGCAACCAGTTGGCTCCACTCAAGCGTGATCGAGGAATTTGATTTCGAGACGATCGACAAACAAATACACCAAGCAGTCGGAGAGGGACTCGAACCCAGGATCGCTGTCCAGTCGGCCACGCTGCTTCCGTTTGCTCAACCACAGGACACCTAACATGGAGGACTTCCACTTTTCACGGCTTACTTTAAATACGGTATTTATCTCCTTCTCCAATTAACATGCGAATTTTAATACTGGTGATCGCAGAAAACAAGGACTTGAAGAAGAATCCAGAAATCGATTAATTATACAAACTTTCCGGCTACGAATGGGCCTGTTTGTCGTTTTATTAATCTTCGTCGCAAACTTTCACAACACAGGTAAGCTTGAAATAAAATAAAATACACGAAACATAAATACCGTTTTGGACCGTTCATTGCTAGTCTTCCTCAATGCATTTTGTCATTTCCTATGTCAACTTTCTTTCTTGTAGGTTATGACGTCCTATGAATTGTGGAGGTTCTTACTTGTAACAATCCTTTCACTGGTTCTAAACCAAACGTGGATTGCAGTCTATATGATGGTGATTTGTGCGCAGCCGCAGATCGCTCATCGGATTTGTCCAATGGTGTCTGCTATTGGCGGCTTTGCGGGGGGCTTTCTAGTGCCCAGGCCTCAGATGCCTGTCGTGTAAGTGCTTAGTTGACTTCCAGCAACGATCTTCTCCATTGATTGAGTGGTTTTAACTTTTGAGTTTGTAATTGAAATCCTATAGTGTGACAATCTTGGGTGTGACCATTCAAATGAAAGCTACTGAGCAGTACTTTCCTGTGGTACTGTTTATTATGCTGTACGAGGTGGTTCTAACTTTTGAGTCTGTGGATGAAATCCTATGGTGTGACCATTCAAATGAAAGCTACTGAGCAGTACTTTCCTGTGGTACTGTTTATTATGCTGTACAAGGTGGTTCTAACTTTTGAGTCTATGGATGAAATCCTATGGTGTGACCATTCAAATGAAAGCTACTGAGCAGTACTTTCCTGTGGTACTGTTTATTATGCTGTACAAGGTGGTTCTAACTTTTGAGTCTGTGAATGAAATCTTATGGTGTTACTATTCAAACGAAACGTCTTGAACATTGCTTTCACATGGCGCTATTCATTTCGGGGGGATAGAGAGCTAAAGGTTATCTTTGTTACAGTATTACAATGATGTACCCGCTGAAAATAAATTTCTTTTGTTTCCTGTCTGTTGTTTTTCAGGTATAATTTATTGTTCTATATCAACCCACAGTTTTATGGTTATGCAGCGATAACCAAAGTCTTGTTGCAGAATGTTCGTCTGAATTGTGATTACGAATCAACGTTAAACTGCATCAGCACAGATGGCAACGCTATTCTGAGCAGATTTGGATTGGAGTCCGTGAATCCTTATGAATACCTCGTGGTAAGTTTTCTAAAGTAAACGGAACGAGTAGAATAAAGAATAATCCATTCCGGGTTTCCAAGACCCTCACTTTCAAGTGTAAGGGGGTTTCATTTGCATAGAGCGATTTTCGTATGACCGTGAAAAATGGTTTCCGTAAGTGTTTGTTATTTGTTTTATCAGCCAATGGATGAAAGGAACAAAACACGGACTCTTCATTTTCCCGCCAAAGAAAACCCTAATATGGAGAAGGCATTGCTCGATTGACCAATCGTGTTGCAGTATGACGTCAAAGCGATTTCTAGAAAGTTCTTCGGGCATGAAGTTTTTTCAGCCGAGCGTTCTCTTAACCAACCAAAGGTGCGTTTGTATCCGTTCGATAAACCAATCAAATCGCTTTATTTTCGCTCGTTTGTTGTTTTTGTTTTGTTCGCGCGTTTTCATTTCAAGGTCATAAGAAAATTGCTCTAACGACCAAAAAATTGTTTTCATGTGAAAGACATCGCACTTTCCCTCGTTTTCAAAAACAAGCTTGAAAGATAACTCGGTAATGGGCTATTTCTTTATCAATCCCTTGCTTTGTAACAGAGAAGTAGCTCCAGGGCATAATATGGTTTGTGTTTTTTTTTCTTTTCATTTTTGTCTTCCCGTCGTACCTTGCGGGCTACTCCGCTGTTGCTCTGAACACAATAGGCCATATCCGATTTCCCTCGGGCCTCTGTTTCAAAACGAGGGTAAGTGCTCAGCCTTTGATATGGAAATCATTTTTCATTCTCATGCAAATAAAACTCATTTTCGCGAGAAAGGTTGTGCACCTAGCCTCATTTTGAAAGTGAGGGGTTTTGGAACTCGGAAGTGGCCTATCGTTTTGTCAGTAGACATTGGCAATCAGTTTTTATGTTGGCATTTCGTGCTGCTCTCGCGAAAGCTTTTGCACTGAAACATCCATACTCTAATTTCTCTGTTGCATTGATTATCCAGTATCTTTTATCTCAAGAAGTGTTGTTGACGAAGGAAATTCTTTTTAAATTTAGATCATGTTAGGGATGACGGTGTCATCATTGCTTCTCGCTTGGTTGTTTCTAGAAGCAAAATACTTCACTTTACCTTGCTTCAATAAAACGTAAGTTACATCTCATCCCACCGTTAAATCTTGAAGTGGGGTTGCTGTTTTACGTATGTCAATAGTAGCCTTTCCCGCCTCAATTTTGTGTTCAAACTTCGAAACGGATGTCAAAATGCTGAATGAAGTCAACGGTGTTCTAATATTTAAAACATGCCCTTGGCGGCTTAACAGTGCTTTTTCCGTGTTTCATTTTAAGACGACTGTTACTTTGAACCGAAAAAAAAAAAACGTCAAAATGGGCCTCATGGTAACTGATATGGTACAATATTAACCTAGTTGCTTTGGAATTCCAGTCCCGCTGCATTTTTAGGGGAAGCAGAAGAGGGAAAGGTCGAGGTTTTGGTGAAGCAGACAGACGATGTCTCTTCTAAAGACGACCTGGACGAATTTCAATTGGAGACACCAAAAAGCTGTGGCATAGACCCACGTAGTCCCTCCAGAAGATCAGCCAAATCCAGGCTTGGTCTAATTAGCGTTAATAGAGGCTTTCATTCAGTGAAACTGCCTCCTCCAAGACACGGCCCGTCATCACCAGGGATGTTTTTTGATGGCCAAGAGGTAAGTTGTATCTCGCTTGAAGGAAGAAATTCATGGTAAGATGGGTTATCCACGAATAGTGGATAGGGCGTAGACCAAATGGAGTGCAGGGTTCGAACATGGTTGGCTTTATGAATTAGAGAGGAATGCGTGGATTTGTACGTTCTTGTGTCAGCCATATACTCCATGTGTCACAGTATTGTCTCTCATTCATGAGAAAACTAGTCTGGATTTCAGCTGTCTGTTCAAATCCGGCGCAGACACTGGACGGCATTAACGGTTCGTTGATTCATACGCCTCTCTCTCGGGTTTTTGCAACTCGAGGAGACGGCTGAAATTCAGGCTGTGAGAAAACTTAATGATTACGATCTTAAAGATTGTGTCGTACCTCTCAAGTCTGAATAGACCTTTTTACCGATACGGCGGCCATATTGAATTTATTCGATTTAAGGAGTATTATAGGATGCCCAGGGGGCATGAGCACATTTCGTTTGCATTTTCGAGCGCTTTTCGGGGCATTTTTTCTTAAAGTTTTCTTAGAATAAGATTGTAATGGGAAAAAAGATCCTTGTGCCGTGTTTGGTTGTAATAATGATCGCCTTTTTCTAGTTTAGTATTAGAAATATAATCTTTCACTGTATATTTCTCGGAAAAAGGCGATCATTATTACATCCAAACACGGCACAAAGATCTTTTTTTCCCATGACAATCTTATTCTAAGAAAAAAATGTCCCGAAAAGCACTCGAAAATATAAACGAAATGTGCTCATGCCCCCTGGGCATCCTATAATACTCCCTAAATCAAATTAATTCAATATGGCCGCCGTATCGGTAAAAAGGTCTATTACTTAATAAAAATCGATTGAAATTGCTCTGTTGTTATTCCTCACCGAAATTCTTTTATTATCTCAGGTACTGGATGCAGGTGATGGACAAGATGACGTTTTTGCCCGGCGCAGGGACCGAATGACGAGCGTATCGGGAAAGGCGCTTTGGGCGCACACCAGACAACATGTTGAAGAGAGAAGAATTAGCTTTGACAAGCAATTGTCCAAAGTTCAAAGCCTTGCCCGGCAGTACACGATCAAGCATTCGCAATCAGTCAGAAGGCGTGCCAAAGAAAGAGCCGCCGTCCCTCGTAGAACCACCATGGCTTCGTCGGCTGCTCGACAGGAGTTGTCATTGAAGCGCATGGAAAATTTTCAAGATGGACGCTCAAAAGCTGTGATTGACAAAGAACAGGAAAAATCTTCCAGTCCACTGTCAAATCGGTTTAAGAAGTCCGTGGATATTTTTGATGAAGGTATGGCTCCTGGGAGGTCAAGTGATACAAAGCAACAGTTCAGAGATGATGAGAAGGAGAGGAGAAACGAGGTGAATCTGGAAGAGAAGGATAATGGAGCTGCAGAATCTCGACGGATAGAGCGCTCCTCGATACTGAGCATGCGCAAAACAAGTGAAGGGAACCTTGAGATGATATCAGAATCGAATGACAGCTCTGAAGGGGGGGAGGAGGAATCCAAGGAAAGCAAATGCGATCAACCCCAAGCAATGGAACATACCGACAAAGATGCGAGGTCCTCTGAAGTGAAGAAGCCCGCCGAAGGAAGATCTGTAAAGAGAGTCTCTATAGTTGAATTCACGGACACTCTTGATGTGTAACTAATTAAAGCGCGCGCCTTTTTTGCAGAAGGGAACCGTGGAAAGATATTTTACTGAGTCGAGTGGGTTTACAGGTCTCAGGTCGGGGACCTTATCGGCAGTGGATGTTGACATAGAAACGGTGCTTGATAATGTTTTGAAGTCGCGATGTAGTTCTTCGTTAGCCCCAGCACTCCACTTTTGATATACCAGAGAGTCCGTGAATGGGGTTCCCGTGTTCAAAAGAAACAACGAGGACATGATAACATTTTTATCTCCGGTGGGAACTTTTTTTTACTATGAGGGATTTAGAAAATCGAGGACTTTTTATAGAGGAGTGGCAGTACATGGTAACCAGTATATTTAAAGAACTTATTAACCCTTTAAACTCTAATATCAAAGTTCTAATTCTCATTTGTTGTCCCTATACGTTTTCAATAGAAGTGGTGAGGAGAATTTGTTGAAGTATCAATTAGATTCATCGTCCGTGATCATGTTCTCAATTCTCATTACCACTGTTTTAGAAAACATTTATATCACAAGGAGAAATTTCATGCTGATCAAAAGGTTAATGTTAGGAGACTTACGCTGTTGTTCTATGCAACTTGCGCTTGTACACTGTAAAGTGATTATTGTTTTCTTGTTGCTTTCGAGATTATTTACTTTGCCATCAATCCTTTTTAAGCTGTTCTTTTTTCACTCATTTTTCCAGCTGTTCGCAAATTTCAGTAAATTAGAATCAAAATAGCTAGTGATAGAGTGCTCATTTAAAGTGACTCGTCACTGGAACATCCAGAAATTTTGAAATAAATCCTTGTGAATCAAAAGAGATCGTTTTTTCTGTTTCTTGAAAATCATTATACGTTTCTGGAAAACTGCCCACCTACCCCTCCCCTAAGCCAACTTTAACACTTAGTTCTCACTTAGGGCAAAATGTTGGCTTAGGGGAGGGGTAGGTGGGCATTTTCCCAGAAACGTATAATGAATCGAACACATAAAACTCACATATAAAACCTCTAAGGAAGACCAATGTGGGTGTGGCTCAAGCTTAAACTGACACCGAGGGGAGATTTCTGTGTGGTCAGTGTCAGGCATTTTTTGTAAATTTCTTTATGCACAGTATTAAGTGATACCTGAATGAGTAAATATAGTGACTTTCCATCCTAAACACCCTAAGTGAGACCAAAATCTGCAATTTACACCCCAAAGCGAGCATCCCTGTCACTTTTATCCTGATGCGAGTCCCCCTCGGGCTTTTCCGGTACCAGGGAGGTTAGCTGGATGAGTTTGTTAATAGATAACTGTGTTATAAATGCATCCTAGCTCCAATTGCGCTCAAGTGTGCACTGTTTTAGGTGTGTGTTATCAAAGCTATGCAGTACCTCGTAAAGCGGCACTGATTTGACACTGAAATCAAAATTTTCCGCGAACTGCGGGTCTTACCTTCAATGCTTTTCATGATTGAAACATTGAACAAATCGATTCTGTGCCGACTTTTGTCCATCAGATGCAAGCAGGATGCGAGTTGATAACGAGCAAGATACACTTATCAACGGAATGAGACCGTTTTTTCTGAGAATTCGACAGACTTTGTGTCTTAAAAGTCTCCGGAAGAGAATCAAAGCAAAGTCGCTTATTTCTACAGGGTATTTAACGAATACGCTGATTCACTCCACATTCGAGATGTTCACTCCATCCACGCCATCTTGACACAAATGATCAGATTCTGAACACCGCCCATGATGCTTAGTGATCCTAAGTGTGAACATCCAGTGAAACGAAGTCATAGGCGTACGGGAAATTTTTTGCCAGTGGGGGCGGTAAATCATTTGCCCAAAAAAATCTCGCAAGTTGCCCAAATTTTTACGAAAGAGTCAAAAAGAAATGAGGGCCATATTGCAACAACATAGGCCGTCCTGGCATATGAAGGTGGCTCGATACAGTTTTCCAGGGGCAATACCAAGTCTGAGCATAAACTACGTCGCTATAAACAAACATTTGGAAAAATTGCGACCACAGTTGTATTAAGATGAAAATTTGTCATCATCAGGGTTGCAATGACATCGGAGTTGTCATAGCAACGAAATAACTCCATTACCTATGATTCTCGGCACGAGAACCTTACAAAATCGTTCACAGGAGCTTTTTTCTCCAATACGGTCGCCTCGATGTTCGTCAAGTTTGAGCAAAACCTTAAGAGCGTCATCGAGATATTTTGGAATGAAGTTTTTATTATTAGAAATACGGTAAGAAAAGGAAAATCTTGATTTTTGGCCGTTATCTGTAGAAAACGAAGCGCTTTTGACCTGCAATTTCACCTCATAGTAGTCTTAATCGTTTTAAAAACATGTGTGAAAGATCGTGGAGATAGCTCTGCTTGATTGCTAGAATCGAAAGAAGGGTTGATTAGTATGTATCGAGACACTCTTGTTAGCGGTTCACAGTGTAAGCATTTTGGTCTACTTTAACAAATTATCGAATAATTTAAACCGCTCGATAGATTTTTTAAAAGAATTAAGATTCTTCTCGTAATTCAGAATGAGAATTAGTCAGCCACTTCTTCATTTTCAGACCCATTGTAGCCTGCGTAGCAAGCGTTTCCAGTCGAACTCGCGCGGAAACGCTTGCTATGCAGGCTATACCCATTGCTAAGTGCTATCTGCCATACACTGTTCTTCGAATGGAGATGATTCTAGAAAGTTATACGAAAGTTTATTTTAATCAATTCACGACTGGTAATAGCCCATTCCAGCTAGTGCAGTACAGCATAATGCCCAACAAAAAAAAAGCTGCAAATATGTAAATTACTCATCACATGCTAGGCAACCACTGTAATGTAACTGGATTATTAAGCCGACTTCAGGTTAATATTCAGGTCTTTAAAATAATTAAATAAACATGGAGACGTCTTTAAGAACTGGCTTTGCCCAAATTTTCTCTCGCTGCCCAAAAAATCTGAGTTGCCCAAAATTTGGGGGGGCTGCAGCCCCCCTCGCCCCCCCGGCCCGTACGCCTATGAACGAAGTGGAGGCTCGGTTGGACTGTTTCTTTATATAAACGTGTCAAACCAAGGGTCAGTTTAATGTAGCTATTGTTTTGGAGTCTGAAAACAATAGCTACACTTGTAAGTTACACTTGTAAAAGTTTTAATGAATTGACCTCAAGTGTCGAGTTGGTGCAGGAATTGAGAGACGACTTGGAAAAAAAGATTCCGAGTTCTTCCAGCACCAGTCAGTGCATCCTTTTACCCTCTTGTAACTTGTCAAGTAACCTGAGATCAGGCTCTATTTTCGTTTCGCTTTCTAAATAACATTCCGGCGGGCATGAGAATGTATGAGAACCGCTCAAATTGGGCCTGATCTCAGGTTACTTGTCAAGTTGCTCTACCTCTAAGCTAGTGGGGACTTGTACTGAAAAGTTAAGACAATCAAAAGGTCCGTAATTAAAGATTCCAAAATCGTATTTCCCAGGTAATTGGCTCCTGCTCCCTGGAGTTCATTATGTTTGTCGTTTTTACAGCCTCAATGGTTCTAAGGAACAATGTCGAGTAGTTAACGCTTGGAAATTTGAAGCTCCGCTCCGTATGCCCGCTTCTGTAATGTGTTGGCAGGTAGAAAAGTTCCTATAGGGAAAACTCTACTAACAGGGAATACTTGTGCTCATCTGCTGTATGATCTATATTTAATTTTAATGACAAAATATCTATTTGCATTGTGCTTTTTGTGGCCATCTCTTGCAATGGTCGAAATCCCGGTCAAAATTTATCTTAATATAAACGAGTTTGTGAAAACGCGATAGCGCCGGCGAACACATGAAACACAGATGAAACCCCCGGTCTTGCGTTCCTGAATGTCACGCTTGCAATCGAGGCAGTTTTGTTTATTACGTATACGCTGTATACTATTTCCTACTTAATCAATACGACATTGCCGTCCTGTTTCCAGCTGCTGTTTGGTTGCGTTTCTATATTGAAAACCAAACGCAACCAAACACGGAAAACATCACCCGGTTCCTTAAAATATTCGACTTTGGCAACCATCAATTAACATTCAACTGGCTTAACTCAAGCCTGCCGCGGTACTCGCAGCAGCAGCAAATCCCGCTCCGCCTTTTCGTATCGCGTTAATGGGTTTTACTGAATGATGGGCTGTTCGTCGTCCATGCATTCTACAGCTAACTCACTCAGGGCTGATTTTCAAACCAGTATTTCCGACAAACAGAAATTAATAATTAAAAGTACATGGAATACAGTGGAAGAGAATCGAACAAAAGTTGGAAAACAAACTTTCTTAAGGTAAGGATACTTTAAACATTAAATAAACGGGTTCAAAAACACTGTTGTGGATTACCTTGAATTAAAGGACGCAGTTTTTGTCTAACCTATGAGAAATTGGTTAAACATCTGACTTGTTTGCCAAGCTAACTCACGGTGATGCCGTAATACTTTATATCACATTTTTTTATTCGTGGCTCCAAATAAAGTAGGTTCTTATATCATTACATTTTTCCCACAATTTGATATGAATTTTGTAGGTATGGTTCTTGTGCATGATTTAGAAAAACAGGCCCTTTTATTCATTTTCAATGACCTTAGAATAAACTGTATGATTAGTTTAATCTACATACATATTGCAATTTAGGTTTCATTTCCCAAAAATAAAACAATTTCACCGGTATTTTGTTCTTGGATCACTGGCTTCGTGTATTTAAAAAGGCAAATTTTATGTAATATCCCTTTTAATTTGACTGCTTAAAATAGTGTTACGCGAGCCATGAATTAAAAAATTCACTAACTTTTTTTGGTCTGAGACGGGAGCCTATATCGAGGAAGTATCTTGGTAATTCAAAGCAATGTCATTCTTAAATATCTTTTGTTACTTGACCGAGAGGCGATTCATTCTGTCTTAAAAGTAAACATTGTAAGCAAACTGCCAATACGAATTGCAAAACATTCTCTTTTAGATCTACACAACATCCTCTCTCGTATAAATGGATTCATGAAATGCATTTTTAGAGCAGGTGTTTGTCGAGGAAAATAAATAACTCAAGCAATCAATATTTTTTAGCTTTGAAAAGTATTTTGTTTTCCTGTTGAAAGCTTGGTACAAGCGTGTAGGGAGAAACGACACAACTTGAACTCAACATGTTTTAGTTGCGAATGATTCTTGTTTAAAGTAGCATACTTTATTCCTCATCGTGCATCGCGCTGTCTCCGTGTGACTCATTTGCGATCGATAATATTGATACAAAAGGTTTCGACAGACGCAATTACCCCTTTGAATTTTAACTAGACTTACATGTTTTGTAAAAATTACCTAGCTGACTAAGCCTGCGAGAGCTCTAGTTTCAGCGGTTCGCAGGCTACTAGCTGAATTTCAACCCATGCAGTTAAAATATATTTTTAGCACAGAACAAAGGAGAGTATTTGGTTTTCCAATCTCTTTTGGCGCTTCGTTGCTGTTGAAAGTGCTTTTATTTTTATTTGCACCCTACCGGTTTTCAATTAAGCAAGACTAAAGTTAGTGTTATTACTCTAAAAAATTAGGAAAGACAGAGGAATATAATGAACCAATCAAAAATCACAGTCAATACTTGCAGCGGTCGTCAACGGCGTAAAAGCGCATGTGAAAAATCGCAACTGGTTCTTACTTTTTTCTGATTGGTTAGAAATGTGACGTGAGATTTGTGAGCTATGTCAGTAGTCAAAATGTGTTGCGATGCCAAACCGGTGTAACAGCGCGCAATTACTGTCGAAACTGGACAAAAAAGAGCTGTACTCGACAATGCAACAAAGATAACATGCTCCTCTATTATTTGTGCAGAGTTTTTGAAGTGATGCCCGAGTTAAAGACCAAATTTCCAGGCAAAGTTGACATAGAACAGCTCAAATCCACGCGTACATTGTACGGTCACAACAAAATATTAATGAAGAGCATCGAAAATGCAGTGACTTCTTTGGACGACAACGAAAGTTTCGTCACGTACCTTGTGGAACTAGGCCGGCGACATCAGGTCAGGCCGCTCAAAGCACAATACTTGGAGGTGAGTTTCCCATGTTTAACTGAAAATCAAGTTATTAAATTTTTTGAAGATAATAAAAGAATAAACCGTAACATTTCCTTGTGAAGTGTGAAGTATTGTTCTCTTTAAATTTTAAGGTAAGCAAAGGACAGAAAAAATTCGTTTATCGTGTCTTGTTTGGATATCTTACACGAAAAAAACTGCAAATTCTTTTCATTGTTAATTTCTCCTTCAAAAGCATTTTCCTTGCGAAGTCAAAAATAAAGGTCACACCATTTAAATATCAGAGACCTCGTAGTTCTACTCTGAGTGTTTGATATGAGATGAAACACTGTTTCGTGTTGATGTACACTCATTGCTCTCAAAGACGGACAACACTCAATAACTTTATATATGTATACGAAATACTATTAAGTTAGGATCATGATATTAGGGGCAATTTAGTTATCTAAAAATACGAGAAATAGCGTACAAATTATGCAAGAAGATAGTTTTACTTTATAGATATATACATAAATATTTGAGTCGTGATTAAATACGTTTTCTTTGTTCTACAATTGTATTGTTCATGTGACACTTATCTTAAAACGTTTCTTCAATCACTCTGAATTAAAAACTTTTAATTTTCTGCAGTACCATGCTGTTGTAAAATCATGAATGTCTTTCTCTATTAATAATTCATTCTCTGTAAGTTAAGGTAGCATGGCACTTCGTATATAATTATATACAGTTTTTATTTTTGTATCTATGTATTTATCTTACAAATTTATTTCTTATATGACTGTTAATCACTTTCCAGGTTATATATGAAGCACTGATGTTTTCATTTGAAGACCTTTTCCAGGAGCAGTGGATTAAAGAGACTTCTGATGCTTGGGGAGCCTTGTTTCGATTTATGTTTGAAGCAATCAAAACAGGCCTTCACGATACTTAATTGCTGGTTTGCACGTGACGTCACAGTGGCCATGTTGGTGGTTAAGAACAAAAGCATTTCCTCCTCTGGGAACTAAACTCTATTTTCATGTAAATTCCTCGCGAAAAAAAACTCTATTATTTCGACCTCCAACATGGCCTCCTTGTCACGTGGTTACAAACTAAGAATTATTATTCCGGCGGGATAATGAGAGTAAACCCGGGACAATTTCGTTAACCCTTTTTAAAAGTTCCAAGGGTGGCAAACATCAATTTTCTCCAAACATATCCATACACAATCAAGAGAAAATGTTATGAGAATTAGTAAATTGATCACCTAAGGGAGAATGCATTTATTTTCTCAACGTATTCTTTATGGAAATGTATAGAGACCAGAATTTTTATGTGGATATCAAAAATGAACTTTATCTACATGAAATGAATTGAGTTATTTTCCACCTGTCTCGCCTCATTGGAAACAGTTACGATAATTTTCAGAAGGCAGAAAAACCACGAACTTTTTTTCGGGACAAGTCGTTATGTGGATATTTTGGAGGAGCCGATTGTTAATCTTGCTTTTCTTTAAAAGTTCGGTTTAGATATGTAACAACACCATACGTTACTCACTTTTCGCCTTACCCTTCATGTTTTTGTTCAATACAAACTCATTTCAATTTCCATCCTCACCTAAGGGAGAATGCATTGTATTTTCTCAACGTATTTAACAATTTTTATTGAATGAGGCTGAGGATCATCTGAAGAATTCTCTTCTGGAACAATTATTGAATGAGGCTGAGGATCATCTGAAGAATTCTGGAGGTGGCTCGAGGAGGATGTTATCTGACGAGGTCGTAGGCCATATTTCAGGTGGCTGAACAGTTTTGGCAGGTTGCAGCTCACAAGCTGAAACTTGACAAGTGAAACATATACTGATGAAAGATTTTGATTGACGGGTAAAATTTGATGTTTTCGTGGTTTCCATGGCAACATGAACGATTGAATAACAACCTTAAAAATTTCACTTTTGCTCAGTTTACATAAAATTCGCTCATTAGATTTTCCTATAAACTTACATACAGCTTACTATAATTAATCATTACCATTTCAAACTTATTCGACCAAATTTTAACCGACAGGTTTTAGATAATCAATAATATAATTGTACTGTATTATTAAATGTGTCACAAAATTGGTCTGTTCAACTTATATTTTAAAGTTCTCATTAATATTTAAAATGCGATAAAAGTAAAAATTCTGCCAAATATCACAAAATTTTAATGAGCAGATTTGAGAATTCGTCTTCTGTGTACCATTGCTTTTTCGCCGCCATGTTTGTTTGTCTAATTTAACAAACGCGCCGGCCCGCGAGTTATCGCTGACCGCCCTCAAAACTGTGTTCAGCCAAATGACAAAGTGATAAAAAAATAACATGCTGGAATACTATTAACAGCTCAGTAAACGGAAGAGTTTTTGTCATTTGTTGTTGTTGTCTCGTACTGTATCCACGGATCTGGTGTAAATCAAATACAACTGAGGTGTGGTCGGCGAAGAAATTGACAGTGGTCCATGGCGAAATCCTTAAAGACTGCCTCATTCAAACTGGAAGCTTTTGGAGAAGATGTAAAGACGGACACTCCCTTTCAGCCACTGACGTATGACGTGAACTAGTCTTGTGCCTCCAGCAGTCTTTTTATGGAGATATAATCAGTAAAATGCGGTAGTCGAACGTATCGACCCCTGCACTTATGGACCGGTCATTATTTATCGCCTGGGGGGCGGAGGATTTTAGGGGGGATCAGTTGATTTTTAGGAGAACAAAAGAGGATTTTAGAAGGGGGGGATCGGTTGATTTTTAGCACCAACTTCCTCCCCAACGGAGAAAAAATGACCGGTCCCTTAGATCTGAATATATAAGCCGGAAGCCTTGTTTGGAGTTCATGCTCGTGACTGCAGGCCTCGTAATCCCAATAAACATGAAGAGTTCCAGGCCTTGTTTCCTCGAAGCTGGATTTGAAGAGTTCTTGAAGAGTAAACATCAAAGCGGTCTTTACTGACTGGAAACGAAAACACAGGTATACTTTAATTTGTGTTTCGAAATGGTGCGTGGTTTACCCATCAAGCATACATCAAAACTTTGAGGGACACCTCGGTTTGCAAATCAAACGTTTCAGTCTGGTTAGTTTTGATGGGTGGGTAATTATAAACCATGTTAACTATTAAACCTAGAAAGAGTTTTCATAGTTTAACCCTCGGACGTACACGCAAAGTCTTCCCCTCCCCCACCCCCGTGGTACAAGGAAGGGGTTAATGGAATCCCTCCCTCGAGTTTTTTTACATGTTACATTATTTCGAAAAGATTTTTACTCTCACTTAACATGCTGAGAAATTCACCGACAGATATAGGATCGGCCTTGCTGACAGTCGATTTGCCCACGCGTCCAACATTAATTTAAAGTTCCTGATGAATTTGTAGTAGGCGAACCTGGATACATGCAAAACAACCAGCTAACTTCACTTAGACTCACTTACATCTAGGTGTAGTGGTTTCATAGGTCGATCTTTATGTCTCCGGCCAAGTCCATCCAAATACGCTGCAAAAATCTCTGCGTCATCCATCGCCGACACTGCATTTTCCAAAGCTTTCATAACGCGCTTTGCATGCCCATGTAATTCTTTGGTTTTCTCTATGTCCGATAGCGAGAGTTCTTTAAATTCTGGAAACAGGCACTTGTATTCGGGATTGTTTTCAAAGAATCTGCGAATATAAAAGGGTATCAAATATATTCATCAAACCCATGGACAAGGTTCTTCTCTCTTCGAAAAAGGCCGGGAATGCTTTTCCGATTTTTTCTTGAGGAAACTGGGCAGCTGTACACTCGGGAGCACCAAGTGACTGTTTTTAGCGCCACTTGAATACATTTCTAGAGATCTACTCTGGATAGCCTAAAACTTGTTTTCAATGCATTTAGGAGGAAACCGTCGTTGGGTGCCCCTATACACTGGTGAGTTCTCGAAAGTGCTCGTTTTTATCAGCATTTTCCGGTGCGGTTTAACCGTGGATGACAGGCGAAAACGCTTGTAGATGGTATGCATACAAGTCGTTTGTGGTGTTTTAAGAGCAAAGAAATGAGACTTTCCGTGTGCCCTTAAGTAACGCTTGTTATCTGGTACAAATACACTTACTTCAAAAACATCCTCTTCCCTACATAACTCCTACGTTGTTCCACAAACTCCCATGTTTCTCGAACGAGGTACTTTTGAGCTGCGGAGAGTTGAATTGAAGCTGTGTATTTCTCTTGAAACTCTGCTGACAAGGACGATCCGCAACCCATGTTCAGTGTAGCTTTCTATCTGTCACTGTCTTTGTTCACGAAGGAACTTCTCAGACTTCACACTTCACTGATGCCTAGGAAAACTTCTAATTATAAGCGAGAAGAGCTAGCAACGCTTTTTAATGCTATGTGTTTTCAATAAATAATCACGTGCGTATAAATGATTTCAGTACATGTTAAAAATTGCAATATGCACAAACATCATATCAAAAATGAACTTTATCTACATGAAATGAATTGAGTTATTTTTCCACCTGTCTCGACTCATTGTGCGATTTGCATTTTGGGACGGTTACGACAATTTTCAAAACGAAGGCAAAACAAACCCCGAACTCGATTTTTTCGGGGCAAGTCGTTATAAGTATTTCCAGTGCCTATGCTAATTTTGGGAGCCGAGCCGATTGTTAATCTTGCTTTTCTTTAAAAGTTCGGTTTAGATATGTAACAACACCATACGTTACTCCGAAGTCAAATTTTTCCCCTCACCCTTCATTAGTTTTTGTTCAATACAAACTCATTTCAATTTCCTTCAAATACATCTGTATCGTTTTTACTTATTTCGCCGCTTTCAATTCAGGAAACAGGTTTGCGGCAAACAATTGGATTTCCTAGACTTCAAACAACCTGTCATAAGTTTCGTGATTAATATCATAGGTGACGAATTACTCCTTAATTTTGGCACGAAATTTCATCGTTAATTTGTAATTTCACAAGTGAAATTAAAAAGTTGCAATGGCAACCTTCCGTACGTCTCAGTGTCAAGATGGCGACGAAGTTTTAAAATGCCGTGAATGAAGATGTCAGGGCACAAAAAGACGCTTTAGAAAACCTGAACACACAAGAGAACATCAAGAAGGACTCTAACAGGTATTTTGCCAAAAAAGTCTGAAAAATTCTGAACTTTACAAGCCAAATTTAAGGCTTAAACATTTGAGAGAGTGGAGTTCTCGATCGACATGATCCAGGATAAATATGTCAAAAATCCAAGATTGCTAACGGAATTCGTCCCCTTTGATATTAATAGGTAATCAAATGGTATACTCGTGAAATTAGGGAATAATTTCACGCGCGTTTTGTCCAAATCCTAATAATTTCCCGAGCTTTTCTCGTCACCATTTGATTACACATACTAATTTGCCTGTATTATATTAAGCAGGAAGTTATAGCAGACCATGGTACTTGTCATAATGCACGTACGAGCTCCTCTATGACACATTTTATATTTATGGTCGCCGGCGGTGATTTTTTTTTCAGTGTTGTATTTTAATGGAAAGTCTCTTTTTCATCACAGTAAGCTTCTCTAAGCCTAAGAAAACTACAGATAGATCATTTTTCATTAGTGTTTATTATTATTCATTTAAAATATTTCTCCGTTTCTCATTGGCTGATCAGGACAATTGCACGATGATGTCATGTTACTGCAATTACAAGAGTCCTCTTGTGTGTTGTTTTTCTTTTGCAGTTTAGGGCTATTGTTGTTTAAACCCCAGCGGGATTGACAAATGTCAAAAAGAAAGCAAAAACGAAATGAATTCTGGTAGTTATAATCAAAGCATATCTGCGAGAATGATGATGCTGAACCTCAGATAGCTCCATATGTGTACATATTATCAAGTAGCGGTCCCTGGCAGGATCCTTAAGGAACGCCTCATTCTAAGTGGAAGCGTTTGGATAAGGTGCCAAATACCCAGTCACCTTCTGCCACTAAGTTTTGACCTGAGTTAGTGTTACGCCGTTGCAGAAATACCAGTCTTTCTATGGAATATTCTCAGCGAAACGCGTTGGTGGATGGCATCAGTGGCTGCACATTGCTTGTTTATGCTCATGCTATGACTGCAGGCCACGTATCATTTGATCTTTTACAAACATAAAGAGCTTGTTCCAGGCCTCTGCTTTTTCCTCGGTCCAGCTGGATTTGAGGAGGTCTTGAAGAGTGGACATCAAAGCGGTCTGCATTGACTGGAAGCGAAAACACGGGTAAGTTTTTGAATTTTAAAGTATACAATGTTTAGATATCACAGTTGGAAAAATTAAAACTGAAGGGCTCCCAGAACGTGGTAGTCTTAACTCTGTTTTAATCTGATTAACGCTCCTAAGAGTTTTGGCTTGGTTAAAACAATTGGGTAATCTAACCCCGAATCTAACTTCATTTTCTGACTAAACAGGCCAACAATCAAGTTAATCTTTTGTTACTTGACCGAGAGGCGATTCATTCTGTCTTAAAAAGTAAACAAATTGTAAGCAAACTGCCAATACGAATTGCAAAACATTCTCTTTTAGATCTACACAACATCCTCTCTCGTATAAATGAATTCATGAAATGCATTTTTAGGGCAGGTGTTTGTCGAGGAAAATAAATAACTCAAGCAATCAATATTTTTTAGCATTGAAAAGTATTTTGTTTTCCTGTTGAAAGCTTGGTACAAGCGTCTAGGGAGAAAAGACACAACTTGAACTCAACATGTTTTACTTGCGAATGGTTCTTGTTTTACATGTACTAATTAAAGTAGCATCTTATTCCTCATCGTGCATCGCGCTGTCTCCGTGTGACTCATATGCGGTCAATAATATTGCTACAAACGGTTTCGACAGACGAAATTACCCCTTTGAATTTTAACTAGGCTTACATGTTTTGTAAAACTAGCCTGCGAGAGCATCCGGTTTTTTCGGCTCTAGTTTCAGCGGTTCGCAGGCTACTAGCTGACTCACCCACCACCCATACAGTTAAAATATATTTTTAGCACAGAACAGTGGAAAGCATTTGGTTTTCCACTTCTCTTTTCAGTGACGATTCGTTGCTATTGAAAGTGCTTTAATTTTTATTTGCGCCCTACCGGTTTTCAATTAAGCAAGACTAAAGTTAGTGTTATTACTCTAAAAAATTAGGAAAGACAGAGGAATATAATGAACCAATCAAAAATCACAGTCAATAATTGCAGCGGTCGTCAACGGCGTAAAAGCGCATGAGAAAAATCGCAACTGGTTCTTACTTTTTTCTGATTGGTTAGAAATGTGACGTGAGATTTGTGATCTATGTAGTCAAAATGTGTTTCGATGCAAAACCGGTGTAACAGCGCGCAATTATATTACTTTCGAAACTGAACTAAAAAGAGCTGTACTCGACAATGCAACAAAAATAACATGCTCCTCTATCATCTGTGCAGAGTTTTTGAAGTGATGCCCGAGTTAAAGACCAAATTTCCAGGCAAAGTTGACATAGAACAGCTTAAATCCACGCGTACATTGTACGGTCACAACAAAATATTAATGAAGAGCACAGAAAATGCAGTGGCTTCTTTGGACGACAACGAAAGTTTCGTCACGTACCTTGTGGAACTAGGCCGGCGACATCAGGTCAGGCCGCTCAAAGCACAATACTTGGAGGTGAGTTTTCCATGTTTAGCCGAAAATTAAGTTATTAAATTTTTTGAAGATAATAAAAGAATAAACAAGTATTATTTAACTCAAATTTTAAGGTAAGCAAAGGACAGACAAAAGAAATCATTTATCGTGTCTTGTTTGGATATCTTACCCGAAAAAACTGCAAATTGTTAATTTCTCCTTCAAAAGCATTTTCCTTGCAAAGTCAAAATAAAGGTCACATCATTTAAATATCAGTGTGTTTAATGTGAGATGAAACACTCTGCCTCGTGTTGATATACACTCAGTGCTCTCAAAGACGGACAACACTGAGTAACTTTATTTATGTATACGAAATACTAAAAGTTAGAATCATGATATTAGGGGCAGTTTAGTTATTAAAAAATACGAGAAATAGCGTACAAATTATGCAAGAAGATAGTTTTACTTAATAGATGATATATATATAAATATTTAATATATTAATATATATAATAGTTTTCTTTATTCCACAATTGTATTGTTCATGTGACATTTATCTTAAAACGTTTCTACAATCACTCTGATAAAAACTTTTACTTTTCTACAGTTCCATGCTGTTGTAAAATCATGAATGTCGTTCTCTATTAATAATTTATGCCCTGTAGGCTGAACAGTTTTGGCAGGTTGCAGCTCACAAGCTGAAACTTGGCAAGTGAAAAACAAGTATACTGATGAAAGATTTTAATTGACAGGTACAATTTGACTTTTACATGGTTTCCATGGCAACATGAACGATTGAATACAACCTTAAAAATTTCACTTTTGCTCAGTGTACATAAAATTCGCTCATTAGATTTTCCTATAAACTTACATAAAGATTACTATAATTAATCATTACCATTTCAAACTTATTCGACCAAATTTTAACCGACAGGTTTTTAGATAATCAATAATAAAATTGTACTGTATTATTAAATGTGTCACAAAATTGGTCTGTTCAACTTATATTTTAAAGTTCTCATTAATATTTAAAATGCGATAAAAGTGAAAATTCTGCCAAATATCACAAAATTTTAATGAGTAGATTTGAGAATTCGTCTTCTGTGTACCATTGCTTTTTCGCCGCCATGTTTGTTTGTCTAATTTAACAAACGCGCCGGCCCGCGAGTTATCGCTGACCGCCCGCAAAACTGTGTTCAGCCAAATGGCAAAGTGATAAAAAAAATAACATGCTGGAATACTATCAACAGCTCAGTAAACTGAAGAGTTTTTGTCATTTGTTGTTGTTGTCTCGTACTGTATCCACGGTTCTGGTTTAAATCAAATAAAACTGAGGTGTGGTCGGCGAAGCAATTGACAGTGGTCCATGGCGAAATCCTTAAAGAATGCCTCATTCAAACTGGAAGCTTTTGGAGAAGATGCAGAGACAGACACTCACTTTCAACCACTGACGTATGACGTGAACTAGTCTTGTGCCTCCAGCAGTCTTTTTATGGAGATATAATCAGTAAAATGCGGTAGTCGAACGTATCGACCGCTGCGCTTAGGGACCGGTCATTATTTATCGCCTTGGGGGCGGAGGATTTTTAGGAGGGATCAGTCGTAACTGAGGACCCAAAAGGGGGGGATCGCTGAAAACTTTGGAAGGATTCAGAGAAGGGGAACACGTAAATTTGCTTGGTAAATGAAGACATGGGGGCGGGGGTGATCGCGAGAGTCATCAAAAGTTATTAGGTGGGATCACTTCAATGAAGTGACATTCAAAGGGAGGATTGGCTAAATTTTACCTTGTTTAGCCCCTCCTCTCTCCCCCCACCCAACCAGGCGATAAATAATGTCCGGTCCCTTAGATCTGAAAATATATGCCGGAAGTGTTGTTTGGAGTTCATGCGGAGTTTATGCTTGTTTGGAGTTTATGCTCGGAAGTCGTGTTTGGAGTTCATGCTCGTGACTGCAAGCCACGTACCATTTGATCCTTGATAAACATGAAGAGCTTGTTCCAGGCCTCTGCTGTTTCCTCGGTCCAGCTGGATTTGAAGAGTTCTTGAAGAGTAAACATCAAAGCGGTCTTTACTGACTGGAAACGAAAACACAGGTATACTTTTATTTGTGTTTCGAAATGGTGCGTGGTTTACCCATCAAACCTACGTCAAACGTTTGGGGGACACCTCGGTTTGCAAATCAAACGTTTCAGTCTGGTTAGTTTTGATGGGTGGGTAATTATAAACCATGTTAACTATTAAACCTAGAAAGAGTTTTCACAGCATCGGACGCACACGCAAACTCCTCTCCTCCCCCACCCGCGTGGTACAAGGAAGGGGTTAATGGCATGCCTCCCTCGAGTTTTTTACGTGTTGTGTTTTTTCGAAAAGATTTTACTCTCAAGTAACATGCTGAGAAATTCACCGACAGATATAGCATCGGCCTTGCTGACAGTCGATTTGCCCACGCGTCCAACATTAATTTAAAGTTCCTGATGAATTTGTAGTAGGCGAACCTGGATACATGCGAAACAACCAGCTAACTTCACTTAGACTCACTTACATCTAGGTGTAGTGGTTTCATTGGTCGATCTTTATGTCTCCGGCCAAGTTCATTCAAATACGCGGCAAAAATCTCGGCGTCATCCATCGCCGACACTGCATTTTCCAAAGCTTTCATTACGCGCTTTGCATGCCCATGTAATTCTTTGGTTTTCTCTATGTCAGATAGCGAGAGTTCTTTAAATTCTGGAAACAGGCGCTTGTATTCGGGATTGTTTTCAAAGAATCTGCGAATATAAAAGGGTATCAAATATATTCATCAAACCCATGGACAAGGTTCTTTTCTCTTCGAAAAAGGGGATACTTTTCCGATTTTTTCTTGAGGAAAATGAGCAGCTTTACACTCAGGAGCACCAAGTGACTGTTTTTAGCGCCACTTGAATACATTTCTAGAGATCTACTCTGGATAGCCTAAAACGTGTTTTCAATACATTTAGGAGGAAACCGTCGTTGGGTGCCCCTATACACTGGTGAGTTCTCGAAAGTCCTCATTTTTATCAGCATTTTCCGGTGCGGTTTAACCGTGGATGACAGGCGAAAACGGTTGTAGATGGTATGCATACAAGTCGTATGTGGTGTTTTGAGAGCAAAGAAATGAGACTTTCCGTGTGCCCTTAAGTAACTCTTGTTATCTGGTACAAATACACTTACTTCAAAAACATCCTCTTCCCTACATAACTCCTACGTTGTTCCACAAACTCCCATGTTTCTCGCACGATTTTTTTTTGAGCTGCGGAGAGTTGAATTGAAGCTGTGTATTTCTCTTGAAACTCTGCTGACAAGGACGATCCGCAACCCATGTTCAGTCTAGCTTTCTATCTGTCACTGTCTTTGTTCACGAAGGAACTTCTCAGACTTCACACTTCACTGATGCCTAGGAAAACGTCTAATTATAAGCGAGAAGAGCTAGCAACGCTTTTTAATGCTACGTGCTTTCAATAAATAATCACGCACGTATAAATGATTTCAGTACATGTTAAAGATTGCAACATGCACAAACATTACATCAAAAATGAAGAACTTTATCTACACGAAATGAATTCCACCTGTCTCGCCTCATTGCGTGATTTGCATTTTGGAACAGTTACGATTTTTTTGGGACAAGTCGTCACAAGCATTTCCAGTGAAAGCTAATTTTGGGAACCGAGCCGATTGCTAATCTTGCTTTTCTTTAAAAGTTCGGTTTAGACGTGTAACAACACCATACGTTACTCCGAACCTTACCCTTCAGTAGTTTTTGTTCAATACAAACAGGTTTGCAAACAATTGGTTTTCCTAGACTTCAAACAACCTGTCATAAGTTTCGTGATCAAGTTGCCTGTATATATTGAGCGGGAAGTTATAGCAGACCATCGTACCTGTCATGATACACGTACGAACCCTCTGTGACGCATTTTATATTTATTGTCGCCGATTTTTTTTTTCAATGTTAATGTTGTATTTTAATGGAAAGTCTCTTTTTCACCACAGTAAGTTTCTCTAAGCCTAAGAAAACTACAGATAGATCATTTTTCATTAGTGGTTATTATTATTATTCATTTAAAATATTTCTTTGTTAGGACAATTGCAATTACAAGAGTCCTCTTGTGTGTTGTTTTTCTTTTACAATTTAGGGCTATTGTTGTTTAAACCCAAACGGGATTGACAAATGTCAAAAAGAAAGCAAAAACGAAATGAATTCTGGTAGTTATAATCAAAGCATATCTGCAAGAATGATGATGCTGAACCTCAGATAGCTCCATATGTGTACATATTATCAAGTAGCGGTCCCATGCAGGATCCTTGAGGAACGCCTCATTCTAAGTGGAAGCGTTTGGTTAAGATGCCAAATACCCAGTCACCTTCTGCCACTAAGTGTTGACGTGAGTTAGTGTTACGCCGTTGCAGAAATACCAATCTTTCTATGGAATATTCTCCGCGAAACGCGATGGTGGATGGCATCAGTGGCTGATTAGGTCCCAAAATAATGGCCAGACTGTACACTGCTTGTTTATACTCATGCTATGACTGCAGGCCACGTATCATTTGATCTTTTACAAACATAAAGAGCTTGTTCCAGGCCTCTGCTGTTTCCTCGGTCCAGCTGGATTTGAGGAGTTCTTGAAGAGTGGACATCAAAGCGGTCTGCATTGACTGGAAGCGAAAACACGGGTAAGTTTTTGAATTTTAAAGTATACAATGTTTAGATATCACAAAAAAAAATCTGTTGGAAAAATTGAAACTGAAGGGCTCCTTCCCAAGAGTTTTGGCTTGGTTAAAACCCTTATGGAATCTAAGCCCGAATCTAACTTCATTTTCCGAGTAAACAGGCCAATAATCAAGTCCATCGCCATTTTACTAATGAAACGTCAAGCCCGAAACGTTTGCAAATTTAATTGTAAATCAGACCCTTTTCATAACTTCATTTATTTTCGGTGTTTACTATATGCCACGCAGATGTAGAAAGTTACGATTCTTAACTAGGTATGTGAAAGAGGTACCATTTCTCAGTAGAAGTATGCGAAAGGGGTATCGCTATACCTCTGGGCGGAACTTCCCTGTACAAAACTTCTTTGAGTACCCCCGTGCATTTCTGGGGATGAAACCGTCTGATACGTGCAAAGAACCAGCTAAGTTCTATAAAACCCACTTACATCCAGGTATGCTGGTTTCCAGGGTCAAGCTTTGTGCCTCCTGCAAGTTCATGTAAATGCGCGGCAAAACTCTCAGTATCGTCCATGTATTCTTCAAATAGCATTTTTTTAGTTTGTGTCCGTCGAGTTTTATTTTTGCTGTTCTTGCTATGTGCTCAGACAGTGGTTTGGCCATTTCTCTGAAAAACGTGTGAATTTTTTCACCTTTTCCCACCAAAACATGCTTTCTCGGTCGGCGTCCCTTTTTATGGCGAAATCCTGTTTTATTGTCGCCATTTTACTGAAATTAGCCTGAAGATTTGAGCCCATCAGAAAAGTAGACATATGTTGAATGAATAATAATTAATGATATTTTGCAAAAAAACAAATGGAGAAGATTATAAGACCCACTTACATCCAGGTATGTTGGTTTTAAGGCGCGAGCTTTGTGCCTCCTGCCAAGTTCATCCAAATACGCGGCAAAACTCTCGGCATCGTCCAACGCCGACACTGCGTTTTCGACAGCTTTCATGACCCGCTTTGCATGCCCATATAGGGCGTTCGTCTTTTCCAGCTCTGATGGCGGAACGTCTTTGAATTCTGGAAACAGGCGCTGGTATTCAGGATTTTTTTCAAAGAATCTAAGAACAAAAAAGTATCTGATGTCCTTATCTAATCGAGGGATAGTGTCCCTTTTGTTCTCTGATGTAATATGTCGAGGATGAGACGCAGTGTTTCATCAAGAAGATGAACAAGAACACCGAGAAGAGAGTTGGGGTGTTTAGCCCTTTAAGCCCTAATATCCACATATAAATTCTCCATACTGATCTTCATACATTTCTTTAAAGAATTAGTTGAGAGAATTTGATAAAAGATCAAGGCGTTTTCCCTTAAGTGATCATTTTATTAACTCTCATAACCATTTCTATTGGTAACATGGATATTGTTAAGAGAAAATTGATGTTGGTCAGTATACGGGACTAAAGGGTTAGTCTAGCAGATATTCTTGAAATAGCATTCGCATCCATCGAGGTGTATTTTTGCTGTTGTCGCTGTGTGTTCAGGCAGTAGTTTCAGGGGCGTAGCTAGGGGGGTCCTGGGGTGCCTGTGACCCCCCGTGGCCGTAAAAGCCAGGTTTGTAAAGTATTTTCGTCAACGGCTCTTGTCTTTAGTTAATATAGGCCTTCATGCCGCGATAATACGACTGAGCCCGCTGATACACGGGGGAGAGCAGCGGTATGAACCATATATAGTCGGCGATCCGGGATGGTGACCCCCCCTTTGAAAAATCCTGGCTACGCCCCTGAGTTTAGCCAGTCTTTCTCTGCATAAAGTATAAAATTTTTCGCCTTTTTTCCCACCAAAACAGGGCTTCTCGGACAAAGTCCCTTTTCTGGCGATACCCTATATTCGTATTTACCAAATTTGTGAATAGCAATTTTCGCTTGTATTGATTGGCTCCCTTAACTCGGAATGTCCTTGGCTATTCACTGTTTTGCGACCGGAGCCAAGATGGCGTCTCGTTTCGAGACATTTTCGGAAGACGATATTTGTGCGATAACAGTCCGACAAACAAATACAAAGAAAGTGACGAACTTTGGCTTGTCATTGTGTACTGGTAGGTAGAAAATTATTTTCATGCTGAATTTGCGACAAAATCCTAAAAATGCACTTGACAAAATCCCCGAAATGTCTGTAAATTGTAAACAAAGTTCCTTCTAAGAGACGTTTTTAATTTACAACAAATTATTCTCTTCATTTTTATCCAACTGATTTGGTAAATACTAAAACAACTACCCCCCTCAGGGTCGGTGAACAGCACTAGATATGCAGTGTATACCTCGAGGCTTCGCGTCTCGGTATATCACCTCTATTCACCTCCCCCTCGGGTATAGTTGTATACTATTGACATCATTTTACTGAATATCGCCAACGTCTTCCAACTTTGGTCAACGCTAGTTGGTTATGAAGAATTACCTGGTATATTTGAATAATAATTAATATTTTTGTTTTGCAAAAAGGCATAGCGAGGAAACCTCGACTTGATCTCAGGCCACTGTGACCAAATGATAACAAATACAAGACCAGATGCTATAGAGAAATCGAGAGAGGAGGCTAAACAAATTGTTTCATAATTTTAAAGTTTGTTTTTCAAAAGTACGTTTCAGGTTTAGCAAATTAAAAGTATTTTCCTCTATAGATTTTTGCAATCCATCCACGTCTAGTCTAGTATTTTTCCTGTTTATTTTTCTAGTTTTTTATAATGACTATAAACATGAAAAAGCTCTTTCTCCAGCCTTAGATAGGAAACATTTGGTGCTTAATTGTTTATCGAAGTAAAGTGAAGTGCCACTTTAACCACTTGCCGACAAAAATTAAAAAATTGAAACATTGCGTTAGCGCAAAATGTTCTCTTTAATGCTGCTTTTACGATCTGAGGCAGCTAGATTTTAAAATTTCTATTGCCCGTTATTATGTTATCGGCAGTGTAGTTACAGAGGTTTAGCCGTCAAAATAATCGGATAAAAATTGATTAACGTTTACTATAAGTATAAGCCTGAAATCAGTGCCTTGATGGAGTAACATCATAATAAAATTGGCATGTAAATGCCAATTTTTTTTCTCGTAAATGCTTTTGTCAGAAGAACAATGCACCAGCTGCTCATGTGATGTGCAAAATATAAACCAAAACGAAAACTTCCTATGTTTACACTCTTTCTGTCTCGTGATAGAATATATCATCAGTGACATTCTATTTAGCTGTTGGTTCTTGTAGTTACTTAGTTGGAGGGTTTAACTTTTCTAAACGTTCATTGCTGTCTTAAAAAAAGTAAAATTAACAACCAAAATATAACATCCCGTGCGCTTTCAATTCATTTTACGCTATGTTCATCCCATCAATAGGCGTGTACTTAGTAGCTACACACCGGGTATTTTGTCTGTCCAGTTTAAAACTTAAGCTCAAGTGAAACGAAATAAATGTCATTTAATGACATGCATGCAGCATCTTCCTTTTAGCTTTTGTTTTTAATCACTTGAATATTCATAGGTGTCATCACAAGTTTCTAATCAGATACAATTCTATTCCTTCATAATTTGTACGAATGTTTTGGACGAAGGATTTCATCGCTAAGAATTGAACGAGCGAGCGTGTAAATTCGACAATTTTTTTCTTGAGTTGAACGGCTCAGAAAGAGAAGATTACTCACAATTATTTGTATATTTTTAAAGCTGGTTTTAGTCATGCATCTTGCCCAAGAGCTCAGTTGACAGTTTCTACAAACCTATATCAATTCAATCAACGGATTTGACATTACTTAAAAAACTTTCTGGACATTTTTGCCATTCTTGTATTTTCCAGTTCATTCATTACGTGTCGTTTATGATTGTTAATTATTACACATTGTGAGCTACTGTAATTGCAAACGGAGTGGAAGCAACAAATACGAACTGTTTATTTTAATTTCTGGCTTCGTGGGTCAAGTAATAATGAGATAAAATTGCCAAATTAATGCGAAGGAAGCGAAGAAACTATTTCAATAACCCCCGGCGCTATGAATAAAAAGGCAGTCATTAAAAAAACAAACCATTTGGTACATTTGAGTATCTTATCACCTGCAAAACTAGAAGAGCTTCTCTCGTTACTGAAAAAAGGTGGGTAAGAAAGACGATAATTCTCTTGTGAACGTAACCCTGAACACTGTTTGATTTGTAGTTGGTATATCTGTTTACACAAAGACGTACGAATTATAAAGCTATGTTGCATGGATCTGGGTTAGCTGTTTACTGCCTATAATGACTGTCTGGAGATTGTTATTTTTTTCAGTTTAAAACACGCCATTTGCTTCAATAGAGTACCGTAAAAAAATGAATAATTATTTTAGATTTTAATCTTAAAAATTGCTGGTTTAAAAGTCTCAAAAAAGAGGGGAAAAGCGCCAGAGATGTTATGTCCTGACAATCCATTTTTGGCATGCATATGAATTAAGTTCGTGTTTCAATTCAGATTCCAAACACTTTTAGTGGCGAAATTTGCTTCCGCCTGTTACGTTGTAATAAATGGATGAAGGAGGAGCTTGGTTTCAACAGAGCATTATACAAGGTAAAAGCTAATCTATTGTGGAATAAAAAAGCTTTTCTGGAACATTCCGATCAATATTTGTTTATTCTTTTTGCGATGGTCCTTTAGTTAGATACCTTCTTATCAACTGGATATCAGTGCCGATATAATTTGACAACTGAAGGCCTTTAACTCATTCCAGTTATCTAGCAACGTATATGCTTACGTTAAAAACGTCTTCTTTCCCACATAACTCCTACGTTGTTCCACAAGCTCCCATGTTTCTCGAACGAGGTACTTTTGAGCTGCAGAAAGTTGAATTAAAGCAGCGTTTTTCTCTTTAAACTTCACAGACGATCCGCACCCCATGCTCTGTATTGTGACAATCACCTAAAAAGGGAAAAAACATAACAGCTTGAATTTAGCGTCTTTAATTTCAGTCGAGCAATCAACTTTCCTTCTTGCAGGCAACAATTCAATGTACTAATATTTACGAGAAAATTGTCCCTGCCTTTGTTCATAAGGGGGACTGCTCATTCAGGGATTACAGGAAAACATCTTTCACCGTGCAACGCTTTGTGCTGTTAAGTGCGCCCCTAAAAGTCATCAGTGCACTTTTAAATAATTAACATCAGAACACGCGCGAACTGAACATTACTTAGCAACGTAGGTCAGGTCAGTTCATTTCCACGTCTATCTGGCCTCATCACAATTTTTAATCTTTCAACTGGTAGATGCAATTCGAAAAATCTGCATTTGTAAGTTCTTAACATCCATTTGTAGTGGCAACAGTCAGAGTACTAGCAAGGTTAGTGAGTTAATAATTCAAGTACAGTGTACCGTTGTGTGCGATAGATAACATGCTGAATTTAACTGTTTCAGTTAGTTTGAACGGCTGTTTCTTGTCCTATTCAAAATTTCACGGACTCCGGCTGGCGATCGCAGTTTTTAATATTTCTACTCGTTTCTTTTCAGTTCTATTTGTAAAACCTGTTTGGAGTATTTTGTCTACGCTTCTTTCGACTGGAATTAAATTTCAACATTTTGTTTCCGCTGCTTTGAAGTCGGTTCACATTTTACCTAAACTTCTTGCATCTGATGTTGCCGTCAACAATTATATTAATTTAAAGCCGCCTTAGTTTTCTTAGCTAAGTGGACTGAGTAATTGCGGGTTCGGAACACTTAATTATTTGGTAAGCAGTCCGTTAGGCATCGAGAACAATTTCCGCTTGGGCGAATCCTCTCAGTAAACCCCACATAAAATGTATGGATTAGGTAGAGAGTCCTTATTTGGCCAGTTACGTTACGGTTTTTTTCAACTTGTGAAAATAAGACAACTTAATACCAAGGTTTCAAGTGTCCAAACAGAGCGAATAAATTGTTTCAAAAAACCGCGAAATGTTACGAACGTTTGTACGGTGGTGGTTTGGGGGGGGGGGGGGGGGGGGCACGAACCTGCCCCCACCCCCCATCACCATACAATCGTCTGTAAAATTCCGCGACTGTGCATGTGCGGAACTATATCTCCGTTAGTTTTCGACCAATCACTTTCTAACTTGGCCGGCAACCTCATTGATTTTAAGGCGTTCTTTCCCGCTAAAAGTTGAAAAAACAGTAGAAGGGTTTTATATCGGGTTTTGCAAAATTAAAATGCTTTTTTCGTATTGGATGAGGTTTAACCTCAAGCTGCCAAGTTCAACTAAGTGTAGGCGTATCATGTCTGGGATCCTCAATTGGATGAATGTCATCTCCAAACTCATTCATGAATAAAGTAATGTTATGTCTGTGTTGAAGCTTCGTTAAATGTCACTCTCACGCGATCCAAAAGCCGCAAAAATATTTGTATCAATTGAAAAACTAAAAATAAAATAATGTCCATAGTTTGGTTAACCATCACTATGCAATTGTTGTATAAAACTGTTAACAATGCTTTCTGTTTGAATTGTCAATGGCTGGAATGAAAATGAATGGATTATTGAAAGCTCATCTATCAAGTAGTCATTTTAAGAGTGAATTTTCCAGAACATTAGTTAAACACAATTCTTTGTAACATCGACATCGGGAGAAAATCAACCGTTTGTATATAGCCGTATTTCTTCGTTGTTGCCAGAAAGATGACAGGAAGTTTTAAGCGAATTTATACAAAATTTAAACAAAAAAAATGAAATATGTTAATTTTCGACGAATAAAACTGTCACAAAACTGTTAGAAGAAGGAACATATTTGTTTAAAAATATTTAGAGTTTTTAAGGTTAATCTGAACCGTTGCCACTTTTGTTCAATGAAAGTCATTCTTCCATCTCGGTTTAGTTTTGTTCTCATATACGTGATATTTGTAGTAATTTAGAGTTTCCTGTAAATGTTTTTTTAATCAATCTTAAAAATAACCCAGAAAACATCTGTTCTGTACCGTAAGCGCCATGCAAATAAAACTGAATTTCATCTACATCGACCAATATGTACCCTCTCAACGGGGATTTCCGAATCCATTTTGAAAAGAAAACAAACTTGTCTGCTACTAGCCCGCTTGGGCAAGGTTAGCGCTGTTAGTTAACTTGTGTAATTTTGCCTGTCCAATTTGCTGGGAAAGCGAATTAGAGTACTTCGCTGAGGAAGAATTCCAAGGAGTTAGGAGCGAGAGTCAAAGGTAGTGGTTCAAAGGGAAAGATATGTTAAGTGCGCGACAAATATGGTACAGCTGTATATCGATGTCATAAACCTAGTTTACATATGTTAGTGAGCCACCTTTCATGAATAGACTCAATACATATTTTCCTGTCTTACGCAGAGCTGAGAGTCAACGAATCGCTCCCTTGGCAACTTTGTTATATCATGGGATGTGCGTCCTCCGTGGGTCATAAAGCAGTCCACCTCTCCTTGCCTCTTTCTGAGACTCAGAAATCGCTGGTGAGAGAAACGTGGGAAACGGTCGATCAGCATAAAAACAACGTCGGAAAGAAGATGTTTCTAAGGTAACCTGCGTTTAATTTTGAGTTGGATTTAATCTCGAGACTTATCCCGAGCATATTTCATCCCAGCGCAGTTCGTATAGATCTACATTGTCTATTTGTTTCCCTGTGCTATGAGACGATTTCGCCGTAAATAAAGATCAGTTTTATTTTTCCCAAAAAAACCTTACACCCTACACCGATTTTCTCCGTTTGTCGTTTCCTAAAAAATCTATAGGTTGCTTATGTCGTTCTTTTTTTTACAGTACCACAGAGCATTGTAAAAACAATGAACACTGATGTTAAGTGCATGCAAAGCCGTTGTGTTGCATTAATTTAATGCCTTTGCCCATAGTCCTTCTGTTGCTAGTCGTCGCTGGCTTGGAATCTACATTAAGTCAGTCTTTAAAACTTGAATGCATAATGTGCTTTTCCCTTCTTATCGCTTATCTAGAAATGCAATGCGTTAGCGATGCTTCTTGCTTATTCTATAATAAATGACGATAATGGTGTATTTTCGATGCGCAAAATTAACACAATCAGACGTTGTACGTTAGCTAGAGGGAGACCGTCTTGTAGTCAATGTAGACTTGTAAATAGGACGTCGAAAAATTTCCTGTTGATTTTTTTCCACCCTTAAGTGTTGGAAGAACCGTGGCCTATAAAGATATCCTTGCCACCTGAAATCAATCGTACCTGTTACAAGATATGGGCTGTATGTGTACACTTAAACTCCAGATTCCTTTGTAATTTACGGGGTTTTTAAGTAGTACAGATTATTTTTTTTTCCGTCGATTTTATCTTCTAATTCCCGGCCAGTTTTACTTATTTTAAATGTTTTAACTCGAATTTCAGGTTTTATTTGAACAGTAAACAGGCAAATAGGGAAAATTCGAGAGAACTGGATCATGAAAGCACTGATATCAGGTGTCAAAAACTTGCTCAACGGTTTAGCATTCATTGGTATCAAGCTTTCACGTTAAGCCTATGACGAGTTATATATATTATATAGAAAATCGGGTCTGATTTTGCCGGAACCAGCCGTGGAAACATATTAAACGGAACATTTTGCGTTTTGACACATTTCAATAACGACGGCAACAAATAAAGATGGCCAAGCTCTGAAACGTTTTTACGTAGCAGACGGTGTAGTTTTAGGTATAGAGATTTTACACAAGTATCTCATCGTGAGATATTGAAAGATATTTTGTACCGCGTTCAAGTACCGCCACGAAATCAGCTCAGTTAACGAAACACGACTTGGGATGAAATTTTGAAAGCTTTGGCTTCCGTCCAAGTAGATATGATCATGCATGTATTTTTAAAATGTCTCCACTCTGTGACTTGCTCTGGAAATTAAAGGTGGTGACATAACACTTAATTGAATGAAAGAAACGAAAATAGTGACTAAAACTGAGTATTTTTGGCGGCATATTTCGAGAACGACAGAAAGCAAATAAATGTTGCTAAACAAACGTTGGTACGTAACGAGTCGAGAGGGTACATGAAGAAAGCAATAAAATATACGGAACGTTTAACCATCCAAAAGTAATTTAGGAACATCCAGGAGTTTTCTAACCGGTAGCTTAAATGTTTTTCCTTTACTAATATCCTTAGCTGGTGCTAAGAAAGTCCATATTGAAATTAAAAAGTCGCCTAAATTGTCTTTTAAAATATCAAAATTAATTAAATATACAAAACAACAACTAAAGGCTTTTGTTGGCTTTCATTTTAAATTGTCATACTTCAAATGGACTACGCTTTTAAGATTTATATTTATCTTCTATAGTTTATTCTTATAATTTTTGAAGAAGAGCGAAAAAAAGCGTCGGAAGCGAATATTTTTACTAAGATTGCTTGAGATCCCTCTTAGCCTTTTTTCAACAGAAAGATATAAATTTAATTTCAAAATTCTACTTTTAATTAACTAATAGGCAACGAAAAAAAGCACCTTGCCTTCGTCAATAAGTTTAAGGGAAACGTAATAAAATACGCCAAAGTGAAAAATATTACCTCCTGACAAGTTGCGGTAATGCTTTCGGGAGAGTTTACGCTTTTATTTCGTAATTCAATTTTCTTCACATTTACATAACATAGATAGACCAGTACAACATCTATTTTCAAAAACTCGAATTTGTGGATCATCGATCCAATTAACTACTACAGCCTCACTCAGCAGTCTTTGTCATTTTCATGAATACAACACTTTTAACTTAAGAGGGAAATAATCAGCCTGCCAGGTAAAAGCCACTGTCATCACCTGTTGTTAATCTTTTGATTTGATGCCATTTGCATTTAAAACTTTGCTAGAATGGATGCGCTATCTTATGAGTAGGGAGTTTAAGATACCACGACGAGGACGACCACGAAAACGTCGCTTAAAAAGTGAATTTGCGTTCTTTCAATCTCTGCCACGATTACTCCATTTCATTTACTTTGTCAAATGTAAGCGAACTCTTTTTTAGCCGCTAATTCCTAAGAATCATATTCAAGTTCAGAAAGAGAAAGAAAATTTAGCCTTCGCTTGTTTACGTCCTCCATAAAACGTGAAATTAGGTTTTTGTCCCGTCGTAGTCGTGCAGTAACGACAAAGAAATGTACAAAAAAGCGTGATGCACGTGCAGAGTTGTTGTTTTGCCTATTTAACCTATTGCTTTTTTGACCTTCTCGGTGTTGTCGCCGTCGTGGCATCTTAAAGTCCCGAGTAGCGTTTACTCTGAGCAAGACAATAGTCCAGTGTAGGTGGCCTTCTCTCCTCTAAATAAATTTTCCGTGGGGGATAAATATGGAAACGTGAAAATGATTTAACGAAGCGACCTTGACGTCGAGTGACAGCTGTTGATTCCACGACAAACCATCCAATCAGAAGCGTAGCTTCAAATATTTCCCGCCTAAAAGACTCACTATACGCTTGGCCGCTACCGCGGTAAACCACCTTCATTTTGACTGTTTTCACTTGGTCAGTGTGTATCACCTACCATTAAAAACACTGTGCCACGATATGTATATTTACCATTTACCAAATCAGTTGATAGCAATTTGCGCGAGGTTTTGAATGCATTTGTGGATCTCGTAAATCGCAATATATTTGGCCATTCGCTGTTTTGAGCCAGGGGTCAAGATGGCGCACCGTTTCGAGAGGACAGTTTCGGAAGACGACATTTTAGCGACAACTGAAGCAGCTGTACCAACAAATATCAAAAAAGTGACAAAATATGGCGGGTAGAATATAATTTCTTTTCTAGATGTGCAAAACAAGGAGAAAAACCTAAAAGTTCACTCGACATATCCAAGCCGGAACCAATGTCAATTTCACGTAGACAAAAGCTCTCGCTAAGCGACGTCTTTTATTTTCAAAAATTACATTTTTATTCTTATCCCACTTATTTTCGTGAAAACTAAAACAACTACCGCTCTCATTGTCGGTGCATAGCACTAGATATATATGTTAGAACTTTTGCGCCTCGGTAGACAACCACCCCCATCCACCTCCCGCTAGAGGGACAGTTGAAAAATACCGCAGAAGACCGCTTTTCCTACACTTTTTGTAACAATTTCTCCGTATGTTCCGAACTTTTAGATTCTTTGAGCTAAACCCTGATTACCAAAAGCTGTTTCCAGAATTCAAAGGAGTGGAGCCAACAGAACTCGAGAATACAACGGCGCTGTACGGTCATGCGAAAAGAGTTATGAAAGCTGTCGAAAATGCAGTCACCTCATTGGATGACGCGTTCAGCTTTGCTGGTTACCTCGAGGAACTGGGAAGGAGACACAAGACTCGGGCATTGAAACCAGCCCATCTTGATGTAAGAAACACTGAATAGTAACTATCTAAGTGGGCACCTTCCAAGAATAGTTAAAGTGAATGCTTAATGTTTAGTATAAATAAGCATCATTAAATACTAAACTGAATATTTAAGTTTTCAGTGAGTAAATATTTGACTCTTAGAAAACGAGATTGCGTAGTCTAATCTGTTCACATTTCAAGCAGTGTATGAAAGTACAGTAGAACCTCTAAAATTCGAACTCGGATAAACTCCCCGCCGGAATCCCCCATTGATCAAAATTTCACTGAAATTTTGTTTCGTTTTCCTTCAGAGTTCGAGATACCGGGTTCTACTGTATACAAAGAACAAGCCTTCGTTTACACAATTTAAATTTACAAAACTTCTTTTACTGGTCAAAAATAAACAACTAATTGCAGTTTTTACAAGTAATTGTGTCTAATATAAAGTACCTAACTTCCTACTTACATTTCTGGACATAGTGCTTGAATGGTAAAAGCACAGGATTTCATTCCACATAGGGGAAAACCCGGGACGAGATTAGATTTCATCCACAGATTCAAAAGTTAGAACGGTAAATCACCTCACCTTATCTCGATCAAGGAGTAAACATTTTCAGTCTTTCCTTTACTTACTTTCACAGGCGATGCAAGAATCACTAATGTTTACTTTGAAAGAACTACTGAATCACCAGTGGACACACGAAACAGAGGAAGCGTGGAACAAGCTTTTCCGTTTTATTTTATCGACGATGTTA